AAGTGAACTCGTTACTTGTATCAAAGATGTCAAACTAATATGATAAGATTGATAACTAAGTTGAGCACGAAGCTCCTATCTAAATGGCAGACGTGCCAGTCTTATATAGAACCTTCGTTCTCTGTCTAATCGCTTTAGTCGCTCGCCTCAGTCGCTTCAGTCGACAGGCGACTCAGGCGACTGAAGCGATCATGGTCACGTGGTACTTTAATCCGACGAAATCCATGGATCGCTTAGCTAGCCTAAGGATCCCCTTCTGCTATAAGAGTTATGATAATGCTCGACCTGTCAGGGCGCCGCCTGGTCTTCACTATCTCCCGTGGTAACACGTGATTCGTGACACTATCTCCCGTGGTAACACGTGATTCGTGACAGCCAGGCCTTATACTTTATAATTCTAGTAATAACCTACTTAAATAAGAGTACCTAAGGCCTATAGGAAAAAGCTATAAAGTAAGTTCTAATAAATATATTAGCTAAAGCTATTTTAAAGCTATTTAGTCTATTACTTATTCTAGTTTTTAGGCCTTTTAGCCCTACTATTTCTCGCGTTTCTTTAGAGGTAATAAACTCTTAGAAATTTAAAGAGTCTTTAGAATTAATACCTTTACTTATCTAGGGCCGAGTTATTATTTACTACGTATTAAACTAAGTATTAGGATTTGCGGATAAGGAAACTATAAGAGATAGAAGCTAGATCTAAACGCTTAGTTCCTTTATATTATAAAACTAGGTTATTATAAAGGGTAAGATAGTTATATACTTCTCAGCTAGGTACTAGCTACTTAGATATAAATTAGATATCTAGAAGTTATGGTAATATAACCTTTCTTTTACTTAAATATTCGACTTTAGAGAAGGATTAAAAAGAGGGGGTTTTAATAAGGTTTTTATTTTTAATTAACTAAAGAATATTAGAGTTTATATTTATTAGGGTAGTATAAATAGCTATAATATTAAGCTATAAAATATTAATTATAATTATAGTTATATATATAAATATAATTACTTTATAAAAACTTCTACTTTTAATTTAATAGTCTAATAATAAATTAATATTATAGTATTAATAAGAATCTTCCCTACTACTACTAGAAGTTCTATAAAAACCTCCTAATAGAGGTATAGTAGTACCTTAGTTTACTCGAAATTATGTTTACTCGAATAATTTATATAAGAGTCGGTATTATATTATAAAAGTAGTAGATAGTACTTAATAGATATTTATTAAAAAGAATTAAGATTTTCTTACCTATTTATTTACTTTCTATATACACTAGGTTATATTATATATATATATATATATTATTAAACTATATAAAATTACTATAAGAGGTAATAGTAGGACTAGTTTTATTATTTCTTTATATATAATATATTTAACGTAGTCCACAAGCGAGTTGGATTCCCAAGCGAAATGGATTTTTTCTTGGCACTCCACAAACTTATTCAGAGCGCGTTTTTTCTTAACAAACAAAATGGTTAAGCATTGGACAGAGTCTGATATGATTCTTGCGTTAAATACGCTTCGTACGGACCCACATTTAAAAGTTAAGAAGGTTGCGCGGATCTATAAAGTACCTTATACGACATTGCTTAATCGAACTCATGGAATATTATCACGACAAGATTCTATCGCTAAATCTCGAAAACTTACAGAGATTGAAGAAATAGTTATTGTACGACATATTCTCGACCTAGATTCTCGATCATTTCCCCCACGAGTACGTTGTGTTGAAGATATGGCGAATCGTATCCTCTCGGAGCGGGGTGCAGGACGCGTTGGCAAGAACTGGACTTCGAACTTCGTACGACGACAACCTGAACTTAAGACGCGTTTTAATCGAAGGATTGATTATCAAAGAGTCCAATGCGAAAATCCAGACGCGTATAACGCGTGGTTTCGCCTCGTACGAAATATAATTGACAAATATGGGATTCAGGAGGAGGATATTTATAACTTTGACGAGACTGGGTTTTGTATGGGCCAAATTACATCAGAAATGGTTGTTACAAGTACCGAAAGGCTTTCTCGGCCTCGTACAGTACAGCAAGGAAACCGGGAATGGGCAACAGTAATTCAAGGTGTTGGGTCGTACGGCTTTGTAGTGCCTCCATATATCATTTTGGCGGGGAAGAACCACCTCTCCTCCTGGTACGAAAACAGCCAATTACCACGCGACTGGGTAATTGCTGTAACTACAAATGGCTGGACAACAAATGAGCGAGCCCTAGATTGGATTTTTCATTTCGATCGGCATACAAAGCTTCGTACGAAGGGCATTCACCGGCTGCTTGTGCTTGATGGCCATGAAAGCCACCACTCAGTCGATTTTGAGCTTTTTTGTAAGAGTAATAACATTATTACTCTTTGCATGCCAGCTCATTCCTCTCATAGACTCCAGCCACTCGATGTAGGATGTTTTCGAGCGTTAAAAAGGTCGTACGGTGCTGAACTTGAGAAATTAATGCGACTCCACATTACATATGTTTCTAAGGAGGATTTCTTATCAACATTCTATACTGCCTTTCGTACGACAATGACTGAATCAAACATTCGAGGAGGATTTCGAGGATCTGGCTTAGTGCCGTACGACCCAGATTCTGTGATTTCACAGCTTGATATACGTCCAAGGACTCCGTCACGTCCATCTACCTCAACAAGCCTCCTAGCTATTTGGGAATCAAAGACCACAAATAACATAACAGAGGCATATTCCCAGACGTCATATATACAAAACAAGGTCGTGCGACACCAAGATAGTTCTCCGACCCAGATTCTATATGGCCTAGACCAGCTTGCAAAGGGTGCACAGCGTGCAATCACTGAGGTAGCTTTATTACGAGCTGAGAATGCTACACTTCGTACAGCAAATGATCAACTTAGTCGGCGTCGTCGTACGAAAAAGCGCCGATTACAGGAAGGAGGATCACTTACTCTCCAAGATGCGCAAGATTTAGGGGTCCTCAGTAATGTTGATTCGCAAGAACAAGTGGTTTTAGTAGAAAATAGTAATTGTACGAGCCCGAGTCTAGTACCTCGCCGGCGCTGTGGACTATGTGGGAAACATGGCCATAACATACGAACTTGTCAAAAAGGAGAAGAAATATGCGAGGATTCCGATTCTGAATACTGTAATTAAATTAATTAATTGTGTCGTGAGATATCTAAGAATTTATAAAATGCCAAGAAAAAAATCCATTTCGCTTGGGAATCCAACTCGCTTGTGGACTACGTTACTTTCTTATAGTTAATATATTTACGCTATATATTAGTTAACTAATATAATTCCTTCTATTTAGTAAAAGGGGTAATAGTTAATTTAACCCTTAGAATAAGATATACTTTTTCATAGCTAAAGGGATTATTAATATTTTAATAGAAAATAAATAAATAGTATTTACTATTATTTCTATACTTATTATTAAAATAAGTAATATATATTTACTTAGTAGCTACTAAGTAGAGTTTTATAATTTAATTATATAGTAAAGTATATAGTCTTTTTAGAGTAAGAGTTCGTTACTTTTAATAGTACTATTTTATTATATAGGTATATAGTTTAGTAGAAATGGGATATAGTACTTAGTAAGAGATTTGTTTTTAATCTATATTTAGGTATATAGGTAGTTATAATATATAATTATAAGGTTTTTATATATTTTAATTATTATTCGAAGTAGATTATAAAGATTTTTTTCAAGTAATTTCTTTAAATAGGAGTACTTAAATTAAGTGTTTTTTAGCTATTTTATATATATATTAAGTATTCCTATACTATATAGGGCGGTAAGTTAGAGCACCTAAATCAGGTGTTTTAGGAGCACCTGATTCAGGTGTTTTACTCCCACTAGGGTAGCTTTCGATACGGATATTTCTGTCCGAGTGACTCATTACCGAACCAAGTTAATGTGAGATAGAAAAGACGATAGAGTAGATGAGACTAAGAAACTAAACAATGCCAGCCACCTTATTTCATAACCAAATACCCCGATAAATTATTTAGCGAATTTTAGATAAGTCATGTGACGACACGTGACTTTACATCCCTTGCTTGAGTTTTACCTGGCCAACAAGCAATTTTTTCTCTTCCGTTGTAAACAAAAATATGTCAATTATTTTCTAGCTACAGTTTGGTGTTCCTTAGTCCATCACAAAACGACCGTCCGAGCTCCATGGAATCTACAACAGCCCCCATCGCAACTCGGGCTCCAGCATGTCTCCACCGTCTAATCTCACGTCAGCAGAGTACGAAAGTGAACATTGGGATTGGGGGACTCCTTGGGAAATCACCTTCCCACCAACTGCTGGTTTTGCGTGGAAGGGCAAACACGCTGCACGCATAATAATGGTAATGGAGACTTACGTTCTTTGTGTGAAGAACAAGAATTTGATGGTGTGCGTTCTGAATATACAGACAAATGGCTGAAGGAGCAGCAAAAACTCGGTGATAATGAAAGAAAGATCCAAGTCACGGAAACTGGAGTGCAGTTTGTGGCCATGCCCTTCCACTATTTTCCCGACTTCCCTGTCGAAATTCGAGAACTCATTTAGGGCTTTTCTCTTCCTGGACCACGCTTGCTTTACCCGATCCCGAAGAATACTTCAACAACTATAGTACTAGCAGGGCATCTACCGATAACCTTTCGATCTCAAGACCATACCCCGAGTCCGGTAGCACTCAGAGTCTGTCGATTATCTCGCGAGGTGGCTCTTAGAAAGTATCAGCACTGCTTTGTGGATCCATATTGTACGCCGATCTACAACAAGACATTCTTTACTTGCACGATTGGGAAGGGATGATTTTTCTCTGGATCGGCCTCTACTGTAAGTCGCCTGCAATACTCCACGACTTGAATCGCAATAGGAAAATTGGAATACGCTGGTATCGAGAGGTGCATGAATTGTCTCGCAGAACCTGTGGACTGCTAGCAATGAGGAGTTGATTTAAGGGCCTGGAATCAATACTTTTCTGTCATTCACTCGACGAAACGAATCTGGATCGACAGCTAGTGAACGGTTGGGGGTTCGATTGTGAGACATTACTTAGCCATGGTATAATTTATGAGGTGATAGGAATAAAGGACACGGTTGTGAAGATAGACTTCGAGAGAATTGCTATTAAAGTCTCAACGGAAGCCTGTGCATAGTGGGTGGTTAAGCTACTGTGGATATTGCATAAGTGTACGCTACACTTACGTCTCGATTTCTTGCAATTTGATATTATACCAAAAACTCACAGAACCGAAGACGTACAAATATGAATATATCGCATTGAAACGCGGCCAAGTTGCAAGGATAAAGTCGCTCCGGTTATATGGGAATCATTTGTCAGAGACTAGTTAGCCTTAACACAAAACTGGCCAAGCGATTAGTAATACTCTAGTAGAGAATAATCATAACCATTGAAATATTTCTTTTTATGCTAATTCCTTGTTCTCAATTATTATACATTTGCTTCGGTTGTTGTTGGAGATTTTAGCCTTGACTAAAAAAAAACGAAAATGAGAAAATTACAAGGTTTTTAGTACAAGTATCTATCTTGATAATATGAGAAACCCTCGAGAAGAACAGAGGCCGTAGGCACGTGCTTACGACCTAACGGTAGGACTCCTTGGGTGCTGTGAGAGACATGGTAATTGCTCTGTTCGTACTTAGCCTAGGAAAAGGTCATCCTAGAAGCCTTGAATAACTAGAACATTTATATAAATAGTTTAGAATAAATGTCAATTTCTGATATTAGTTAACCTAAGTATACTAAGACAATTGAGCTACTTGTACTGAACTTTTAGTATGATAACCTTTTAGATTATATATAGAGTAATGACCAGGGCTCTTGCGGGTACTTTAACCACGGTGGAGTCGACACATGTCTCCAGTTCCAGCATCTGTAGCGCTATCTAATGTTAAACCAATGTAACAAAGCCCCATGGTGGATAAATATCTTCTATGTGTGTATGCTCGATGCAGTCTGTGGCACTGCTGTATGTCAAGGCTTTAGCTTTAAGTTTACGTAGGGTGATGGCGAAGGCACTGTCTCGTCAACGGGAACTTCTAGTCATGAAAAGTTGGAAATGATTAGATTTGTATCTCTGACAAGTTTGCCCAAGTCCGCAATGAACCTAATTCGGTTACGATGAGTTAAATTACGTGAATAGTTATAGACGCTAGGTAGGTATCTTAGCAGAATTTGGTCCTTTTGAAGTGGTGTTTATTCGGAGTTGTTGGGTGCACTTAGGAGAAGTATTTCACAGGGTTTTCAGAGTCTCAAGTGCCACTCTTAGCTTCCTAGATGAAAATTTTGATTTTTTATCTATCTTGATGGCATAAAACGGTCGCAAATCAATACTTGCTCCATCGACTCTGCTCGCCCCAAAATGGGTTAGGTTGAAATGAGCTTCGATCTTGGGAATCCTTCTTGGAATCTCTGTCGACCAGCAACATTTTGTCGTCGCAAAGTGGAGAAGGTACTTTCATTTCACCTAAAGGAGAGACGTTAAAACAATTACACACCAAAGATCTTTGACAAATTACCTCGCATGATTTCAATAGCCGACACCAATGGCAAGAGAAGCAACAACATAGGAAGTAATTGCCCAAAGCTCCAGTCTATTTCAGCTTGATCTTTCAGACGGACATCATCCCCGGGATTACCGAAAGCTTGTGATTGCAGTAATACACGAACAGCAGCTCCAACACCAATCGCAACACTGACAACGAGACCAACAATTTGTATGCTTCTCAACCACTTCCGCTCTTTGACGTGCAGAAACCAGACTCCAAGTACAAATAAGATGAGGTTACCAGTAATGACAGCGATAGTGCCGGCAATAGAAATCCCAGCGTTCGAGGGGGCCTTATTTGCAGGAAGTCGCCAAACACAAGCAATCGGTAGTGTTGCTGGCAAATGTTTCATTGTTGACATGAGAAGAAATATTCCAGATATACAGGAGAGAACTATTCGCATTAGTATTTGTATTGCTCTATGAGAAGTGATGTACTCACCCAAGTTAATAAACATAAAAAACTGTCTCAACCACCGCAGTACCCAGTCGCGCTTGAAATCACTGACCAATGCAAGAAGAGCACCAATGTGCGTGGCAGTGGAAAGTAACGACAGCATCCAAATAATAAAGAAATGATATGGGATCATAAATTCCATTTTGGCAAGTCCGACACATTGTATGCCAATTCCTGTGATCACTTGCTGATCACTGAAGGACAGAAGCAGTTTTCGAAATACCTTTGCTTCGGATCGCCAACGTATCTCTCGCAGTATAATGAGTGCGCTCAGAAGAAGAGAAAGACCAGCAGTGATGATGAATGAGAGGAGAACCTTTATTTGGATTTAATATTCAGATGCACGGAGTAGAGACATAGGTGGACTTACTCCTGACCCCGCGACTCCAGCATCGGTCTGTGACTCCGAAGGAACTACGGAGCAATTGAGATTATCGAACATGATGAGAAGGCATTCACAAGACGATCAAAACAAACGAAACAAAGAATGTGAAGTAAAGGAAACGAAGTCAATCGAGAGTTCTACAGTAAATGACGTTGTTAGGCCACGAGTTCTAATTATGCTGTGGCGAAGCGAGGGGAAGGAAGTAAGGATTATAGTGGAGGGTAGGCTAAGCGCTCATCTCATTCGCTAGGCGAAACAGATGTTTCCTGCCGGGATGCCTTGGCATAATTATTCGTTATGCAAACCCGGATGGACACGACGTTCCCTCCGTACAAAGGTCTTGATTCGTGGGTATGGAGTAATGAATATCGGCGTAACGCTTCCATATGGAGAAAGCGAATACAGTAGCTAAAAACCACCATTCATGAGGGCAATATTGTGAAGTATATTGTGCGAGAAAAGATATACTGGTATCATTAACCGCACACGAGCACGAAAGAGGCTGACATGATGAGTAAGAACAGCTTATGGTGTACTGTATATCATGAGATTGCCAATGGCTGAGAGATGGATGAGGTGAAAATGAAAAAAGGCGATTGGTCAGCATGATCACGTGGGCTTATGAGACCAGTGTATCTTTTAATCGTCATGTTGACTCGAGGGATGAAAAGGAGAAGAATAAATCATTCAAGATTAAGAGTTTTGATGCAACGAGAAAAGGAAAAGAGAGAGAGTTCTCCTTGAGCGGATTTTGGTTGCCCATGGTTATCCAAAAGTCACCTGATCTGTAAACAATTGCTTTTGCCAAAAAGGAAGGGACAACTGAACCCCTGCCCTAGTCTTCAGCCGCTCTGCAATTTTTTGCAGATCTTGCATGCCATATACTATACCCTGAATTCGTTTCTGGGTCAAATGGGTGGTTTCATTCGCCCATGCTCTCACAGAGCCAAAGTGCTGTGATATTTGCACTTTGTCAAACGTGATACACGCCTTGCGCATATATCAGGCTGTGCTGAACTACCATCAGCGAGCCTTCCCACACCGATTTCTCTCTCATCTCCGAGTCTCAAAACAATGTCATTGAAACCCCTCAAAATGCAGCGACGAGCGACTGCCTTGCAAAAGACGGCGGAGAAAGAAGTACGGGAGTATACATACTACAACGAGAAGCTCACGCAAGAGAGCTACGCGGGTGGAGACGTATACGATGATGAGGCTACCGGAGACAAAATTCGACAAAATTCAGCGCTGGTAATTATCAAGGTGAGAAAGAGACTAATTATTTTGTAACTGCCATTCATTCCTGTTGTAATCCTGACTTTACTATTATTCAGCACTGAAGATCGGCCATATCTTGCTCACATCAAGACTCTATCGCGCATCTGGCCTTCACTAAGACTCCTGGCCGATTTTATGGAGATTGGAACATCTCCAGCCCGATGGTCAAATATGGTAGAAAAGCAATCCCCAAGTGAGCTGGCCGCCGAGAGATGGGAACGAGCCTCTCGAGCTACAATCACACGCCTCGAATATTCTCCTTCGGGTATTATCCCTCAAGAGTACAACACCATTATTGACTTGAGAAAAGCTTTGAATGATGAACTTCAAGAGAGCGAAGCTAACAAGGGTCGATTTCGACTTTACATTGTCGAAGATCTGTCTCGTGATGTAATTGAGCTTCTCGGTGGGCACTATGATATCGAGCCCGCCTTCTTCCGTGAGCAGATCTTCGATTACGCCTGGTACAACTTACGGGATCGGTGGTTTGATCCCCCCCCGGCTCAAGGTTACTACTAAGAACCAACGTTGGTTACAACTGCGGTTTCCAACAATACGATACTACAAGACCGCAGAAGAATTTACTAAAGGCAGTGCAGAGTATGAGAATTTCAACGTGTATAGAAGAAATGAGGATGATATCAATAACACCTCAAAATGGGACGATAAAATGCCAAGGTTGGTCTCGCAAGATCAAGAGTATCGTTGTGGCTATCAGGTGAAGGAAGAGCTGGTAAAGCTAGTGGATCTATCGGTGAGCATTAAAGCTGGAATTGTATCACTGGTACCCAGCTAATTTGTTTCATTCAGGCATTTTGTTATGTGACCCTACACCGAAGTGTGGTAGACCCCTATGGTACGGTTATCGAAACTGGTCAGATACCCCAAGCATGTCTTCGAAAGAACCATTGGAAGGGCCCCCGCGTACTTCAATTTATCATGACCTAGTCTACTGGTCTCAGGCAAATGATATATCTGACTCACCGCTGTCGACGTCTCACATCAAGAAGCTTAAGGCAGCTGAAAGTGTACAAATTCCCATACAAGGACTTCTTCGTTTTCTCAGTGCAGAGTGGGTTGAAGTGAGCGAGTATATCCGAACTCGTCTCGGCCAAATCGAGTGGGAGATATCATTTCCCGACCATTTTGTGAACAAAGAGGGGAATGCCAATGATGGACTCGTTAATGACACATTGAAAAAGCTACATATTTCGAGACGGCTTGTACCTCTGTACCGAGAAATGCTTACCGAGACCCTCCAAAAAGCCTTTCAATTTCCATATGATCTTCCCAATCCCAGGTCAGAAACTATCTCGGTAATAAGCAGTGCAATTGAATCGAAAAACACTACTCCGACCAGTGCTATCGCTTCGAATTCTGACGACGCCGGGTCTAACAATACTTCAATTCCTACCACGATGAGTAGCCACAAGGAAGGATGTCGGTGTCAATGTGCTCAAGATAAAATCCTCCGAAATTTGGGACCAGCAAATGAAATGCAAGAAGACTTCGTCCGAATCCTGGAATATGTAAGAGAATACCAACAACAAATAGATCGTCTCACCTCTGTCGTCACGGCTATCATCTCCATGCTAGATTCTCAAAGATCTAGAGAAGATAACAAGAACGTTGCGCGTCTCACATGGTTAGCAACCTTCTTCATTCCTCTGAGTTTTGTGGCTTCTCTCTTTAGCATGACGGAGGATATCAGTTCAATCCGAGGGACAATCAAGTGGTATTTTGCTACATCTCCACCTTTGGCTTTGTTAAGTTTGGGGTTGGCGATGATTTTGACTCTGCCGAGTGTTCAGAAAGCAAGACACCAATATTTGAATTGGTGGAAAAATGCTTTCCTAGGTTGGAGACCTTGGGAAAAGAAGGCTGAATGAAATTTGATTTCCATTAGGCATAGAGCTTTTTAGCTGCTTATATTAAGCTATTTCAAGGTGAACTGGCAGCAGGAGTTCACCAAAGATGGGCCTTGGGATTTCTCAGTTTATTTTGGTCAAAATTAGTAAGATACCTAATCATTACTTTGTACAGCCCGCACTGTGAAAAATCGTCTAGCACTGTTGTAATCTTGTCTTTCGGTCTGTCTAAGTTGCTCCAGTGTCACAACATCTGTGAATTGTCCCATGCGACCTGGCACTGGCATATAAGCGTTTGTAGACTAGCTACCTACCTTCTCTTTCCTAAGCAATTAAGCACCATCAATTAGGACTTATTGCTTCCACCCTCCGACAACTTTACGAATACTGTGTGATACCAACAAGCATAAGTGACGTAATTGTCTTAGTATACCTAGACTAATAGACAGTGAAAATTAGCAATTATTCTAACCTCTTTATACAACTATTTTAAATGTGTAAGGATTATATTAAAGTATCAATATCACTATAAGCTAGGCCTGTACAAAAGCGATGACCACGTCTCTTACTCGCGAAGGTAGCATACATCAACCCCAGATGTGAGATCCTTATCTAGTCACTGCCATAAAGTCGTTACCCTTCCTCAGGCTTTCCCTTTTTACCACCATATTCATTATCCACCCCCAGCGACAATGTTTACATATCCTTGTTTGTTTATAAATTTAACGATTACAAATTTTACACACTCTTTGGTCCAGCCAAAAAAGCCCGATGTTAAAAATCAACCTCTATATCTTCGTCGTCCTCAATTTCATTCCTCTGGACCCTTCCTGTAAATGTACCCTCCTTCCAAAAAGGTTCGACATTGATTCTCAGCTTCATGGTCTGATTAGCTCTTCTAAACCTTTTTATATTCTGTGTGAGTCCACTCTTTACGAAGTCCCACATTTCATCTGCTCCTTCACAAGGAATTCTCATTATTATCTTCTTAGGGCCGAGGAGGATAACTTCTAGCTCTACAATGTTCTGTGGATCCGAGGTCGTAAGAGAAGCAATACGGAAGCGGAACGCTGAGAGCGATAGGTCAACCAGTTTGGGGCCGGTCCAGAGTTTTTCGGAATCCTGGGTTATTATCCAAAGCGGAATAGACATGGTGATGGGTTTCTGTTTCTGGACTTCTGGTAGCCTTGGAAATGATGGGGATGGAACATATGCTTGATCCTCTGTATTCTGGGATATTCTGGGCAGAGATGTGTAAGTTGTCGAAGATAGATTGTGCATCGAAGGGAATTGTAGCTGTGAAAAGCTTCTATCTGCCAGGCTGCGACCCTTCGGTTCTTGAATTCGGCCAGCTGGGGTGAGACTATCTGAATCATGTAAGACTTGATCAGACACGGTGCTTCTCTCTTGGATTTTCGGCTCGGCACTGGTAGCAACCTCTTCTGTTTCTGAAGCTGAGCATGGCGAGCAGCTGGGTAAAGAGGGAGTGTGCAAGGAGGTGGTACTTGGGCTGATTGCAAATGTTGTCTGGACCCCGTTGAGAACATCATCTTCATATGACATGGATGGTGTTGACAATCGAGTTTGAATACCCGACCCTGTGGTATTGCTCAAGAGTATGTTTTTCGGGACTTCAAAATCTTGTCGTGGCTCAAAGGCCCGCAAAGATCCCCATTCGTAAGGCAACTGACCCTCATTTGTACCCAACGCACTCAATGACGAAGATTGGGGAAAACCCGATGTCACATAAAGCTGGGAGGTTTCCGCCTGTAAACGTGGTTCAGGAAAATTTCTTCGAAGAGATTTCGGGCTTATGAACTCTTTGTACTGAATACTGGCAGCCACTTCTGTGAGGGATATGATGCCGTCCTCCTGCGCACATTTACGGCTGCGCTTCTTAGTCCAAGGTTCACCCAGCAACTCCAAATTCTCTTCTGGGACGAATTCAGGATTCTCGGAGGCTTTTAGGAAGCGATTATTTCTTCTTGGGGAATACATATCGGGATGGAATGAGGACTCTTTTCTCCTTTTGTGGGCTCCATCGTCGGGTCCTACAAAGCCTTCGTACGATGTCGAAGAAAGTTTCGAGCCCTTTGAGAAAAAGCAAACTTAGTTTGTGATGTATTCGACAGCCGCACTGCTAGAGGTCAACATACCTCGGGCTCATAGTATGCACCATACGGCCTCTTAGTGGGTCTTGGTCTGATGGCTTTTAGTCTATCGGAGCCTATCAATGGCTCTTGTAATTCTTTGCTGAGCGGTACAATAAGAATGCATCTGTTAAACGACATAGTTAGGCTATCTTCGCTCATAAACCTTTTATTCTTCAATACTTGCAGATACCATAGAGTGTATGTTCATGAATTGCTGGAAAATAAAATGTCAGATGTTTCGCTTCGAAGGCGAAGAGAAGTACCATCGAAGTGGAGGTGTTTCAAGCTTGCCATTCTTCTGGTAGACGTATTATCCTGACACTTGCTGCAAGAAGTACCTGGCCGTAGTGCTACTTTGTTGCTAGTATAATAGGGGGTACAGACAAAATAGACGTACCTTGGAGGATCCTCGGTTGATGTGAACGTAGCCAGAGGACATGCTCTTGGGGGTATCAGACCCTGTCTAGTATTGACCATTTCCTCTTCTCCAGTATCGGTTTTGTCGGCACGAAAGATCCTAGTAGCGTTCCTCTGGGAACTGGTATTTTGTCTGTATATATATTGTTTCAACAACTCGATAATTCTGATAGAATTAGTTAGGATCTTTTTAATATACGGAATAGATTCAAATACTAACTTCGCTTTATCCTTGGGATATACCAAATCCCCTTTGCGAATCCACGATCTCTCCGCGCACCAAAACCTTTCCCCAGCACCATCAACTAAGAAGAGCTCTGCCATTGTTCCTAAATCCATTTGAACAGACTGCACCGACCAGTGGACCAAGGACTCCCCAGTTCCACCTTCCTGTGTTCTGTACGTCTCTCTCAATCGAACCAACCCGTTTTTGAGGCTTTCTCTTAGTCCCCAACTAGCATGTCGGAGACCTAGTTCTTCTTGAAGTTCCCAGATCTTCGGTATTTGATTGCCCAGAAGCGATTCAGTAACGGTTTTGTGAAGGAGTCGCGCCATTGTGAGTTGGTAGTAATATAGTATTTCACTCCCGAAAGTAAAAGCACAAGCGACTCTAATATAGAGCGAAAATGAAGAAGGGGGAAGTGCCATCTACCGGAAAATTACCCTGAAATTTGCCAAGGAAACATGCAACCAAACGCCAGGTTGGAAGTTACAGTATCTTGAGTTGTGATGTTGGTTACTGTTCCAACTGGGGACCAATACTGTGCGGTTGCAGACTCTGGTTGGTGGCGTCAATCACACACAGGTCGTTGGAAGTCAATCTCTTTTCCATGTTCAAGTATCTACCGCTCATGTATACCCCTGCTCACATTCTTTGTACTCCCACACCACAAGTGAACTCTTCTGAACATATCGATCGAACTTGAAGGCCACAAAATTAAGCAGTATGTTTTGAAAGATCTATTGTCTATGATAAGATCAGTCCTATCGCTGCAGGGTAATCTCGGAATTAAAGTCGAGTAATACTCCTTGTATGGAAATTTGAATAATTTGATTCTGTAACCGACTACAACCTAATCTAACCTCAGAGCGACCACTTGATACACACGGAAATATATCCATGTACAAGTAAGATTGAGCTTTTTTCTAGTGTTTCAGTATATTTCCACCAGAGGGTACTGTAGGCGTTCGGGAGGTAGGCTTTATAATAATAAAGTTGCGGTATTCCAGTGGACTAATTGACTTTTAAATAACAGAACTACCTATCTATGAGGAAACGAGGGAAGGGCCGAAAAAACGTGCACCTTCAAGTAGAGTGAAAGTGTCTACTTTAATAACATTTTCTCTATAAAACTAATTCGTTTAGCTGACTAGTTCGTATTTCCAAGACTTTGAGCCTTAACTTAACTTAGTTATCCTATCTACTTCTCTCTGTTTTAGGTGTATATTTTTCCGGCCTCTTTGTCCTATGCAAGGGATAGTAAGTAGATAAAGACATTGGCCTCCTAGTATTTGCTTCTAGGGGTGAAGGAGGGGAGGGGGGGGTTCAGATAAGGGCCGCTAATAGGCGGTATCTTAGTAAGTAAGCGGCTCTTACACTGAACCTACCGAGTACTAGTTGATTCGCTGATGTTATAAGTTAGAATCTCCTTAGAACTCTTGAGCTAAGTTATCCCAGCCCTCGACCGCTGGTTTTATAGCCGTCTCTGCTTCCGCCTCCCCGACCACCACAACCACCAACCAAATACATAACACAGAACCATAGGCTAGAAGGAGTTTAGTAGCGTAGGGTACGGTGCGGTGGCGGACCGAGGGGTCTAGGTGGGTAGATGGCTGGGGGAGCCTCATCACCAACAAGCCTTTATAGCAGCGGCTAAGATAAGCGAGCAGCTCTAAAAAACGACAGCATGAGATTTTAGGTTGACAACAGAAACCAACCTGATGAGATGGAACACCAATGGATAGTCTGACCGCAGGCCACACAGCCAATCCCGTTTTACTGATTGCTAATCAAAGAACAACCCTAACCCGAAAGGTCCTGGAAAAGCTCCTCTTCAAGCACTCTTGTCTCATTTCCAATGCGTCCGATATCATCCTGACTCAACAGTCCCCTCTCAGTGATATGCGCATCAACCAATGCCTTGGGAACCCATTCGAAATACCTATTTTTAGCCTCTACCTGCCAGCCAGCTTTCTGGGCACCCACGATATCTTCCGTACACTTAGATGGCCAGCTTTCCATTAGCTCGCTAGGATCGTTGGTTTCTATTTTCAAGTGTCCCCCCTCGAAACTGGAGTCGGTGATTTTATCGCTTTGATACAGAGCCAGAACCTTGCATTTCGATTCTGGTTCCTTTTTTGCGACGAGTGCAGCTGTCAGGCTACCAATCTTGTTGGACACCGAACCGTCTGGTAGGACCTTGTCGGCTCCCAGAAGGAGAAAATGTGCGTCTTCGAGTGCGGACGCAATACTGGCATCTGAAACTATATCCACCTTGAAGTTTTTCATAATCTCGGGATCAGAATCGAAAGACTTGATTAGTGTGTTGACAACTCTCACGCCCTCAAATTTTGGTCTTGATTCTAGGATTGTGAGTTTGATCTCTCGTCCTGATTTAGTGTGAGTTGGTATCAGTTTAGACAGTGCAGCCGTGACAGTTCCAGATGCCGAAAGCGTGACGATGTTTGTCGTTTTTGGTGCTCCTCCTTCGTAGTCCTCTTGATCCTTCTCTATGAACTTCTCAAAGGAGTCAGAAAGGTTTGATAAAGTATGCTGTAATGTGGATATTCTTTCTGAAAGAGTGGTTTCAAGAATTTTCTTGAGGTTGCGCAGATCGGATTCAGAGCCATCCTTCAGTCTAAGTCCTGGATCGTCGAGTTTCTTTCTGACGGCATCCAAAGATCGGAACATAGATGCTTCAATAGCTGCACCCATAGATGGCCGACCATTCTTCGCCAAATGCCAAGCCCTCCATCGAATCTCCTTCCAAAACTCAAGTGGCGACGTTATATTCGAGAGTTCATCACTGTTTACATTTTCAAGGAAGAGTTCAAGAGCCTTTATGGCGAGAGCCTGGGCACCACTTTCATGGTCGTTCTTCAGCACGGATAATGACCTCTCCAAGTCGGGACTAACGAGCACTCTCCTCAACCCAATCTCCAATTGTGGAACATGATCTAATGTCGCCAATTCTTCTGGTTTGATGAATCGATACTCCGTGTGCTCCCAATCCAATTTGATTGGCTTGGAATGCGCTTTGCGCTGCCAAGCAAATGGATGAATTGTCCATTGAGTCTTCAAGTTTTCATCAATAAGGCTGAATGGCTTCCCACGGCGCAGTAGAAAAATGTCTTCATCCGACAAAGATGTCTCCTCCAGAATCTCTCTCTTCGCTGCGTTCTCAGGACTGGTATCCGTGGCATCGATAGAGCCGGAGCATACAGCCCATTTTCCACTAGTCCTTGTCATTACATTATTCCGGATGAGAGGTCTGAATCATGAAGATCGCTTACGGATATGTCCGTATCTCTTCGCTGCGTTTGAAAAGGGCAAATGTGAGTCCGGTGGGGGTCTGTGGCGGGGTACAAATGAAGGACGAGACGACAGCTCTTTGGCGTAGATTTGAGGACATATTTTCATGTATCAATCGTGCTTGGTGTACTCCCAATCTCGATATGAGATTGACTGGAAGACTTCTCATATCACGAAAGGTACTGATGCAAGCAACATCAAGGTGGTGAGGGCGGTGTCATCTATCTCCTGAAGAAACATATGATGCCTTGCCGAGCTTGCCTACCCCGGCCAGTTTTGCCGATGTAGAATGGTCACGTGTTATTTCCCGTGGTCTTAAATCTAACCGTGACTCATGAATTGTTCGTTGTTGCTATTTATGTACCTGTTTCATCCGCAAACGATAGACAGCCTTACAGTCCCTTCACTTCCATCAAGAGATTAGTGATGTCTTGTCGCAGTTAAGTCACAAAGCCTTTTGGTTCTTCGTTTCCATCTCTAACAAGCCTCCAGGGCGGATAAAACGAAGCGACTTCTAGGTTGCCGGATTGGGGAGAGCAAGCGAAGTACGGATGCAGTGGAGGTTGTTGTCCTCGCGACGAGTCAAAGGTAGAGTCCCTTGGATCAACCTTGAGCACGAAGTCTGATAGCATATTCCAGATTTCCGAGAACACGCGTCATCATCTACTTACAGAGCATCCTCCTGAGCATCGCATCTTAGAAGTTTATCCGACCGGCCGGCAAGGTCTCTACTACAGCCAATGCGGATCATCATATCGACCAAAATTCATTTGCCCAGGAATGACTTGCCGAAGATCATTCAAACCATGTTATGACCCTGCTAAATTTGAATATGAGATATCTGATTTCCAAGACTGGTCAGTCCGACCACTTGAGTCTTGTTCACTTGAGCTGAAAGTAGCATTCAAAAACGAGAAGCGTCTGAGACGCAAGAAAAATCTTGAGACTCCAGAAACTCTTGCTTTCGACACCCTCAGATCACGGTATTACGATGACCCAATGTCTCTCTCATTGGCAGAGGTAGCATATGTAAAAGCATGGGATCCGTGTTCGCATTGGACAAATCTTGTCACTACCCCGCGATTCTATCAACCGGGGCTTGGAATTTGCTTAAGATGCCCTTCTTGCGGCAAGAATGGTGTGAGAGTTGGATCGAACTTTCGAGCACCGCCCAGAAAAGATGAGAAAGCGTGGCGACTGATTGGCAAGATGATTGCTACTGGGGAAGATATGGGCGCTGTGTTTTCATCATCCCCAACGATCGAGGAGCATAAAGAAATGGCTGTGGAAGCCCTGCGAATAAGATCTCAAGAGAATTATAGTAAAGCGATGGAATGGGAGGCAGAAGAGCGGAAACGGATAGCGAACACGACGATATGAGAGGTAGGGTGTTCTTTAGTCGCAATAATAATATATACATAATACCTGTAAGTACTCTTTTGCAAGGTGGTTGTCGTTGGAGGCTTTCATTGGTTCTGCAGTGGGATCGGAGATCGCCCGATTGTTTTCGAGGAGCGTATGATCAACGTTTCCAGAATCCTCGCTCCCCTGCCATCTGGTATTCCATGATTTTCCACAGGCTAGATTCAATACCTTGTCCTGAACTGGGCTCTGGAAACGATCCTCAGATCCTCTAATAAGTCGCCGACAGTACGAGTGCAGGCAGATCCAGTTCAAACGTCGCAGGAATGGGCTTGCTTTAGGGGTCCTCCTGTTTCACCGAACCCTTAACCGACTCGTTCCCCATCATATTTCGAAGCACTCGTACTTGTCGTGGTAAAAGTGTGGGAGATCCGAGAAGCATAAGGTGATATCCTCGTGGACGGAATCATCCGCCAATTCTCGTCCAAGACACCTACAGTACCACTGCATTGGCTTTAACAAAAGCAGAGAAAATCGCACAACACGAAACAAATTCCAGCCAAGTCTCCGGAAGCTAATCAATCTTGAGTCGTTGTGGTTTTATTACGAGTAGGATAACAGTGTGCAGTGGGACTACAATCGGCTAATCAATCCGTTGCTTTATGCACCGTGACTAGCACCCTCTACCGTGATAGATGGGTGATCACAAGTCAAGGGTCTGGAAAGCTCGGATCTCACCCTCCCCTGTATACGAGTTGTTCTAGGTAAGGCATAACTTCATAATATAGCCTTCCAAATGAATGAGATCATCCAATTCATGTAGAGGGACAGTCCCTTCGCAAAAGTAGCACGGTGCTAGGGTATTTACTAGTGTCATTCAGGTTATCTCGCAGGGTGTTCTGTCGATATGCGATTTGCTTGTTCTCACCGGTTCTGGGTTCGCGAAACGTCCTGCTACCGAGTACTTTTGCGAGTAGACTGTATATCAGTAATTCACACGGGGAAGCGAGACGCCGAGCTGCCCAGATGCTTATGCTGGCGTGGGCAGAGTGGAAGAGGCTAAGTTGGCAAGATTACTTTAGTGTAGGGCTTCAAATAAGAGCTTACTACCGGTAGGGTACGAGAAGACATCGATCATCGCAATCCCTATGCATAAGAAGGACGACGAGGCTTCCAACCAGTAGGAGGGGGCGCCAGTTCACACTGTGGCGTAATCCGTACTCGACCGCACTCGCCTCTGCCATCACCCCTGTATCCTTTACTTGTTAACATCGATGTGCCATGGTGCCCCTTGGTGCCCCGGATCTGCTCAGGACAAGTCCGGGGAGGAGACTGGCGGCTTCGTGGCTTGGTGCTTGGTGTGCTTGGTATGTGCTTGGTGTTGCTTGAAGGATGCAAGCAAGTGCCGCCCAGACACTACAACGCCAAGGCCATATCCTCCGACAAGGCGCTGAGACGACGCATTGAACATCGCGAAGCTACGGGTTGCTTAGGACTGCGAAGGACTGCGAGGGACTGCGATGGACTGCGAGGGACTGGCTCTAGGCCACGAGGAGGTTGAGACGACGAGACCGACAACGCGGGACTTGACCATGCGCTGTCTCTGCTCCTTTTCCAGGTGCAGCATGCCATTTTTGTTTGGACGTCCCCCCAATTCCTCAAGCACTTTTTCTTTCACGTCCGCGTACTGTACTCTCTGAATCTCAACTCCTCTCGTTGTCCCTTTCTAGAGGACCGACCTCTGAATTCTGTCTTCGCTTAGCTATGTATATCGAAGCGTGAACCATCAAATCCTGAATCTATCGCAATTACATCGCAATCCAACATTTCTTGATCCCCAAAAAAGCGCCTAGGGCCGTTCTTTTGTTTCCCGGAACGGGGTCTACGGGATCACAGTTCTTCGAGAGACCAGGCTGAATTCCAGTAGGAGAGACGAGACTCCCTCTCCGAAGATTCATTTTCCTACATCATGGAGGAAGAAGAGCCGAAAAGCCAGCTGTATTGCTGCAATACCTGTACAGACATGATTCCCAATACTCGAGCTCGAGTGTTATGCCATCACTGTCTGAACTATCACCTGTGTGCAAACTGCTATGTGGCCAAAAACTACGCGCGGCCGCATGTCGACAATCATCCAACCATGGTATTCAAACAATCCGGATATTTTGTCCCAGAAGCACCAGGTTTCGCAGCCAAGGCGGAAAAACCACCCCCATTACCGCCACGCCAGCCAGCCCAAACAAGCATACAAGATATAGAAATTCCTATGGCAGACTGGAGTGTTCTCTGGAGCCTAATCAAATCGCCATCCAAAAAGAACTCAAAGACAGCCGCAAAAGCCGACATTCTCGACGAACCTTTGGTACAGTTAAAAGACGTGACTGGAGCAGGTCTTGCAGTAATGACCAATGGTATCAACGAACTACATAACCCAAATTTCCCCCCCTCACCACCGAAATCGGTCGATGTTGATGGTTCTGCTCCTTCGTATCCGATCCCAGAAAAATGGGAACCATTATTTGCAGCCGACTCAACCCCAGCACCAATTTTCATTGCCTTGATGGGAACTATTTTCAGCTGCTTAGATCCTCGACATACAGGATTCTTGACTCCAGAAGTCTACTCGGATTTCCTCGACGTACAGGGCTATCAGTGGACGGCTAATGTTTGTAAGTTTTCAACACTCTGGTATTTGAGATGCCACATTCTCTAACTTTTGACTACAGGGAAGAACTCGCTTGATGCTGAAGGTGGAGAGAACCACAAGGAGATTGCAGATCTCGAATTTGGCATCTATCTAGCTGATCTAAGCATCTCTCACAAACTCATGGTCCGCGCCAAATCTGCTACCCAAGAAGAAATCGAGGGTGCGGAGCTGGTAGAGCCCAAATCACCTGCCTCTCTGAGAGTCAAGGAACACATGAACTTTGGTGCCAATATGCCGATTCTTTCTCGACAAGGATTTATCGACCTCAGCGCCATCGAGTATCTGGTTAGCGCTACCAAGGGCCATGAGTATTTGCAAAAGGCAATCGACGAGTATGGAATTTGGAAACAACTAGGAAAGCTCCCTAGATCCATGCTCCCCGATAACTCCTTGCCAAAGGCTTCTCAGATCAGGTCCAAGGCAACAGACGCTGAAGTTAAGGAAGCTGATAAGAATGTGGAGAACCCTATTGCATCGATGGCACCAGCACTTCCATCACGCCAAAGTATCGGTCTCAGCGAGAACTTTGCGACGCCTGTGTCTGAAGGTGAGAAAGAACAATTTCACGAGGTGGATTTGAAGGTTGGTCCCAAGAAGAAGAGCGTTTCTGAGGGCTCAAGATTGGAAGAGGACCAAGTGAAGAATGGCAAGCGGGCAGCATCGATTGCAGACTCGGATGACGGAAACAGCAGCCGCAAAATTAGCAGCGAGTCTGGCAAGTCCTTTATGGAGCTTTACAAGGAGAGTTAGTTGAAATTATCAGGTACCGTGAGCAACATATTTACACATGAAAAGCTTGTTTGCTTTCGAAGCATAATGCTGTTATTGCTCATATAGATCGTAAAATCAATGTTGGTTGGCTGTACAGGTGTTCACTCTTCTCTGCAAGAGTTTCGAGGTGGGTGATCACTTTCTCGGTTGCTCCTTCCCAAATCCTCAGCATTCATCACTTTCGTCTAGAACTGGCATCGACCATCGCGACTGCCCATTTTTGACTGATCCCCATATGCATCTCTTGGGAATCCCTTCCAATTCTGACCTATTCCAAGTTACACTCTTAATCACAACCAGCTCCCAACCAGTGCCACCCAGTCTTCTGCTACTTGTACACATGTAATTCTCGTAGGGCATATCACACTCCCATTTGTTCATCCCAGATACATAACAAGTTCCATGGAATTCCGCGGCAATGGACGGGGCCTGCTTGCGCCCTCTCATAGGTCCCGTTACACGGTAGATCGCCCGCGATTTCACTCCTTCGAATCCAAAGGTAGAAATCTTCCGGGTTCTAACGTCCAGCACTCTGAAATTGAGGGCCTCAGAAGGTGTGTTGCAATCTTTCGAAGTCCCATGATACATTTAAATGTAGCACAGTTTAATTCGCTATGTGATAATAGTGCATGGGACGAACATTTTGAGAAGAGCTGGGGCTATGGCAGATTGTCAAGGTATGAGGAGAACTCGATTGGAAACACCAAGCGAGCCCGGAAATCGAAGAAGAGACGCAAGAAAGCACAACAACAGCAACTATCCCAGCCAAACTCAAAGACAGGCATTGAGAAGCACAGAGAAGATGCTCAATTGGCAATGTACGTGATGTTCGCAAGCTACACACGTGCCAAAGACATCAGTGCTGACTAGTCATACAAAGCGAAGAGTTTCCTTTCCAGCCACTGGCAAATTTCTCAAAAGTGCAGAGTCACGAGGAACAAGAGTGTAATTTACGGGAGCCATATTCCTATCTTCCTTCAGAAACACCCGAGTTCTGCTTGCCTGGTGTCTTTGGGTCCTCAAGTGCAGCACATACAGAATACCCTGGTTTGGAGACCTCAAAACCAATATTCGAGCGAGTAGAGTTTACAGACTTTTCGTTTATTAACGCGCCATTCTACCCGAGTGCTACTCGCCAAGACCTCGTCGAAGCTTGGTCTTTGCTGTCTGTCCCAGTAACCACAAGACATGACCAACGAGAACACATGCCAGAGCAAGTACACATCAACGAACAGTCGTTCCAAAAAAAACTTACCTCTTCAATACCAGGACTCAAATTCGGCAGGGATATTGATTGGGGCGACAATAGTATTGATGGAAGTGATAGCGACCTGGAGGAGGGAGAAATACGTGAATTTCCACGGCAGGACCCAAAGAACATCAAGCTTGAGATGGATCCGTAAGCAAACCCGATAATTAAGTATCGCCCGCCGAAGTCTTTGTCATGATGGTCGTTTCTTGGAATGTATTGCTTGAGCCATTGTGTTGCGGTAACGATACGCGATACGCGGAAAGATAGATGTAGTATACGTAGGAAGAAGAAAATGGAGCTATTCTTGAGGCAGAAGATTTCAGAGCTGGTCCATGTATCTACATTTTAGATATCGGGTACTTCTTTCACACTTTTAGCTCCAGAACGAAATTGAGAACATTTTGCTAAGGTGTTTGATCAAGTACATATTCCTCGGTCCACCCGCTCCCCAACCCGAGAAATCTGATTCCCTTTCACGCTCCATCCCCTCGATGAGCTAAAATACTAATGAACCTCGTCCTTCTCCTCCACTTCTAGAAAGAAGCCTATCGTCTTCTTCAAATTCTCTTCTCAGCTACCTCCGCTCCTCCCCTATCAATCCTTGCCCCACCAACCTCCTCCTTCCTCCCTACAGCGTGAGATCCTCAAAGCCATCAAACTACTGTATGAACATCCGATGCCAGTGAAAAGCGCAAACATCTATCCACTAATATACAAGTCACTCTATACAGCAAAACCATCTCAAGGAGACTGATTTGGAGATATCTAAGTCGCGTTTAACCCTTCAAGACAATTAGGCGAAACTCTGTATACACCTAAATTAGAACAAAATATCATTCCAAAAAACCTCGTACAAGTAAGAAGTAAAATTATTATATTTTTTTGGACCTAAGTCATTTAGGACAATCGAGTTAATTGCTTCAGAAATTCTAGTATGATAGATTCGTAGGGTAGGTATATATGGACCTTCGCCTAACTATCTTACTATAGCCCTTAATATCAGCGTTCGGCACTTAGAATACGATTCTAAGGATTCTAAGATTTTATTCTAAGGTAGAATATTCTAAAGGGTCTCTAATTTAGAATAGAATATTCTAAAGAATAAGGCCTTGGAATTTGGAATTCCAAAGGATATAAATATTACTATTTAACTAATAAGAGATCTCTATTTGTTATAAAGTAAGGACTGAAATTATTATTTTTACCTACACCTAATTAATTATCGTTGTCTCTTATATATAACTTAGGTGAATCCAAGTAGTTTTATAGTGTTTGTACTACCTGTACCAGCAGTCTAGGAGTACGTGTACCGCTAGTCTAAGAGGCGCATATGCGTGTATGTAAGGCTCTTTTGCGCGTGCTTGTATACCGAATATACGAATACAAGTATGAAGCTGTTCCGCAAGGTAATTTTACTTATATACCAGCAGTCTGGAAATTATAAAGTACATATGCCGGCTATCTGAGGCCCAAATACGAGTATTTCGTCCTAGTGAGTTGTGTGGGGGCGACATTGTAATATTATTATTGTGGTATTAATGGTGTTAATAGTGTAGATGCGGTACTAAGGCTTCCTATTAGTCGCTCGGACCGGAACTACCTTTTTACAGATCACGTGAGGTATTCTAACTGGAATTCTAAATATTCTACCCCTTAGAATGGAATATTCCAACACTTATACTATTTAGAATGGAATATTCTATATAGGGGTCTTGGAATAGAATGGAATTACGAATGCCGAACGCTGCTTACTATTAATTAGGCTTACATTAATTTATTAATGTAACTACTCTTAGAAGATCCCGATACATGTTTCTGAAATAGACCATAGGCTGAAATGTAAATCTCTATGCTAATAGAGTGTTTGAAAGAGAGGATATTTACCTGGTTATTACTAATGTGCTCATTCTCGTTTTGGAAGCGTGTATATGGCGCTTCTTCGTATTTGATAATATCTGGGCAGCTATAGTATTATAATTTTACACCAAAAAAGGCGTGTACTTCTTGATCTACTTGGAAGCTCCCTCGAACTGTCTAGGAGATATCAGAGCCCCCTTTTCTTGTAGCTGGCTCTCTGTTCGATGATCTATTCGTAGCTTATTTTAACAATGCCTTATTTGTCCTTGATGAAAAGTATCTTCGGAGTATTTTTACGAACATTCTTATAGAGATCGGGATTTCTCTACTACTCTACTCCATTCCCTCTCACTATCTTTACTGGATGATGGATATAGACTACGCTATAGTACGATTATATATATGTTCCGAATATAGTATTTCGTAAAGTAATAAGCTACAGAGTATAAAAATCTCTAGTACCACGTTCAAATCTATTACCGTGCTATTAGAAAGGACATATATGAGTTAACCTAGCTATAAATAACGTCTCGTTAACTAAGTTTCGATTCCCTATTCTAGAAGAGTAAATAAATAGGATTTTAGAACTCTAAAATAATAAATCAATAAGCGATAGTTATTAGCTAAATTAGTTTAGATATTAGGAATAAAGAAACTATCTTATTCCTATTTAGAGATACTATTTTTATACTATCTATCGAATTATTAATAGTCTATATCTAACCAAGTTATACTAGTACTATTCTATAATATTCTAATAAACTACTAGCTACTCCCCTTAAGCAAATCTAACTAAAACCCATTATATTATACTATCTATTTCGATAAATCAAAACAATTTATCTAAAACGATAGAATAATAAAGGTAATTATTCTACTTTTAAGTTTAGAATAATAAGCCCAAGTTAACTTAGTTTACCTAAACGTTTAGAACAAGTAAAGTGATTTATCTAGTTAATTCGAACAATCTATAGGTTTAGAATAATTTAGACTATATAGTATAAACCTATAAGTTCCAAGTTTAGAATAATAAGTCTAACTTAACTTAGTTTACCTACACGTTTAGAACAAGTAAAGTAGTTTATCCAGTTAATTTAAATAATCTAGATATTTAGGACATTAATGGGAACAAGTCAATTACCTGAGAACTTGAGCAGTCACCTAAATCCTGTTATGTCTAAGAATAGGTAATGTAGTCTTCTTACAAGGAGAGACAACATAACCCCGTTTACTTCAAGTGTTAAGGAATACAAAGTGGTCACATGTATAAGCGAAGGAACAACGATTTGTGGAGAGACTTTCTTTTATTTAGGATGGATCAGAATAGACACCCATATTTCCACCAACGAAACATATAGTTTTTACCTTCCTTGGGTTCTATGCTAAGTTTTGTGCCTCATGCCTGGATGGGCAGGAGCACTTCCGTTTGCCATCAGCGTAAGAGCCAGCTTCAATCGCCTCTCTTCTATCAATCAAGAGAAGAGAAAAGACATGCTGCGCGTCGACGCGGCCCCACGCAAGGGATGGTAAAAAAAAGCCGCTATTCCCAAGTATCTCCGTCGCAAATTGGTCGAAGAGCTCCAGGAAAACATCCACTTTTGTCTAAACAGAAATACAACCGACGGAAAATGAAAAGCGTATGCAGGATCTTCTAAAAGTAGTGGCAAATGACCTTCGAATGCCTTGAAAGCAGAAAGATTTTGAGAACATAACCGTCATAATGCGTTGCGGAAAACCCAGGGATATTCACTTCCTTCCCAGGTAATATAATGCACCATGACTGGTACGCCGCAAGTGGCGCCCAATGCAGCTGCCAGAGATCGCCCTGGATCATCTATTGGGTATCGAGACGAAAGGGGACGGGCAGAAACAAAGCACAACGCTATCTATTCGAATGCCGTTCGATGGTCGAGATCACAAGCTTAGGCCAGCTCCTGTTTGCAACCAGGTAAGAGCCGGCCCAGTCGTGATCGTGTCGCTATTAGAAAATCGGAAAAAAGGGAGTCGCAAAAAAGATGGAATAGAGCGCGAGGCGTATTATCGAATCGAGAGAATGAGAAACAAGAAATCGAGTGTACGGACGAAATCGTATCGACAGAAAAGCCTGAAGATATCCGTTGACGCCTTTGCCCCAAAATTCTAGTATAGTACCGCGTCGTGAGAGGCAAGACAAGTCTAGGTAGAAACAAAGGATCGTCCAAGGGTGAGACTTCTACCACCAAGAGTTGGCGCTTGGTTGGTTACCTGATGTAATGTTAGTTTGGGAATCAAATTATCAAGGATTGCTGGGATGTAGACATACCGTATTGTTGAGGTGGGGCATAACCACCACCACCACCACCACCACCACCTGGGTAACCTCCAGCACCACCAGCTGGTCCTCCAAAGCCACCTCCGTATCCGCCACCTTGTTGGCTACCGTATCCACCGCCGCCGGCACCTCCGAATCCACCCTTTCGAGCATCACGGCTGGCACCGCCGCCACGTCCACGGCCACCACCTGATCGTCCACCGCCGCGGCCTCCACCAAATCCAGAGCCCTCACGAGCAATGTTTTCGAGAAAAGCTGGAACCTCTTGATTGGCTTCCTTGAGAAGTTCAATCAAGTCGCGGACAACACCTCGGTTGCCTCGGTTGAAGAAAGCTGTGGCAATTCCAACATTACCAGCACGACCGGTACGACCAATGCGATGGACATAGTCGTCAATATCAGTTGGAAGATCGTAATTGACGACATGTACCACATTTGGTATGTCAAGTCCTGTGCAAGAATTAGAATAAAGAACTGTAACATGCAAGAGGCCCTGCAACTTCTGTATACACCTGGGGACAAATTGTGTCAAGTCACGTGTCAAGTCACCTTGGACCATTTGAAGATTCCAAATAGCTGGGTCAATTAGAAAGTCCAACTCTCCATTGATCCAATTCTTTGGAACAATCACTGATTGTAATTGAAATAATAGAAATTCCGGTGTACGCCGAGCAATAGCCGAATTTAGGAAAGGAAAACAATTTGTAGCAACTTACCTCTGGCAGCAACAGCAGTGGCGACAAGGATTGGGCAACGTCCATTTCTGAACATCTCAAGAGCACGCTCACGCTCACGTTGGGTACGATCACCGTGGATGGAGGTTGCTGGAATGTTTTGGTTGATCAAGAAGTCCGAAAGGGAATCAGCCATTCGCTTAGTTTCAACGAAAATCAAAGTGAGACCAGTTCCATGAGTGTGGATGATGTCGAGGAGAACGGATCGCTTGTCCATATCCTCAACGTACTCAACCTTTTGGGTGATGTTCTCGGATGTAGAACCAACACGGCCGACGGACAAGAAGATGTAGTCCTTCAAGAAATCTCTGGCGAGCATTTGAATGTCACGAGGGAAGGTGGCGGAGAACATGAGAGTTTGACGGTTCTGAACGCCTGGCATATCTTCTCCCTCAACAATTCTTCGAATTTGTGGTTCGAAACCCATGTCCAACATACGATCAGCCTCGTCAAGAACCAAGTACTTGATGTTGCACAAAGAAATACGGCCACGCTCGATAAGATCGACGAGACGACCTGGAGTTGCAACCAAGAGATCACATCCTCGTTCAATTTGGCGGAGTTGAGAACCAATATCTGCACCACCATAAACAACACATGGTCGAACCCATGATCGGTAGGCAAACTTTCGGGACTCCTCGTAGATCTGAGAAACCAACTCACGAGTGGGTGCGAGAATGAGGGAGGTTGGGTAGGCTTTGCGTTGACGGCCGAAGTTACCGCCAGCTCCTGCTGGTGCTGCTGAGGGGCCAGTGAGGAAAGCTTGGGAAAGGATAGGAAACAAGAAACCACCAGTCTTTCCGGAACCAGTTTGAGCACAAGCCATCAAATCACGACCGCCCATGACGATTGGAATAGAGTACTTTTGCACTGGAGTTGGGACCTTGTAGTGAGCAAGCTCAATGTTCTTAATGAGGTGGTCATCGAGTGGTGGGTTGGTGAACTTGAGGACTGGTTCGGGGACATCGTGTCCAGAAGCTTCGACTGGGATATCATCGTACTTCTCGAAGTTGATACCGGTTTGTTGCTTGGTTGGGTCATCTGGGACACCAAAGAGCTCTCGCTCAATGCGTGCGTTGGCAGGTCCAGCGATGTGCTTACCATCAACCCATCTGCCATCGCCACCGCCGCGAGGAGCACCACCGCCGCCAGCTCCTGGGTTTCCATAACTTCTTGGGTTGAAGTTTCCAGCACCAGAGTGGTCCCAACCTCCAGGCCCGCCACGTGGTGGTGGTCCACCTTGTCCAGGAGTGAATGCTTGTGCTTGAGCGTTAGGTCCCCAGTTTCCTCCTTGAGGGGGGCCGCCGTATCCGTTGCTGTTGGTAAAGTATTAGCAAAGGTATCAAACATACGCGCGACGCTATCACTATCTGCGCCAAAGTAAGACGCGCATCGAGAAAAGAAATACTTACGATCCGTTGGCAGCCCAGGCGCCGTTGTTGGCCATGGGACCAGGTCCGCCTGGCATAGGCCCAGCTGGTCCTGGCCCTCCCATCTTTCCTCGCATGTGAGGAGGGATGTAGGAGTTGCCCTGAGGTCCGTTGTTCATGTTGAGGTTGCCCATGGCATTTGTTACTTGGTCGGCCATGTTGGGTGGTTGTCAGGTTTTCGTGAGGCTGAAAAGTGACGTTGTGTCGTGTTGGCTTCGTGATGATATTATCGTCGCAGATAAGACGGCAGAAGGCAGAAACAGAAAAGTCGTTCTAGCGCTCTAAAAGATCGGGAGATCTAAGAAGAGAGCGTGGGAAAGACGAAGCTGAAAAAATCTATGGAATCGAAACGCGATCGAGGGTATTAGAAAAGAAGACTGGTTGCTTCCTTCGATCTCTTGTATAAAGAGAGGTAGACGTCGACGGTCGTAAAGTGTGAGACCCTCCGAAAGAACAGGTGACTTTCAAAAGGAAACGAGAGAGAGGAGTTGTGTAGGTGGGTGGTTGTGATCGAGGGATCAGGGAGTTGGAGGAGGAGAGAAAATCTTGAGAAGGCGAAAAAGGTCGGCGACCCAAAAACCCTTCCGCCTCGCTTACGTTTGACGCTAGTGAAGTACCTAAGGCTTGTAGGCTCTGATCACGTGTTTACTTGCTCACCGCATTTCCACCCAAACGTGATGGTTTGTTGAGAGCGTTCTCTATTGGATAGGGCTTACCCTATTTTATGTCATGTCATATAAGCTTATTCATTTATCGATTTTGATTGGGGGACTCTGTCATGTAGTATCTGTCGCGGTGTCACCTCATCATTTCTGATCTCAAAATCAACTTTGCTCTGGTTTTTCTGCCCTAATCCAGGCTCCTTGTTCCCACTAGAAGCGTACTGAATGGAACCAGTGGAACCTGGCGGAAGCTCGTCACAGGTCTTAAGGCCGCACTGGGCCTCTTGTTGAGACGAACTAATACGACTCGACTGTATTCACTCGACTCATGAAAGGGCTTGGATTTCTTGGTCAGCTAGGCTTCTCCAGCCAGGCTGTATTGAAGCTGGGGCTGCTCAAATAGCATTTGGTTTCCCTACAGCATCCTAGTTACTCCATGTACAGTACACGTAGCTGCCGATAGGTGTAACGGGCATTTAATTGAGCGTTTTCCCTCAAAATTGGGTTACGTTAAACTCTTCTAATCTTACAGTAGGCCAGACAATTAGCCAATTGTGTTGGTTCTAGAATTCACCTAGAAAAGGAGAACAACCAAAACATGTAATTGTGCATCTTAAGACAACTAATAAGGTTGTTGCTATAAACATTTGTATCAATTACTGATGAGCCTAGAGAATTATATTGGTTTCCTGCTACTTTTCTTGTCTATCGCCAACCAAGTCTGTAGCAGCTTGTATCACTCTTTTCAACCAAGTGTATCTATCTGAGTCAATATGTAAAATCTGTTCAGATAGTTGTTATTTCTTCTAACTTGTGCACGCCCCGTTGCTATTTCACCTCTTCTTGGCAATTCAAATATTAGGTCATCGATCTTTGTACTACCTGAAAGATACTTTTAGATGAATATTCTATGCAGAACTTATTCCAAGCACCTTGAAAAGGCCAACCTCTTCTAAGCTTTTTATATGATACTCACGACCATCCCATCTTCTCAGTCAAGTCTCCCAGATACAACACCGGTCCCTTAGCTCAGACAAAACTAAGTTCTCGCAAGCAAACCAATTTATCCCATCTTCCCAAACACAAAACAAGAAAGCATAAAAACACAAACACAAACACAAACTTCTCTTGGTCGGTAAGGGATCTCCCGTAGCAAGGATGCATCAGGTCCACGACTTTTTGATGGGAACTTTGGTGTACTGTGCAACGTCACAAATGAGCCCTTGCTGCAAAGTCCCTATAACTTACCAAAAGATATCAACGATGGCACAAATCAGTTTTCAAGTAGAGGTTCCTACAAATCGATGAGCTACAGTAACTGCATCAAACAAGCTTTCTGGACTGCAAGCTCCTTGCAAAAACCACAATCCCAGTAACGAACTTTGAGTGTTTTGAGAGAACTGCCGTGTGTTTCCATCAAGCTCAAAACATTGGTCTCTTGATTCGACGTTCAATTTCAAGTCACCAACTACCTCAAGAGAGATCTGGAGTTGTTGAAGGAGATGCTGAGACGTACCATACGGGGCGTTCACGGAATTCAAAGGTTATTCCATTCATTTCAAACCCCCTTTCGCCCCCTCCCCCTCCCCCTTCCCCTTCCCCCGATTCCTTCTAAATCTTTCAACAACATCACATTTCAACTTATTCACTCACCAACCTCCCCCTCCCCTCTATATAAGAGTCAAATCCAAGAGTGTAATACCATAGTCAGTTACTTGAAGAAACCAACAAACACCTTCAATTCCTCGGTCTACCATCTATATTCACATCTGCTTCCTCGGTCCATCCACATCCGTATCTACTTCTAGGTGAATATAGAAAGGTCACAACAGCCTCAACAACAGCTCCAGCAGCAGTAATCCACCAACTAAACCCCTGAAGTCTCCAATTCACCACCGTTCCTTCTCCAACTCCTTGGTAATGAACCGCCAGGGCACGATGTGACAGACATTCATCCCCTCAACAAATACTCAACAAATAAATCAATACTAGTAATTAATTCACCACCAGCACTCAACATGAACCCACCCCCGCCATATTCCCCTCCACTTCACCTCTCGTTCTACTTCCCCTCTGCTTCTGCTTTACTTTTACTTCAGCTCACTTCTGTATCAGATCACTTCTACTTTGGATTACTTCTACTTCCCTTCACATCTCCTTCACTTATTGTTCTACCTCCCTCTCTTTCCCTTCACTTATCCTTTACTTCACTTCAACTCCCGTTCCCCTTTACTTCTCCTTCACTTCCCTTCACTCCCCTTCCCCTTCACTTCTCCTTCTCCTTTCCTTCACTTCTACTCCCCTTCCCCTTTACTTATCTTTCACTTCACTTTACTTCACTTCTACATCTCTCCACTTCTCCTTCCCTTCCCTTCTCCACACTCTCACTCCTCCCTGTCCTTCTCACTCAGCTCCAACATAGGCATAAGCATAAACATAAACCACTCAGCCATTTCCCTCCTCACCTCTCCTTACATTCACCCTTCCCTCCCTTCCATCCCCGCTCAACTACAGAAAAAAAAAACCAAGAAGAAAAAGTAACACCTCTTCCCTCCTTTAGAAAACAAAAAGCTAAGCGACCTCAGCTCAGCTCCATGATCACTTTAGTTAATATCACATACCTATTTCCCTACCCCAAGAGAGAGGGGCACAGTAGACGGATAATATTATAATAAGTCTCTCCATAATATACACCAAGCAAACAAAGGCAAGTCAGCGCAAAAATACACAAGGCACAACAGAAGAGCCAAAGATACCCACCCCTACCAGCATCCCAAATCCCCCCCAAATAACCTCTTCAAACAGACCTCAGGTTAGCCAACGCGCGCTACTCACACCATCACACGCACAATTCATCATATATGAAAAAGACGAGCATCACTCTGCACACTCCTGAGCTATACAAATATCATTCTAAAGACCTGATACAACCAAGTTAATTGTCCAATTTTACCTAGCTTAGTAGAGAGTCAAACGTACTAACAATTAAGTTGTACCAGACTTTGGGTATAATAGCTTTTGATGGCAAAGTATGAGAGTAGTGGTAATAAATAAAAAAAACGGAGGAAAAAAGAGGAAGAGCAAAGAACTCCACCAATCTTATTTTTGTCAGGACTTAAGACCTGATCAGAGAAAAGGGTAGCTAGCTACTTTTCACTTGCTACTTCCTCAAGAGAAATGAGAAAAGCACTATCCACTTTATTTGGAACCCACTGTGCGCAGCAATGACAAACGCAAGTGTCACAAAAGCGTACTGAGATATGAGATTTTCAAAGTTTTGATTGATCAGTTTTGACTTCTATTTACACCAAACAATCATAGCTCCGGGGAAAAAAAGAAAAAAAGGGTTTAAAAAAAAAAGAAAAGAAAAACAAAAGGTAACATCATGGCACCATAGTATCGTCCTAATCCCCATTCCCCTAGTTCTCCTATACAAGGGAGACATTCTTTTTCAATCCGCCTTCTCCTTCCCCCACCCCAATTTCATGTAGATATCCACCCCCATCCATCCGCCCTATTGACCTAAAGTAAGAAGGAGACTCGCCAAATTGGTAGCCAAGTATGGAGAAAAACAAAAAAAGTGAAGGATAATGTGACAGGACGTGTGCATCCGTCGTCTACAGAAGTAGGGAGAAGACGCCATAACCACAACGGTGGTTTGTTATAGTGTGACAGTAAAAAGGAAACGCTAAATCGCAGCACAAGGAATAACCATCAAATCAACCACCTAGTCTGAAATCCTCCCTAAAGATTCATTTGCGACAGCCTTTCAGAGACAATCTCCATTTCTCTTGTAAGTCTCTCCATTTTCAATAAGTCTGCGGTATCAGCGGTAGGGACGACAACGAGTTCATACTGAGATGGCTTGGAGAACATGGCGGCAAAGTCAAAGGTAAATTCTTGCTCTTTTGAGACGGGAGTGGCAGCAGTGGGAGTAGAAGCGAAGAGAGCGAAGGTTGGGTCGGCGTCGAACTCCTCGTCAACGACTTCGACAACTGTGGTTGGCTCTTCAATGGCGGAGGCTTCTGGTGCACGCTCAATGGTCGGGAGCTCAATCTTCTCATCATCACTAGCAAGAGGAGTGAACGTGGAACTCTTTCCCGAAAGCATTTCGCTGTCGATGACAGTCTCTGGCATGCTGAGGACAGAAAATACTTGGGGTTGGTAAGAGAAACTACCATCCTGACCCAAATCAAGCATGGAATAATCCATGGTGTGCTCTGGTATCAAGGTCATTCCAATATGCTGTTGGTTCTGCATTTGCTGTTGAGCAGCGTATGGGTTAACATCCTTTCGGACTTGACGTTGAGGCTGCTGCTGTTGTGGCTGTTCAACGCGAGGCTGGGTAGCTTGCTGAGCAGTCTGAACTGCTGCTGGGTTTTGGGAGAGGTTGTCGAGAAATCCGGAGAACGATGGCGATGACAAGAGCATGCGGGTGAGGTCGGATAGACGTGTATTCTCCTCCATCAAAGCACGATTGGTAGATCTGAGATCTTGATTCTCGGTAACCTTTCCAGCAATCTCTCCTTCAAGTTGGCTGATGTATTCTGGAAAAAGTTAGCAGGTGACAAGTTATACTCGAGTGAGTGGTCTTACCCTTGCGTCTGGATCGGAAGGCTCTGGCAGAAACCTTGTTACGAAGTTGTCGTCGCTCCTTGCTGCTAAGCTTCTTTCCTTCTTCACTAGCAAGTAATCTCTCGTCCTCGTCCATCTCATCCTTACGCATACGTTGAGCATGGGATGTGTTATCCTGAGAGTGATCATCACTTCCGACACTGTTTTGTCTCATCGAGTTGAGCAATTGGGAAATCTTCTCCTCGACAATAGGATCGGTAGGTGGATGAGATGCGCGAGCGCGTTGGGTGGAAGGCTGTCTCGAGTGACCCATCGAGGTGGAAGCTTTTCGTTGCTGTTGGATGAGTTGTTGTTGTTGCTTTTGTTGAGCTTGAGCTTTGGCCAGAGCCTGCTGTTGATGCATACCCGGCCAGAGACGGCCAACGTTGCTAGTCTGGCTCGGGAGAGCGTTGGTTGCCGGTGCGATAGCACTTGGGTCAACAAAACTGCTCGATGCTTGTTCTGGGTAGAAATATGTCGAATCGGTGCTAAAGTCTAGATCCAACTCGGATGGATTGAATGAGCCATTTCGCGTAGGAGCTGTGTTGAAGTCTACAAAGTCGTCGTCTGTGCTAAGACCCGACATGAAGTTGTTGTCGGAGAAGCCAAATTGAGAATTGATATGAGCGTTGTTTTGGTTGATGGCCAGCGTGTTTGCAATGGCGCCCTGTGGAATGCCGGTTTGCTGTTTATACAGGTCGTATTGATGGCTCGGACCCGAGAGGACTGGTTGGGAGTTGGATGGGAGCGATGGAGGTGTATTCGACACGGCTCTGGTGGTAAACTCGCTCTTGACTGCCGAAGGGGACATAGATGGAGAGTGGTAGGAAACCTGTTCGTAGCCGGAGAAGTCGATGAGGGAGTCGAGGGGATCAAGACAACCGTTTTGTGAGTTGGAGTTGGACATCGTGGACGGGGAGTGCTGCGACGACACCGACATTATTGCTGGATTATGGTGGTGTCTGCAAGGAAGGCGTGGAGGGAGAGGTTGGATGTCTGGATCTCTAGATCTCTGGATCGGAGTGCGAAGGGATGTGTTGTGTCAACTAGAGTGTTGTTTTTGACAGAAATGTTTCTGGACTGGACCTCTCGAAAGATGGGGCTGGGGTATGTTGAGATCAAGAGCGAATGCGAAGTGGAAGGCTCGGGTGTTGGGTTGTGTGGAGGTCGAGTGGTGCCTGCAGGTGNGGGGGGGGGGGGGGGATACGGTGGTTACGGTGGTGGTTACGGTTGGTGGGATCAGGCTCTGGCGAGAGAACGCGCGTCCTTTGCTAAGACTGGAGGTGCAGGAGCAGCAGAGCAGCACTGCCACGAAGAGAAGAGTTCGTCTGCACACTTCTTGCCTAAGGCTTCAGGATGAAGGAAGCTGAGAGAGAGTCGGGAAGAATTACGTGTGAGAATTGGGGTGAATTAATAACTGAGAGAGAGCGACACTACGGTACAGTATGAGAGAGAGCGACAGTACAATATGAGAGAGAAGAGAAGTGAAGCAGCAGGCGTCAGAGCAGCAGCCCTATGATACTTCAACATACCCGTCTGCCAACCCTGGGCTCTCGACTCCTCGTCCCCGGGTTTTCCTTAACAGCGGCACTAGCTGCTTCAGGCGAATCCGGTGGGAGGGTTTGTGGCGGGTGGAGTTGGACACGGACTTCTCATCTGCAGGTGATGTGAGTGGCTCCTGCTGGGCGGGTTCATTCATGCGCTGCTCTCACTGCACTGCCCCTTTTCCGCACTCTGCCTGAGCGTGCGAGCTGAAGAGAACCCATCGGCGACCAACTGCACATTCTCCAATGAGCGCCGCTGAGGCTTGGGATGCCCTCCAACTCAATAATTCCAGCCACTGAGCGCGCAGCAAAATTCTGCACGCCAGATAATAACGCGTGGCAATATTGATTTACGCCGTAAATTTACCGTGCTACTGTACCGTGCTGCCGTCCCTCCAGCCTGTCACTCTGCTCTGTCCCTCTATCCCTCTGCCCCCAAGGAGCCGGAATATCGGAGTGTCGGAGTGTCGGAGTGTCGGAGTATCGGAAAACGGCCATTTCTTCACCTCCCTCCTCGCTCCACTCCACCTGCAGCTTCACAATCCTCCTTCTCGCTTCTAGCTCATTTCCTCTTTCAGACCCATCACCAGCATCGACCGCTTTTACTTGAAGTATTTCCAGTCGCCTGGATCGAGTCAACCGCCACCAAAATAGTCGTCGGTTTCATCGTCGAATGATGCTGTCTCCCACACGGTCCATGAGGTGGGGTGGCCCATACTCCGGAAAGACGTACTTCTACACGGAGTATGCCATTATATAGGGCTGCCAGTTGGGAAATTCCCTCCCGTTTTCGAGAGGGGAGAAAGGGTGGTCTCAGTGAGATCGGTCCCACCGTCATTTCCCGGTCGGCTTGTCCTTGCGAGCACAACGGATTTTCACTTCCAAGGGCTTTTTAAGGACAATCACTTCGTCGCAGCCGAAAAATACCGTAACTACTGAAACTCCGGTAAGAATGTTATCAACCTTAGCCATCCTTAACTACCCTAGGAAAGGTAAATTACAACGACTTCGTATTTTGCCTGGGCAAAGTGACTCAGGATTTGGTTTCCAGTCGACGCTTTCATGAAACATCTCAATCGAGAACCATTTGCTTCGGACATGTCAAACGAATCATTCATTTATCATCGATGTTTCGTCCTCCAACATCGGATTGCTCACGAATGGTGCAACTGGTTGATCTTTCCATCTTGATTCTTGACCTCCAACGTCCATCCCTTCTACCCGCCGTCAGAACGATTGGACAACGCACAAATCCACATGGAAAACTTTGAGCAAGCCAACCCAAAAATCCCGCATTGGTTGGATAGTGCTGACCAGTGGTTTCGGAGTTCACTCTTCCTAATCTTTCCATACAAACTTCTCTTTCTCATCGCAGCATCAATATTCTCGAAAGAAAGTTTGATGACAGTACAATTATCCATATCGAATACGACCAATGATTCAAAACTGAAGGTGCTTAGACCAACATTGGTGAATCTTCGGATCGGCCAAAATAAAACAATCCTCAATGATCGCAAGGCTGATCTTCCACACCTGACCTGGTCCAGACTCCAGATTCCACAAAAACAAGAAGACAGTCCACCTCCCCACCAGAACCCGGAAGTTTCAGAACTCTTCCCCTATGCTGATAGGGTGCAAGTTGTATAACTTTGATGCGGATTAATTAACCAAAGACCCTTTGTTTCTCCCTTTTCTCCACTTTTCAACATGTTTCTCTCTTCGAAGAATCGAAGACAAGAGACTCGCTCGCCATGGAGTCATGGACAGCTTGTTGTCTTCTCCATACAAGGCAGATTCTCGGATGGACACCCGGTTTGTCGGCTACGCTGCTCGATCCGTCTCAAAAGGGAGTCGAAGGGTTCCAACTGAAGAGTGTGGAGTCTGCGCTACTCGGATCTCCCGCCCCTCTTTTTTGCTCCATATACAACTCCACCTGTGTAATGCCTTCGTTCGGCTCGGCTCATTAAAATACAAATGTTCTATTGGCTCAGGAGGCTAGTCCATAGCTGGTGGAGAGGTCTTCATTGCATATGGGGCTGTTGTTAGGGAAATATCCGACGTTGAAAGTTGATACGGAATCCGCATCAGGTCGACTTCTAGAAACATTAGCAGTAGGTTTCAACAATCTCTTCAAATCATGGTGATTCTTGTAAGAGAACGATACTCTGGTTGCCGTTTCTCCAATTTCTCAACCAAAGTATTCGTTCCTTGACCAGAAAAGCTGTTAAATATTTAGGATCATAACGACCCCTTCCATTTCCGAAGCAGAATTTGGAGATAGTCATTTCAAAACTGGCAGCGAAAGAAGCTATTGAAGATTATTCAGCACTCTATATCGTACTTCGTATACGGTATACCACAATCGAAGGCACCTTCAAACTCTTGTCTCCCAGCTTCATCTTCATTGTTCCGTCCAGGACCAGTCCATAATCGATCTATTTACCCAACCCATCAAAACTCGCAAACATGCTACAATTTTGGATATTTTCACATTTATATTTAACACCTCTCGCGAAACCAATTGCGCGAGCGGCTCCCACCCACTCAGCCCATCCAGCCCATCCAGCCCACCCCATTCATCCCACCTTTAGATCCCGCTGTTTTGTCTCCAGCGACGGAGAATTAAAATTCCCATTTCTAGGTAAATTACTCTAGAAAACTTCAAGCTTCGGGACATTTTTGGGGTTTGCAATTGGGGGATTTGGAGTGGGTGGTGCGTGCCGATGATATGCCTGCGGAGAGATTCTTCTTATTTTCCTCCCGTCGGACTGTTTAGGTAGGGGAGCTTCGATAGCTATGGTGGGGATTGTTCATGCTGTAGTCCTGCATGTGGAAAATTTGCGGTGATCGTAATGTGGGATGCTTAAATTTTTTCGAGGTACTACTTGTATTTGGGGCGCGATCATGGCTCGTTTGGGTGCTTGTGGTGTGGGTTAGTACCGGTGATTGGTGGTTGGTTCGATCAATGGTCGTGATACCTCCGTTAATACCTGCGTAAATTTACCTCGTCCCAGGCATAATGCTCATTGGAATTTCGTGGGTTGACATGGGAGTTTCTAGTTCAGTATAGGCTAACATATCCACTACATACGAAATACTGTATCAACGATTGTGATGCCTGGTGTTTGTTATGCCTGGGACGAAGTTTACAATGAGGTGTTTGATGGTCGCCGATCTGTCGGATTGGGTTTCTAAAAATAGAACAGGTTTAACCTCATTGTTTCTTGGAGTGCAGTGCAGTGCTGTACTTGTAGGAGTATGTCTACCAATCAAATGATTGAATTCCAAAATTGGATGTCAGATAATGGACATAGCCACATTATTATCCGCTAATAGCTGTGCCTTTTGTAATTTTCTTTTGATATCTCCCGACCACGACTGTATCTACGAAATACGGCGGCTAAGCATCGGCCTTAACACACGTGATAAAGGCCTCCCCACTCTAAGCCCTTCACCTCAAGTATTCTATAAGCACATATTAACCAACCCCAGTAACTAAAAAAGATAAACGGGGACAGTTGGGAGGTGCCAGGCGTGGTTCACACGAAATTCTGTACCGTGTGCTATGGATTGAACACGACAAGGATTAAACCAATACCCTAACCGGTCGGGGATAACCTTTTGCTTTTTTGATTATTAAAACATTCTTTTTTGTTTGTTGTCTTGTCAATTTTTTTAGTTACAGTACCTTTGTATGTTGGAATCATAGGTCACAATATTCCACAGAAATCTGATCAAATCTACACCGCATGAGTCATTTCTCCCTCCCTCCCTCCCATCACATAAATCGACAGATCACAAAGCTGCGATATGCAACGAAAAACTATTGCATGTCTAATTTCGACTCTTCTTGGATGTCCTGATTGAGAGGTTTCAATATAATGTCTGAGAACGTGGTAGGCGGGAAAAAGAAGCGGATGTCTCAAGCGAGGAGAATGGATTGGTCTCCCTTTTTGAGGCTGAACACGCCCATGACGGGCTTTACATGCCAGAAGAAAGGACATTTTTTTTCTTCTGCTTGGAGTTTTTTTGAAGTATTGTCTTCTCCTTGTCCGTTGATTCTATCCTCCCTTTCTTGTGTTTTCTGTTGTACATAGAGGGGAATCCAAAATGAGGGCCGTCGCTGAGATCCAATCTTTGAATTGGCGAATGATTCTCGTCGTCACGTTGTGTTGCATGGGACTCTATTTTTTGTCCACGGGTGATGGATTTGGGACTGGGCCTAGTACTTCACAACCACCAAGTGCGCAATTGGAAAGCCCTTTTCTTGTTACTCCTGTCCAGCGGCCTCCAGAAGTTGCGGTTTCCAAGGCAGGAACGGGGACGGTAAAAGAGAGCGTTGTACCAGTGAAGGATACGGGCAAGATTGTCAACGTGGAATCGAAGTTCAAGACTCAAAACGAAGATGTAGCTCCGGTGGAAAGACCCTATCCTGTGTTGGGGGATGAATATGACGCTCCTTTTGATGCATTTCCTGGCCGTCAGAGACCGGTAGGGGACGAGGACGAGGGCGAGGATGATGAAGTTTTGGAAGCGAATCCTGAGCCTGAAGCGGAATCAGAGCAAGTGCAATAAAAGGAGGAAAATCCAATAAAAGAAGTGCCAGGAAAGCCGGAAACACCAGCGAACCCAGCCCCAGATTTCAACTCTGGCAGCAACGAAGAACAAAAACAACCTCCCACAGCACCCTCCATCAAACCACCATCCGAACAGCTCAAAGCCGCAAAACTCCATCCTCCAAACCTCGTCCCAGAACCAGGGTCTCAGGCTGCCACAGAACTGCAATTCCAAGAGGACTATAATTACATAGCCATCTGCGCAGCGCTGAAGGACGTACCACTCGACCTACCTGAATGGCTAATCCATCACTACAACCACCTCCAAATCCGCAACTTCTACATAATGGATGGTGGATCCGATCCTCCTTTATCCACAATTCCAACCGTCGATTTGGGAATACCACCTGCATCTGTCCACTTTCAATTTCAAGATCAGAGTACCCGTGGTGAAAACGAACAATTGTTGATATATCAAAGATGTTTACAAAACTGGGGAAAGAGACATAAATGGATGATCTTCCTGGATGGCGATGAATTCCTGGAATTGACCGCGGGCAACGAAACTCTCCTTGAATTCCTCAAAGAAAAAGAACAAGAGCCGGGAGTTGGTGCAGTGGCTGTAAATTGGAAAACGCATACTTCATCCGGTCTCCTGACACGACCGGCAAGCGCAAGGAAGGCTCGAACCCTCAAGTCCGCATACGTGGAATTTGAAAGAGGGGTTTGTGACAGTCAGGGAGCATGGAGATCAGCTGCAAGGTTTCTTTATGCCGGTGATCACTCGGGATCGGATTGCCCTGCATCATTATGCTGGGAAGAGTAGGGAGGAGTACGAGGAGAAGATGGGGAGGGGAAATGCTATGAATGGTATGTTATGTTTTGGGCTCCCTCTTTATTTCAAGCTTGCGAAATGTTGACTAACATCCTTGGTAGATCCTAAGAAAGAGAATTTCTGGCAGAGTATTGAGGTTGAACTTCCGCATGTTGGATGTCCGGAGATGGCTAAATATGATCCTTGAACTTCTTTGTGTGCGTGTTGTTATGACTTTCAATATATGGAAGATAGTTAATATATACAAATTCAACGAGTTTCCTTTTTCGGGGGTTTCCATCTCTTTTAGAAATTGGTAAAGATAATTAATCGGACTTTGTCCTTTAACTTTAACACTTCTTAATAGCGACCTATTCGCTAAATGTTACTTGAAAATCGTTCCATTACTTTCTAGCCATTATAGAAACTAAATGTACTAAAGATTCTGATATATTAGACTAAATTCTCGCCAATTAACAGATGATAAATCTCGAATACCTAACTTGTTTCTTAGAGGACGCTTTTGCTATTAGTGTATAGTTATTTTATAGTCTATAGCATAACTAGTAAAAGTAAGACGCCAAGAGCTATTAGAAGGTAGAGAGTAAATTATATTTACTATTTTATAAGAGAGAGGCGGGCATTACTCTATATACACATAAGTTATAAAAATATTATCCTAAAGACCTTATAAAACTAAAATAATGTTGTGCTGGGTCTACTTTCTCTTTTGCTCCACTTCCTTATTTGATCCACTTATAGTTCTGCTGCCTAAATGCTTCATGTCTGCCTAAACCTTACTCTCTTTATATAAACATCTTAGATAGCTACCTTTTACAATGCAATCAATTCTCCATGACCTTCAGTACCCAATACCCTTTCAACCCAATAACTAATTATACAAATAGTTTAGAATAATTAATACTTTTCACTCCTTATTAACCTAGGTGAAATAGGACAATTAATTAGGTTGTACTAGACTTTAGTGTAATAACTTCTAATAGCGTGTATAGAGCAATGACCAGGTTTCTTACGAGCGAGTAGATGCGAACGGCCATGTAATATTATATGAGAATTAGGCTCTGGTTTTGAAAACCCACGGAAGTCGTTTTGGATACCGTTATACACATTACAAAAATTTCGAAGGCGACCTGCCAGGAAGCTATACCTAGGAATCAGGGAAGCATTTCACTCGGGACACATGACTCAGCAGAAAGAGAAGTACACTTTGGAATCGGCGGTCTTGCGCCGAGAACTATAATATATTCATCGGTGACAGTGAACCTTTTCACCCGACGCCATAACTCCAAGAAATGCCGAATACAGTACTAGTTCTCTAGCAAATGCGAAAGAGAAACATCATATTTACATTCCAATATTTCCTCGTTTTCCGCCTCTCTTACTCCTCTCAATATGGCCTTGCAGGACACGTTTCGTCTGCGTCAAACTCCTCTTTTGCTTGTACTTCGCCTTTCCAAGTGTCATCAAGAAATTCTTCTTCCTCGATTTCTCCTTGTTTGTAGTACTCTTTCCCTCGGCTTCCTTCTTTGATTTTCTTATAGCCTGTGTGCTCTTATGCTCGCCTCTCTCTCCTTTGCCTTCGCGAGCCAAGGCAATCATTTCCTCCTTGGTACTCTTTCGGAGTTTGGAAAATCCTTCGATTTGATCAGCTGTAAGAGCATCATCTGCATGACGTGCAAGTGCTTCCTTGATACGATCAGATTGAGCCTTGGTCTTAGCACCCATGGTCTTGTTGATGGATGCTTCAAGACGAAGTTCTTGAAGTTTAGCGAGATCAGCCGGGGTGAGAATCTTTGTGGTTGCCAGTTTCGAGACTTTCTTTTCAGGATTCTGGTCGGTTTCTCCCTTTTCTGCATCCGGATTTGGTGTTGCAGATTTATCGAGTTTGATTTTCTTAGCGGCTGGTTCGTCGTCTTCGCTATCACTGATGTTGATTTCTTCATCACTTTCAACTGCGATCCAACCCCCAGAATCCTCGCTCGCATCTGATTCTGCGTCCCAGTTATCCCACCCAGCTTGTTCTTCCGCTTCATTCTCGTCCTCGTCTTCTTCATCTGTGCCCAACTCTGGTAGTCCTGTCTCGGCACGTTTTCGTTTTCGTTCGTTGGCTTTCCACTCCTCAAGCAGCTCGATCCCTTCAATTCCACCCACTTCATCTTCACCAAACCTCCGCTCCTTGATAGTGCCACTCTTGATACCCATTGTTGCCTTCTTTCCCCTGTCTCTCTTTTTCAGAAGATCGGCTCCAACTTCTCGATATAGAGATAACAATCCCTTTGCTGCCATCATTGTTCCTTTGTCCTTACTTTTTCGATACATGACCAAATCTTGCAGCAGTATATCACTCATAGCTAGCGGTTGCCGAACACAAATTTCTCGGATTGCATTCAGACCCGCGGACGCTACTTCTGATGCTGACGCCTCAGAGACAAACTCGTTGGCGATCTTTTGTACGAGAGGTTCGATGGCATCTGGAGGCACCAAGCTGTGTGTTGCTTGAGCTAGAGATGCAAGAAATGACGTGACTTGAGGTTGCCGCGGAGTAAGATATTTAGTAAAGTAGGAGTATAATTTGATGACAGTCAACTTATGTAGTCCAACAAGTCGCGATACAAGTTGTAGAACAAGTAGCTTCTGGTCCAGATTGAGTTTTGATTTACCGTTATTCAGATGTTTCGAGAATAATTGTTCGGCAAATCCTTGAGGGTCGTGTAATAAATGCAGTGCAGAAAAGTTCAGAGGATGTGGTGCATTTTTCTTCTTCTCATTCTGTCTTACTTTCTTTACGGCTGCCTCGACCGACTTCTTGCCTTTCCTGGTCTTCTTGTTTATACCAATCTGATGCTTGAGTTTGCCCACATCGATCGCCTCATCGTCGCTGCTCTCATCTTCAAGCTCCTCTCGCTCCTTGTCGCCACCGAGAAAGAAACGTACGCCACTTCCAATAACCTTCTCGTTATCTGCCAAACTTGCCTCCTTCATGATCTCTACGGCCTTCGAATCTGTCCAAATCTGGCGCTTCCATAATTCTCTCGTAATCTTGACAGCCCATATTCCTTTTGAAGATGTTCGATCGGAGGTAAGAAGGTTGAAAAGCGCAGTTTGTATTGTTCGATTTAGACGGTGGTTTATGGCCTTTTGGTTTGAGGTTCTCAGATCGGAGAGGATTTTGTTAAAAAGGAGCGACCGTAGTGTCTTGCTAGGTGTTGCCACAAGAATTGGGAAGAGGGTATTGAGGAGACTCGAAGAATCTATGATATCTTTCCGGCGCAATAAAACCAAACTTCCTACTATCTTCTCCCTCAGTTCGCTCTCTAACTGAGCATGGTGCAGCGTGAGAATTGTTTTGAGATCTTCTGGGAATTCGGCGGTGTCCTCAGGAAAACAATCTGCGACATGCGCCACGAAATCTATGAGGTTGCGAAAGGATATGATGCCGCTCGAAGTCGCAGTGGTCGGCGATGCCATGAAGATATCGCGTTGAGATTGGTACTGGCCATATTGATTGAGGAAGTCTTCAGTATAAGATCTGTACAAGTAATTAGTATGCAGAAGTCGCGGTCGAGGTGAGGGGGAGCTTACTTTGGGTCTCGACCGATTTTATACTGAAGATTGGGCCTGTCAAGGTTAGTTTAGATGCCAATCCAATGCAAAAAAACCCAGGATTCATACAGATCTGCATCCACCTTTTCCAATGCGCCAACACGTTTCTTCGGCATTGCGATTTCTGTTGATTTGGCGATTGAGCGTTGTACTTGTACTGGATAGCATTAAACTTCCATTGAATCCTGCCCCGAAAAAAATTGTTATCGATTATCTTAGCGCGGGAACTCCCTGCTCTTTAGCCCCACTACAGAATATCACGTGCCGTGTCCTAAATGACGACCCCGGCCCTCCCGTCCATACCGTAGTCCTAGCAGGTCCATCTTAGTTGGCTCGGTTAGGTGGAATCAAGACGATCTTCCTCTTAACCCCCATCACCATTATTACTATAATCGGCCCTCAAGCCCCTTGATGAATACTTTCAAGTCCATTCCACCTTAATCTCCACCTCTACTAAACGTGTCTCCTCTGTAAATTTAAAGGTCTTAAAGAGCCTTCGTTATAATTATCTAGTGCGAATTATTCTTAGTTAATATATTAACTTTATTATTTCCTAGTAATTCTCTAGGCCTGACAGTAAATATAATCGAAATCCAAGTATCTACAAAAATTCTCCCCCAACAGATTTCTGACGTAACAAAATCTCCTTGTCCACAAACAGCATTTTCAGGGCACTTTGTAGTAGATTAAGCAAATTCAATTTCCTCCTTTGTTTACTCCTGCGCTGTGGTCAAGAATAGACACCTACCAGAATGTAGGGGTGGTAGGTAGGTGACGCCTGCGGCTGGCTAGATTGTTGGCATCCTGTTGATACAAATCGGGGTCGGAAAAGTCGTACCCGAAAATGCCCAATATCTGAATTCCCAGGAGGATATGACCCTACCCAGGATAATCTTCGTATTTCCGTCCCAATGCCGCAGCAAGAAGAATCTTTGAGGGGCGCGCAGGAAACCGCTCGTTGCTACACCACACAATGCTAGGCCTTGAATGATTGCGTTTGACGATTTGTGCTTTGGCTTTTCTCAAGAGTGCACCCTTCCATGATTCGAAAGTCTCCTTGAAGAGGTTATCATCAAACTTCAAGAGCTGAAGCATTTCCCGTCCCAACCTTCCCAATAATTTTGTAGCCTATTCCAAGACAAAACTCGCATTTGCCAGTTACGTCTTTTTGTGGTTCATGGATGCATTCCTCTGGTGCACAACACATGCTGCTGCTTTTATGTTTGTCGCATAACCTGTGAGAACGGGTTTGCTGTAGTGGGCACAACGAAAAGAGTATTTTTGCGTATAACAACACATGGTGGAGTTTGAAGGTGCGATCTTTGTTTGTTGTTGATCCTTAGGGATGGGAATCCCGTTTGATGATTGACTTGGTGACATGAAGAGAAGGACGCTGAAGTTAACTAGTCTTGGGGTGATTAAAAGAGCGCTATTGCAAAGCCCGTATTTCAGATTAAGAGCCTTTATCTGACAAAAATATATACTAAAATTCATGTTAGCTTATTCTCCCTGAATCAGATCAAGTGGTTTGATACAACATAACATTCACTGTCCTAAAGAATCAAGTGTAGCACATGGAAAGTTACTCACATCAACTCCAGAGTCCAGAAATCTTAGGACCCCGTCCGTAATGGTATCATTTCTTTCGTGGTGATGGTGTGTTTGGCAATCTATCTTGTCGTTCATGTTTTGCCTTGTCTCTGCTCTTGGTTCTCATCCATTGATCTTTCCTCTCTATCATCCGTATCAAAGCCTCGTCATTATCATCCAAACAATCGTCACACATGCTGATGCATGTGACCATTGGACTATCACTATTGGTTTTAGGGCAGTCGAAGTTATTACGCCTTGCGAAAGCGCATCGTTTGACAGCGTATGACTTGTCTTCGCACATCTAAGAAGTAAAAGTTAGCTTTTATACTGTTTCCTGTTGGATGGGCTATCATACATAGTGGAAGATCAGGGTGTATCTGCACATTAGTCTGGCCAATCACTAGCTTTGCTTGCAAAACAAAGGTTTCAATTGTAGCTGAGGGCGGTTTTCAATCTTTGGTAGCTTTGTGGTCTGATAGGAATGGAGAGTGGGCAAAGCGAAGAGTGTCTGGCATAATCTCATCTGCAGATAATCAGGGAGATCTCTTGGTGAGCCAGAAAAGCTCTCTAGTAGTGAAGAAACTATGACTGAAGTCTGATGCTACCTTTTGTTTTTTGAGAGCCTCAAGCCTCTCTTCTATTTTTAGTGGAACACAAACTTTTGTTCAGAAACAGGAAATCTGCTGTTTCAATGCTGTAGTATATCATATCAGTCTGAACTATATTTAGTCTTTGCAAATTCTCTCCCACATCGCTTGAAGCAACAATAGAGTCATATCACTTGCCAATCTGTGACTTAATTTGTACTAGAGAGCATACTTAGTTCCAGTTCCCTGAGTCTAAATAGCCTCCTTCATTACGCCCAACCGCGTTACCCCCACGAGTCCAGCATACAAACTTTCAAGAGGTCTGGTTGCTAGAATGTTGAGGAAAGCCACATCATAGGATACATGCAATTCTGCCATTCTCTCACGCCATACTGTAGCTCAGAACCTCTCTCATTCCTGCTCAGTCGCACTCCATCTTGTCAAGTCTTTCCCGCTGCATCTTCCGTCCCCTTTCTGTCTCCGGTCTCTCTTTCTCATTGTTCTTAGCCAGAATTTCGTTAATCTTCAACTGCTTCTCCCTTTGCAACTTCATCATCCTAATTCGTTTCCCCTCAAATCCAAACTTGAACCCTGCCTTGACCAGATCCTCCTCTGCTAGGTCTTCTGCATGGAATCCACATACTGTGCAGCTTTTCCGGGTCAAAAACTCTTCCTTCCTGTCAACAGGACAGTTGCTATCATTGACGCGTGCCTCGAAACATTTTTTGATCACTTGGTGTGTGGTGCAACCGCATTTCTCATGCTTGCGTTGAGCGTATTTGCACATGGCGAGGGCTTTTGATTGCGATGATCGTGAGATGTTGGTTGTGGTTGTTGGTGTGCTTGGAGAAATGGCACCGTGAGTGCGAAGGCAAGAGTGATTTTGGGTCTTCAGCGGTGACCTCGAGAGATGCTTGGAGAAGGGTTTTCCGCGATTGTTGGATACAGCTGCAGTCAACCTGCTGTAATTTGAAAGCGTCGAGGTTCCTGGCGGTCTGCGGAGATCTGGAGGTGACGGGGTGATTTGCGAGCAAGATGGGTAAATCTGGATTTGGCGAAGTTCAGATGAGCAGTATAAGCACGAGAGATCGTAAGCGCCAGCTTGCGCTCTCCCGCGCGAATTTGATGACTCTATTGAGATGGTTCACGTGGTTGTTGCGAAGTGGTGGTTGAGCCTTGGAGACTGGAACATGACGCCAAAAAAACCTCACGCACTGCTGCCTCACCTTGATGGCCAATGGACAAGCGCAAAATTCAATTCATACTTCTGGCCTCGAGACATACGCTAGTGTAACTTTGGTGAAGTTCTGGCCTACAGGGCATCATTCATTCGCCATATTGAAAAACAAGATATTTGCGTCTCTAGTTTCCCCGCTATCAACACTTACTGAATGTGGAATCCAAACAGCAAGCATATTGGAATTTATCATGCAGACAGACTCCTATGAGATATACTACCATTGATGACCTGCCACCTACACCGTATTGTGTACGCCTCATTCAACTCGAGGCTCTCGAGTTTTTGCGCCTTTGGAATTGAATCATCGAAGACATCTCGATTTCAATTGTATGACTTTGAACCAGTGCTTCTAGTAAATAGTCACTTTGTAAGAAGAGAGCATCATCTGCAAATGCGTTTCTTGTTGGTTCACGTCGCTGGCACAAACAGACGCATTTCTCCTCGCTATCGCCGAGAAATATTTGCCATACTAAAGATCAACCAAGACACCTAACACAGCTTCCGAATACGGACTAGTCTAAGATGGTATTATTACCCCGCTCGCAATAGCGTGCCTCCAAGTCCTTGCTTTTACTATCGGCCCTTGTTGAGAAGCTCCCTGCGAAGACTTGTAGTCAACACGATCAATATTTACCTTCTTGATTTTCTTGTTATTGGATATGAAGATATATCTAAAATTGAAAAACAATTCTAACTGATACTTTGGAATGAGATATTCCGAGGGATGTCTTTCCTCCTATTGGTTTTGTTTGCGCCTGAAGTGCAAAGGATCAAATTGTTCAGGGGTTGAGACAGATCGGAAGTAATCGGAAAAGGGTAAGCAGACAAGGGTAATAACTAGATGGTGAATTGATTATCGTCATGTTTGGAGTGGTGTATGTTTGTCCAAGTGTAAGTGTCTGTATAATATAATCGGGTATATTCACTCGATTATATGCTATACCCGATTAAGCAACTACACTCGATTAGGTAGCTACACTCGACCGTACAGGGGTAGGGCTTGGCACTACTATATGATAGTAGTGCCCTACTTACATTTACTCGGTAGTGCATCAACAATAGGAATAGTCTGATACTAAGGTTTAGCCTCTTCCTGTATTGCACCTCACTTATTGACGATAAGCCAAACCAACAGTAAGCGACAGATTCAATGATCATCGCATCCAGAGGGTATGTACTGTATCTTACAGAAAACAAAGGCAACTGGAGGCGGGTTCTGAGCAAAATAAGCTCATAGATTTATCTGTAGTGATAATTTCTTTCTCTAGGTCGTACCTTTGCTTCTTTGGGCTACATGAGTTTGTTGAAATGGTACTACAAAATATCAAATTTTACTAAGCGAGTCCTTCCTTTTTGAGCTTAGATTGCCCACCAGCGTTCAAAAATGCTTTATAAGAAATTTTCAACGATAATCTAATACCTGACCTCGCATGCATCTTCAGTTTTCTAGATCATTTAGGAAAGTTCGATGGGACATACGATAAGCTGCGTGGGTGCCCAAGCCTCTAGGGTGTAGAGGGTTAGTTGGCAGCATCAAAATTTAGCAAAGATAATTTAGAAACCTCTAAACCTCCCACCAAAGGTATCTCGGGAAGACTAGTACCGTAGTATGCTAGGGAATCATCATTCATGCTAATATGAAACTGATCTGTGCTCTCAGACTTAAATGCTCCTCGCCATAGGTCCTAGATATCTATATAGGAGACCGATCTAATACTGTGTAAAAAGTAGAATCCTTGTTATAGTAAACGTCTAATACAAATAACACAATTATTTTAGTATACCCAGGCTAACAAAAAGTGATTAAAAACAGTAGTTATTCTAGACTATCTATACAACTATTCATTTAACTTTCTAAAATAGTCGCACGAGGCTTTCAGAAGACAATAATATAATTTTAAGCTACATGGTACATAGTAACTACCTCGTTTCTTACTCATCAAAAGTTGACCTCTGATGAGTTGTAGCAGAGTACATTAAAGGCGGGAAATGTTGCTAATAGAAGATAGCTCTGCTCCTCTGAGACAAGCTGCGTCACCAGAATGTACTCTTGGAATTGTGAATGGAGAAAGGAATATGAGCCTGTGAGTATATTCGTGGCTCAGCCCCCAACTTTGTCAGCTGAAAGCTGTTTATGGGATGACCAGAATTTACTACGACACAGCAGAAAATCTTGGTGTTGCACTATCAATTTCATTCATCCAGAATATCATCGCGTATGCTATTTGCTGGTACCGTTCTTATGCCATTGAGTATCCGTCCTCTTGTTTGATGTCCCTAGTCGTACTCAAATACCGCCGCCCACCTCTGTAGTAACTTTGTCTCATATTAGATGCCTTCTATCGCACCATTCTCTTTTCTCAAAGCCACACGATGAAGAAAAGCCCCGCCATGATACCCACACTTGACCGCTGAGTTCAAGTTTCTCAGGATCTTAACAATTGTGCATGGATGCATTTCGTGTGTTTTTGCGAAGTCGCATTTCCGAGTGAGGATTTTGTATTGGCAGCCGCAGTAGTAGACGAATAATTCATACTCGCACATGTTGGTATATCCAATTGCCCGATGTTCAAAGCAGCGCTGAGATGGGCTTGAAATCTCGACTGTTGGCTATGCGCAGATTTTTTGTTGAAGTGGTCTTGTCTTGGAAAGCGCGTGAAGGAGCAAGTAGTCTGGAGAACCAGCGTTCTCAAGGGTGCGTAATGTTTTGTATTAATGGAGTACGTGATTCACTCAAAAATGTAGAATTATCCGTGATTCACATGATACTAGCGAAATTGTCGTTGTGAAAGCTCACGGGACACTTTGCCACATCCTTTTTGAGGTAACAGAGTTAAACAAGAAGGCGATTGTGAATCAAGCTCACGATCTCAATAAGTCTCTATTGTTCTTCGAATTCACATGTTTTCATATTCCCGTACTTGGAAGCTATCTATGTTTATTCCTTTGATTACTCAACGATAAACATCTTACGCTTAATACTTAATCTCACTCTCAGCCCACAGAATATCGGGCAACACGAGAGATGACACTACACGGGCGTTCTCTCAGCTAAGTCCCCCACCAATTAATCATAAGATTACATACACACAGTCACAACACAGAGTAAGAGGCAAAAGAAATGCAGAAATGCAGTACTATGTAACGTATCACGACCTCCAACCATTACTTCTAGTGCTTCAGGAGCTGCAAAGCCGCTCACCAGAGACCATAAAACTAAGCGAATACATATTTGTAAGTGAAACTCTCCCGCCCTCTATCAGACTATCTCTCTACCCCAGGTCACCCACCACCACTAATAGTATGTCACACCGCCCGCCCATATCGACATTCTTAGATATCATAATAACCGTAAGTCTTTTCTGGTCTTGATACTTAATTCCCCTTCCAATACGAGCATAGTGAAATAAAACACGTGATATGTCATAAATTTGTACCGGGTACAAGTACATGAATCCATTACTATGATTTGCCTCGGAAGTCAGTCCAGCCGGCCCCTCCTAGGCATGAGACCCACCCCCAAACCTTTTTTATCCCAATGTCACAATACTCAACATCTTTCAAGGAGGAGCACCAGGAAGAATTTAAACACTAGCTGCTGTGGTAATATCTCTGCCTTTCAGGTAAGAATACTTCTTCTCTTCTGTTATTTCCTACTCGAATATGCCAATTGGTAGGACATATTTGGTGATAGAGCACATCGCCCACTTGAAATTGGGCGGTGAGGTTCGAGGAAGGTTAGAATTCAGACGGAGAGAGCGCAAGTTGGATGGAAAAGGGAGCTCTATTACCTCCACAGAAATATTCAGTAGCAATGTGAGCCATTCGCTAATAATTACCTTAGGAAAATGGCGGACCAAACAGCAAAGGCAGTCTACCTGCCTCGGCACACTCTCCTCACCCAACTTCGTTTTGCTATCCGAATCCGCCTCAATAAATTCCTTGCAGCGGTATATCTTCGTATAATGGGATTCCCTGGGATTCGAAATCCTTCTATCCAACCAAATTTCACGAAAACTTATCCATGTCGACCAAAGCTTGATAACCGCATTTTCATCCCCAAGTCTTACAAGAGCGGGGACCCTCCAATGCCGCTATATTTAAGTATCCATGGAGGCGGGTTTGCCCTCGCGAGTCCCAGAATTGACGACACATTCTGCTCCAACTTTTCGGACAAGAATAAAGTTCTTGTCGTGAGCCTTGACTATCCAAAATCACCTAATAATAAATTTCCTCGACCAACTGAGGCAATCGTGGACCGTAAGCACTCATATTTCCAAGCATTCATCACTCATCAATCCTTTCGCCAAATGACTCATGCAAAAATGTAAAACATGCTAATCTTTTGCAGTGGTCCATGCTGTCTTGGGGGATGAATCTTTACCTTTCGACCCAACGAAAGTTGCCATGGGTGGTTTCTCTGCAGGTGCCAATCTTTCGCTCTCTGTCAGTCAGCACAAAAGCCTACGGGGGAAAATTTCTGGCGTTGTCTCGTACTATCCGCCTGCAGACTTTTCCTATCCAATTGACAAGAGTATTGAAGAGCGACCAGAAGAAGCCCCGCCAGACATGTTGGCTGGAATGGCAGATATGTTTAATTGGGCCTATATCCGACCTGACCAAGATCTCAAAGATCCACTTCTGAGCCCCGTCTTTGCGGCCAAGGAAAATCTGCCGCCCAAGATTTTTATTATCGGATGTGAATATGACATGCTTTGTCGGAACGCGAAGGTTATGGCCGAGAACTTCGCCAATGCTAGAGGCGACGGCAAAAGGATGGGCAAGGATGATGCGTGGGAGAAGAATGGTATCAAGTGGGAGTTGATTCTCGGGGAGGAACATGGTAAGCAATTCTCTGCATATCTAGGTCGATGTCGATCTACAGAATTACTTCCGTACTCATCTTTTCTTCAGCTTTCGACATGGTTCTTGGACGTGGGGAGGCGATCAAGGCACGACGGCAAAGGAGAAGAATCGAAATGTACGATGGGGCTGCCGAATGGCTGTTTCGGGAAGTCTGGATGACTGGTACTGCTTAACCAAGCACAGACAAGCCCTATAGGGATGAATCAGGGACAAATCAGAGGACAATCACGAGTGCGGCTTGGCGCTAGGTACTGTATGCGTATGGTTGCAGGAGTTACCTCCGTAAAGCCCTCGAAGTGTCCTTATCGGAGGGGTTCGGATTGCTTCGTAAAAATTGGCAGCTAGTCATTTTTAATCGCCGGTGTAATCATGTGCCCAAGCTCCCTACTCGTACATTCGAATTATGCGCTTCTATTTGACTTCGCCAGAAGCATTAAGATGATTACTACAAGTATGTGGACATGTCTCTTCGAAAACCCAATTGGAAGCAAAGACCCACCCTAAAAATGTCCGTATTTACCCCTGTGTTACTCTTTCTCTTAATCCATATTTTATGTGGCACTTGAAGCCAAAGAGGTGGTTTCTTCAACATCCCCAGAGTCAAGAGATCTTATGGGCGGATTGCCCCACAGTCAAGAGATCTTGCGGGACGATTGCCCCACAGTCAAGAGATCTTGCGGGATGATCACCCGTTCCAAGAGGAATATCCCATAGTCAAGATTACCCTCAACTCCATACATCAGTCAAGAAGATTACCCATAGTCAAGAGACGAAGATGCCAAGGTGTGCTACAATATCATGGTACTGTACGTTTCCGAAGAACGGGGTAGCTCTTCCAAGAAACGCTTTTAAGACTCTCATTTCCACCGCAAAGTCGCATCAGTCTGGGCAAAAGCTTGGAAGCTCAGCATGGAGGTGGGGGCGGGGCACATTTCTTTCCAAGATACTTCGTCCAGACGATATAATTGTAGCTGCCCAAGGGCGGCTGAGGTTGCCAACGGTGTAGAAGCCCCCGAAGAACTTACAATTATTTCGCCGGACGAAGTACCAGATACTGGTAGGAAGGACTTGGCTCCAAGACCGTTATTAAGCAATGATGGCGTCGGGGGATTGATATTCAGAATGTGGAGATGCAGCACCGATGCCGAATTCATGTCGATCCTTCTCTCTGCCGTCTCTTCTAGGTTGGGGAGACAGTAATATAGGTAGCCAAGCCCGATGACAAGTCCTCGAATCCTTCCATCAGAAGTAGCCAAAGTATCTGGTATCAAACCCAATTCTGCAGCTCCGTCTTCGGACAGCAACAAAATACGGTAGTTGGTGAAGAGAGCGCTGCATCTGCCATTCTTGATGCAGAAGAGGCCAAACAATGCTGTCGCAAGGGAGTTGTCTGGTTTTCTGCCCACCGACGCTGGCCAGAGTTTCCATGATATGTGGTAGCTACTACTGAGGTCCTGCCTCGCTGCCAATCGTACAAATGCAATACTTGTACTGCACTGTACTGTACTGATACCAATCTTGGAGACGACGACGTTCAAACACGACACAGGCCGCTCGCTAAGTCCTTGACGCTGCAAGCCATTGGCTGCCAATGCTCTTGGCTGGGTCTCAGCGACAATCGCCTTAGCGGTACCACAGACAACGTCAAACATCGCTTCCTCCAGCCAAGACCCTGGGGAAGGATTCACGAGATTGCTGGTGCTGCTGGTGCTGCGTGCTGTTCTCCAGCCTCTCTCGCCGCCCGAGTTTCCCTCGTTTGTGGTATCGCCCCCTTTCCCTTTCGCCTCCCCCTGTCGTCTGCGTCGATCGTATCACTTGGCGTTTGAATGAAAACATCGGCATGTCTCCACCACCGCCAGCGCTCGCTTGCCCACCACCATCTCCCTGCCACCATGCCATCACCCAAAATTCTCCTATAGCCTATAGGGGTTTTTGAAAGGCAGTTTGTCTCTTTTGGACTGCGTCAGGACCCTGCGAGACCTGCGAGACCTGTGAGACCTGGGGACGGGCCAGGCCGTGCATATCGTGTTCCTGAAGTCCTAGATGGCTTGGCTGTCGACCACCACCTCATTCGTCTAGATGTACCAGTACCAGTGCCAGTACCAGTATCGATATGCTTTTCATATATTTGGCCTCTCGTGCTCTCTTCTTTCCTTCCGTTTCCTCTCTTTCTTCTCATTCTGTAGCTGTGCTCAATCACTTCATTTTCCTCCGCTCACTCTCTTCGCCCTTTCTTATCTGAAGCTTGACGCCTCGATTAATCCATTGCATCTCTTCTTATTCTAATTTTTTTTATCCCTTAATTGCATTCATCATTCTCAGCGAGTCGCTCAGTTAGCCAGCATGCATTATCACCCCCTCATTGTCGCCATCCTGGCAGCATACGGAGTTGCCATCCCGCTTAACATCAATCTTGGAGCATACTCGCCAGCAGTGATAGTCGGTGATGGTGAAATATCATTCGGAGGCAGGACAGATGTGTCGGGCTTGATGAGTGCTCTGGAGGGAGCTGCAGTAGGAGGAACTGGAACTGGAACTGGAACTGTTCCCAATACAAACCCCAATCCTCCAAGACCCACTACCGCTGCGGCGTCGGGACAGATCACTGATCAACAACAAGCCGCTCAAGTTGCTGCTCTTCAGGGAATGGGCAAGCAAATTGCTCCACGAGAGGGTGAGGTAGAGGCTCGGGAACCAGAACCCAAGCCGGAGGTGGTACCGGAGGACGAGGTCCCAACCCTGAACAGTAAGAGGGATATCAACGGCTTCAACGCCGCCTTGAAGTATGCTTCTGATGCAATCAAGATCACTCCTCAAATTGATATTGGTACCAAGGAAGCTGGCGTTGGTATCTTGCAGAGACCAGGTATCACCGCTGCCGCTGCCGCTGGTGCTACCAGGCCAGCTGCCGCTGCCCCTGCCGGTGCCCACAAGAAAAGAGACCTCCCAGCCCGCAAGTTGAAGACCACCGTTACCACCATGTATGTTCGCGGAGGACCTGTACCGGCAGGTAAGTTTTCAATTGAAACCGAACTTAAAATCTACCTTTCTAACTTTCATTCATAGGCACAGTGAAAAGAAGCATCGGAGATACCGCACTTAGCAAGAAAGATTCAAGCACAGGCCTTGACGGCGTCAACTTGAACATGGCTGATGGACAAGTTGCTGAACTCACGTTTGTGGAGACAAAAGCCGTTGAGGCGGATGAGGAAGATTCTGATGACGAAGATTGAAGCATTTTTTTGAATTGGGGGATAACAAGACGAATGGGTGTGTAAGGATCTGGGGGATAACGTGTGTTTCTGATGTTCAAAGGTGTTTATTTTGGCTTAGAACTTATTTTGGTCAGGAGTTTATGGCATCATTCCTCGCACGATTTTATTACATTTCTTTTTTATTGGGCCCCCCTACAAAGGCTATAGGAAGATAGTAGCACTGAAAGAGTATCAAAAATATACCCGTTTGGGAATTGAATTGCAACCAAGAATATCAGCATTCATTCTTTTTCGTGATGTTGATTTGCCTGACAAGTCAATTTTCTCCATATTCGATTTTCAACTCACACGAAACAAGCATCAAAATCCCCACACTGCCAGGATTTGATGCGCTCCCTCGTCGTGGCGTTTGAGACATTCGATAGACCCAGCATTGCGAGTCAAAGCGCAGTTCGCTGGATCGGGACTTTTTAGTCGCCACGACTGACAACGTTAGAAACGATAAGAGATGTTACAGTACACACTGGAAACTCGACTGTTTCGTTCCTTCCATCTTGAGGACTTGAAGTTCGGATTAAAAACTAAACGGCTCTCCTTAGGGGCACGTTTAAGTCACAGCAATAGGAACAAGTTGCTTTCGATCAGTTTTTAGTGACCCCAGTTTTGTTCTGGATTATGCACTGGACAGCCTGTTCGGTGAAGCTAATTGTATGATTCAATTCGGACAGAAGTTTCTGGCCAGGAAATGCTAAAGTTTGAGCCATCGAAGCCATCATATATCATGTTTCGCGGTGGACAGAACGAGTGGCAACCTCTCACTGTCGTAATTTGTCTCATACTTTACTGTATAACAATTTTGATTATTGTGAATAATGAAAACAATCAACCGAATATCCGAGAATCATCAAATTAATGACCCCCGGTGACCACATAGCATTCGGCTTAATCACTTGAAGTATATGGAAAGTAGGGACAGTGAGGAGGTATTTTAATGACGCCTGTTCTGTCCATTGAGAGCTTGTTTACTGTATTTCATCTGTAGCAGATATTTGGAAGACGACGCAAGGCGCCCAATATCATAGACGAGAGATATTGGAAGAAAGGCTTTCTAACGGGAGCGAGGAGGAAGAAGATAATGTTGATGTGTACGGTACTGTACCCGTAAAGTAAAGTATAGTGTTGTGGTGGAGTCAAGCTTTTCGGTACGGTAATTCCCTGATCGCCAGTGCCTCTGGCCATCAGCACCTGCACGTGCGGAGATCTAGTGGGGTTGAAGGTTCCCTTGACCCACTCCATTTTCTTCCGCATCCACAACAACAACACCAACACCACATGTGCTTTGATTTATTGGTACTCGAATCACAAAGATCCAAAAGAAAGGTTTTCTCTTCCTGTGGTCGAATTGTCTTAGATTACACGAGGGACCACGCAACCTTTTTGGGCTCGTCGGTTCGTGGAGCACACCTAAGCGATCTTCAAGATATGTATCGTATTCCTGATGAAGAAGGTGCTTTCTTTTGCGCGCACCCAACTGCCTTTTCACGCAACCATGTCACATGTGCCATGATAGTGATTGGCTTTGTCTGGTAACTCAATAGCGAATCAGAGATGTAGTCTGCCAAGATTACAGGCTTACAAGTGCTGTACCTGAGATCTGATGCACCTCGCTGATAAAACAGGGTCTCTCATTCGATCGTTGATTAGGCTCTAATCAACTTCTACGTGATAGGAACTGGTGAATTATCAAGCACTATGGGACTTGTAAGCTGTTTAGCAAACAGAATTCGCCATGTTTGGCAAGTATTGTCCGCAGTCGGCCCAGTGAGAGACCCTTGCTCTTGATATTATCCCGATAAGCCTCTGAAGAGGGTCCAAAAGCTTAAAAGCTTTAAAAACAGCTTCTCGATAATTATCTCCTTCTGTAAATGGAATGAGGCCCCGGCCGCTAGGTTGTCTACATCCACCACGCTGTTTTTACTTCTTACAAGGCCTTTTGGGTTCAAAACTACATAACTAACGTGGTACTCCTCATTACTTCGGCATCCTGCAAGTTCCAAAAGTTGAGTTACTTGAAAAGGCTTCCTCAATGATGTCGTTTTTCCTTCAGCAAGTCGGATGGGGTGCACTTTTGGGTCTGCCGGCTGTATTGGCAGTAGGTACTGCCAAAACCTGCTCTAATCCTGTGATCTCTTGTGGAACGTCATCCTCTACAGATACATGCTGCTTCAATACACCTGGAGGTCAAATTGCTATGACACAGTTTTGGGATACAAAGCCAAGTACAGGTGCGTATAACTCGACATTCTTCACTCAATCCTTCAATTCTGATAAATACTCCCAGGACCCTCAAACTCGTGGACCATGCATGGACTTTGGCCTGATCATTGCGACGGATCTTACGATTCCAACTGCGATTCAACCCGAGCTTACACTGGTATCGGTTCGATTCTCAAATCGTTCGGAAAAAACGATTTGGTAACTTACAGTAAAACTGATTCTTTCTCTTATCTCCTCGGCTCGCTTCGAAGTTGCCAGTACTGATACGGCACATTACAGTGAACAAATATTGGGTGGACATTGATGGGGACAATGAAAGTTTCTGGGAGCACGAGTGGTCTAAACATGGGACCTGCATCTCAACTCTGAAGCCAAGTTGTTATACCGGCTACACTTCCAAACAGGTATATAAAAGCCTCAATACTGGTTCTCTATTGTTTAGGCACTAACCAGGTCTTTTGGGCGACATAGGAGGTTGCAGATTATTTTCAAAAGGCGGTGGATTTATTCAAAACACTTGACAGTTATTCGGTATGGATCACCCGTATCTGATACTTTAGCCCCCCTCGAGCTAACTCGGCTATTTTAAGGCACTTTCAGCTGCCGGTATTGTTCCTTCAACTACGAAAACTTACACCCTAGCCGCCATCCAAGCAGCCTTGAAAGCCAAATTTGGCGTTACAGCAGCCGTTCAATGCAGCTCCGGTGCTCTAGATGAGATTTGGTACTCATTCTACGTTCAGGGTTCTGTTGCCACTGGAAAGTTCATTGCTACGAACCCGGTTGGAGCTTCTTCTAGTTGTTCTTCGAGCGGCATCAAATACCTCCCTAAATCAGGGTCCTCTACTCCTCCCAACCCTGGCGGAGATCCACCTCCGACTGGCGGGTCTAATATCTCTGGTTCTGGCTACTTGAACGCCGTTACCAGTGGGAGTCAAAAAGGCTGTTTGATTGGTGCTGGAACATGGTATACAACAGGAACCTGTGCCACATATACGGCTACTGCCTCGGGTATTGTGCTCCAGCCATATGTGAATAAAATCCTTACTAACCATGTGCCAAATCAGGAAATGGTGTTACACTCAAATCATCAAAGGGATCATGTGGAGTTGTTAACTCAGCATTCACTTGCGGCTCTGGCGTTACTGCCACTGTTTTCACTGTATGTTTCAATTCCGAATTTTAGAAAGCTTTGGTCGCTAATGTTTCAACAAGAGTAACGATGGGCACCTCGCTTACAGTGGAAGCACAACTTTCTATGCAACGGCAGTTCCAAGTGGCTCAACACAAGCAACGGTCTATACAACATCGAAGACTGTCAGTGTACAGTTTCTTTGGCAGAGCAGTTAGTGCAAAGAACTATGTCAATATTCAAGGTTCTCACGCCACATCCATATTGATAGAGGGGGGAAATGGTGCTAGAGTGAAATGACCTGGGCAACTATGGTCTTGCTGGCCAACGTTTCCATATCGCTGTCTTTACCAAGCACCTTATTCCTCCATATTCAGATATTCATGACCATTCGACTTGCATCTGAGAATCCCATTTTAAGCAGGAAGTCACATGATTTCTAGGGATTTTACGTGATTCGCTTGTATAGATAGTCGTACACCTCTCTCATGCTCGAATTCCCCTTGCATATGATACAAAAGTCTCCTAGCCCACTTACCAGAATGCCCCCTTCAGAATGCGCGCACTCGCAGCTCACGTTCTCGCCATCCCGCAATACCTCAATCGTGAAATATGAACAGCCATCTTTCGTGGCCCGTACTGCAGCAACGACCCCCTCAGGAACGATCAAAAGAACCCCAGGTTTAGGGACTTCCCAAAGCCAAGAAGTGCACCACTCTCAATCCTTCCCAGCTCCTTTGGTGCTCCCAGAAGATGAGCTCTCCGACGATCCCAAGTGCCCACCCCAAAGTCTACGAAGTTGGATAAGAGAAAAGAATCGGAATAAAGTCACACCAGAGCGGAAAACCATATACTTCATTCCCCCGCCCGAGATTGGGAAAGATTTCGCATTTATCAAGGAATGGAGCATCCCTCATGCTTCCGCTCTTGGGAAGAGCCCAGAAGCAAAGGCTTTACATCCTAAAACTCGGGATGTCCTCGACTACCTACAAGCTTTCTACCATGGCATGGATGTCAAATTGCTCCTTACGCCAAAACTGGAATTCACAGCCGATTCTCTACCACCGTCAAATGCTCGTTCTAGACGCAAGGCGCTAGAGAATATATGGCTTAACACATCAAAAGAATTGGTGGGAATCCGATTGAGAGCGACGCCAGAGGGGAATTTCAAATATCAGTTGAATCTGAATGATTTACTCGATGTGGCTATTGGGGTCTTACCAGATGACGCTTTCGCGTTGGTTATGCTGGTTGAACATGATATGTTTGAGGATGAAGAGGATGATTTTTGCGTGTGGGAGAGCGTATGGAGGGAGTAGGGTGGCTGTGGTCAGCTCGGCGGGATATAATCCTGGACCGGATTGGAAAGCGAGCGTGGACAGGGAGCACAGTTGGCCCGCTAGCCCTTGTAAGGAGTATCTGGAGAGGATTTGCGATGAGTACGAGGCGGAAGTTGGTGCGGAGGGACCAGTTAGCATGAAAAGGTTGAAAGGAAAGAAAGGAGAAAAGGAGCTTGAAGCGAAAGACGAAAAGAGCGCAATAACGGGTCCAATGTATGCTGCGTCGAAAGCACACTCTTCACTTCCACCTCTGGATCTTAATCCCTCTCCAACAACACTCTACGGTCTCTGGCTAGGGAGAGTGTGTCAAACAGCAGGACACGAATTAGGTCATTGCTTCGGAATAGATCATTGCGTATACTATGCTTGTTCTATGCAAGGCACAGCCTCCATTATCGAAGACTCGAGGCAGCCACCTTACCTATGTCCCGTGGATTTGGAAAAAGTGGTGAGAACTACAGGGGCAGATGTTCTAGAGCGCTATGAAGCAATTTTGGCTTTTTGTGGCAGATTTGAAGAAGTCCATTTGTTTGCTGCCTATGCTTCTTGGATTAGAGAGAAGATTGAGGAGATTAATGACGTTGTTGTGTTGTATTAAAACTTGGATTTGGCAGGCAAGATTCTTTGCAAATATATGTGGCCCAGGTTTAATAGAAAGGGTGCCAAAGTGGTGCCAAAATGGTGCCAACAATGACTGCGAGAGGGTCGAGTAGATATAGTGTCGCCTAGAGAGCCGGCTCCAATAATAGCGTGGATGATACCTGGCTATTTAAGCGGAAGTATATTCACCATTCTCACAGTTCACGACTTGAGTAGGATGACATCACCTATGCAGAATAAGATTCAGATTCACAATGGCTTGGTAGGCTTACCAATTGACTCACAGACTTTCCAAACTCTCTATATCATTGTATAACCCCAATAATAGAACTATGGACAAATAACCTACATGATCAAGCAGGGAATACATTGACTCCTTAGCAGACCTGGGCACCGATACGATATTTATCGAAAATACCCGGCGATATATCGCGACATATCGCCGATATAGTATTTCACGATACGATAATCGTCGGATTAAAAGTGACGATATTCGAGTAATATCGATTTTTGTCCACCTAAATTTAGTGTATTTTTGGGTGTTTTTGGGTGTGTTTTCAGGGCAGAATTAGCAATATTTTAAGTAAAACTAGGAATAGGGACAAAAGAATAATAAAAACGTAAAAAAAGTATAATTATATTAACTAATTATATACTAGCGCTCAACACTCCTAACTTCCTTATTAATTTCCACCTTAATCTCGTCGTTACTGTCCGCTATTATACCCCAGCTTCGCAAGCACAAGACGTACCTACCTGAAAGGTTCTGCGAGGGAGGCTAGGTATAGAACTAAGTAGTAGTATTTTTGGTTAAATTTAGAGCGTTTACCTACCTAGTATTGATGTTGGTGGTGGTGTTGTTAGTAATAGAATTGTTGAAGCTAGGAACTAAAGGGTAGAATAAAGCATGCTGATTAGTCCGGTCCCGGATTTACAGTTTTTACATGTCACGTGTAGCGATAATCGATAAAGTATCGGTTATCGCCAAGAATCCGATATATCGTCGTCAATATATCTACGATACGATAATCGTCGGAGACCCCCCGGATATCACATCGATAATATCGTGCCCAGGTCTGCTCCTTAGCAGATACCGTTTATCAAACTGAGCACATTCTCATCGACCTAGAAAGTAACCTTCTCAGTTCTACTCCTTCGCAGACACAGTCGACAGGACGAGAAGAAGCCTGAGCCATTTGGAGATTCATATACCAGGCCAGCCCAAAGTGAACATCTTATTTATCGTAGGGCTTTGGTATCAACCCAGCGAAGTTGGACTTGCGCCAGGACATCTACGCCATTTAGGCAGATATGTTTTTCTATTTTGTTTTTTGTTTTTTGACACATGTCAGTGTACGTGCTTATTTGATATATAGCCTTGAACCCTTTCTTTATGGTAAGATTTGGGGGAAGGGAGAGGCATTTTTCTCCTAGTAAACAAGAGAAGTGGCAGGTTAATCTTCTCTCAGCATAACTCAATTGAACCCATTTTATTGTTCTGGTTATATGGGCCAATTAAAACGATAAACTAAAAATCACAGACTACATAAGACAATAGTCCTAAAACATTTGTTAAACTATTTTAATACAGTACATTTACGCCCTGGAGTGGAAAGGGGGAAGAGGAAAGGTTATGTGACACTATCTAAGGCAACAGTGCGCACACACCCATATATGGAGATTACTAGCTAGCACTCTCTTCAAAGGATATATGAATATAAACTCACATATAATACCGTATCACTTCGCCTGCTTAGTGAACCAAACAAATACTTTCTTTCGACTTATATAAACAGAGAGTGAAATTGTCTGACACTTTTCATGTCCACTGTGGGCTTGTATACAAAACAAGCCATGTTATTTCATTCCTTGTAATGATTCATTATAATTTTGAACTTGAAGTCTAAACAAATCTATTCGTCAAGCCCCCTTATGTGGTTCCAAGCTCGCAAAGCCTCCATGCATCCAGTACACATTTAGAACAAAAACAAGTGCCCAAGCCAAATGCAATGTACCCCAAGTCATATAGTATTACAAAACCATGTGCGCCAGATCCGAGTCACACTAACTATTCCTTGTGGTATTACCAACAAGCTTATCTCTCCCTTCATCATCGCTACCATCCTCGGACCATCTGTCACCATCTTCTCCAACAGCAAAAATCGTGTCTCCATCGAGACTGTCCCGAGTAATTTCTTTGGCTGTGTTGGCTCCCGACGGATGTCTTGTTGATTTTGCCGAAACAGGATCATATCTTGACCCTTCTTGGCCTGGTTGGGTTCGATCACCCCTGTGCGCAGCGGCGCTCTCAACATCGTCATCCTCGTCATCTTCAGCACCAAAGTCCGCGATTTCAAAACCTTCATCATCTTGAGCCAATTCGTCACTCATTCTAATATGAGGTCAGTAAAAGTGATCCGGCAATAATAAATATGTTTTCACTTACGCAAATCTCCTATTGTTAGCTGTCGGCCTCCAAACATATGCTACAAATATGACATCGGCAAGATAGACCTGGTAATTGGGTTACTATATGTGTACAAGCAAGATCATGGAGGCAAAGCGGATCTCGCTAAAGATCAGGAGATCAGGAGATCAGGGGCAAATATAAAGTGGGGCAAAACAAGATAAACAGAAGAGTATCTTACCAAGTTCAGCCAGCCATCCAAGATGAACCAACGAGTCTGCCAATGGAACTTTGCGGTGTCAGTAATTGTACAAATTTAAAAGGCACGTGGTCTGAACTCACAGGTACAAAGTCGGGATCTGTTGGGGGTTAGCGATAAATTATAAAGAGGAAGTTGTAGGAACTGCTTACCTGATGTGCTGGCAAAGGTGAATGAATTGAAGAAGAAAAAGCCACTACGGAGAAATAGAATTAGTCTCTGCAAGGTAGGGCCATTCTTAAATCCGAAGTTTGGCAATGAGACAATAACTGGTGGTTATTAGAGTACACTTACAATATGACCATTATGGAGGCTAAGATGCACCACCAAAGCTTCCGGTACATCATTTCTTTGGTAAATTGCTGACGCTCTTTAAGATCTGGTTTTCCTACTAAGTCACCAATCTAACGTTTACAGTATCGGGAATATGCTTACCTTTCATGGTGGCGTTCAAGGAATTGAGAGTCCAGACATAGAACGCTGTCAGAGTCCCGGCCAACGGAAGTATGACGAGAAGAACAAGCGGGCCTGATTTTGATTAGAAAGGGCTCGACTTGGAGTAACGGATAACTCACCTGCACTCTCAGGAGAGACCGTCAAGCTGGCTACAGCATATATCAAGCCAAATAGAAAGTGTGCTCCAGCGAGATAGCGTACGTAGACCATGGTCTTACCCAGGCTTGGTTTGACAACGCCATAACCCATACACACAATGAGCAGGAGAAAGAATGAAAAGGAGTTTCGTCCAGCATTTAAAATTGCAACAATCACCATAAGCGCCTTGGATCCAATGTTCGAGCCACTTCGATTTAAGTAGTCTGACATCTAGTTAGCTATGATCAATTCCTGAAGCATGTAGACCTACCATGAAATCCCCATGTCATCAACATCTCTACAATGAGGAATATTATTATTGCAGTGATGTAATTTTGTACCGGTAAGATATCCGAGCGATGTTGGGCATATAAGAAAGCCCAGAAACTGAAAAATGTCAGCAGGTTTGTTATCAAGCCATCATGGTCCAGCTTACGCTCCTATCACGGCATACACAATTGTAATGCCGCCATAAAATGGCAGTTTAGCGATTTCTGAAGCAGGTAGTTCCCCATAGGCATTTCGAAATTCGACAGCTGCCTTGTACTTTACACCCTGGGGTGAGAATTGGGATGTTCCAACACAATAATAGCCCGTCTTCTTGATACTGTAATTTATTGGGGCGCCAGGGTCCTTCAGGTGAATTGCATCAGTCACAACCAAGGCCTTGGATATTTCGGTGACGTTAGGTGCCAGAATAAACTCTCCCGTCTTGTTTGCGTTACAGTAGTCCGGTAAAGTGACCATCGCTTCGGCATCGCATATAAACTCTTTCTATAAAGAGCTGTTAGCAGATAGTTTCGTGCGTAAATAAGCACTCGTTCGGCATGGACATAGGCATAGGCATAGCATACATGAAGCGAATTCGGAGTCGGCAGAACACCGATGAGGTCGTAGTCTTTCCATTCAAAGATCACCATGCTCACAATGGGATCCGAGTTGTCTGCTACATCCTCTTTTATGAATTTGACTAGTATATGTGGATCTACTGCTCCTCCCCAGGCGATCTTGCTATACATGCCGGCGCATACTTGGCGATTGTCCTCCGTATCGTCCTGCAGAGAGCAAACACATTAGCATGCATTCCTCGTCACTTGGGATCTGCTGCCCGACTCACGATTTTCGACTCCAGGGCGGTGGCCGTTGAGCAGGATAGACCGAGCAGGAGGAGGCCTTGAAGCCAGTTCCTCATGTTGGTTGGTAGCCTCGAAGGCTGGAAGTGAAAGCTGGACTGGCGGTTTCAAGACACCGAAAGTGCCGTCGTAGCAGTATTTGTGGTATAACGGCAATGGCCATGCAGATCGAACCAGAAATTCCGGGAGGGCGATTCTAAAGTCGAAGTTCTCTCAATGGCAGTGATGGTGTAGAAATTATTGGTGTTTCTGCTTCAGACACTCGCAGTCGCAGTCGGGAAGAAGTTCAGCCCGGCGTCTTGCAACGTAACAGGATCGTTAGCGGGCCACCAGGACCGGGCGGGCACACAGCCCCTACCTGTACTGGTACGAAGTACAGCACCTAGGTACAGCTAAAAAGACAAGGCAACCGCAGCCGCAGCCGCAGCCCAGAAGCCTTGTCGCTGTCAAAAAACAGCTGGAGCTGGGCACTCGAGCTTATCGCATCACCATTAATTCAGTACTCGAGTGCCCGTCCTTCATTGACCTCAACTCCACTCCACCACCACAACAGACTTCCTCTACCGGCTGCCATCGACCGGAAGAGATACGTATCCTCCCTGCCAATCTCATTGCGCGTCGCCTACTCGCAATCAAATGTCGGGCGACATCGAAGGGCAGCAGAACGGCAACACGGCCCTATGCCAGAGATGTCATGAGGAGGCTGCGACTCACCAGATCCGGTCCGATGGCATCTGCACGTCAGTCCCCACCTGGCTATGTGGGAAGACATGAACTTACTCGCGGTTAGGAAATGCTTCGTTGCATATGTCACCACCAAAGCCATTAAGCGCATGGAAACCTACAAAATTCGTGGGACAACCAAAACCGCACGAAGGCTGCTCTTCCCACTTTCATTCGGTCCATCATCGGCATCCTTACTGCATATCCTGGACCAACACATTCAAGGACAGTATCTACGTATGAACCGGGCTTCCTACGAACTGGTCGTGGTTCATATAAACCTGTATGTCGACCCTGTGGATCGAAAGGATGCTGATCTACTGCTGGAGAAATACAAATCGCGTTTCCCGAGGCACACATATTCTACCCTCAATCTTGAGGATGCCCTGACCCTTGAGGGGATTGACTGGAAGGCTCTCAAAATGGAGGAGCCGCTTAATACGCAGAACCCTGCAGATAAACTACAAGCACTCCTTGGATCCATGTCCTCAGCTACTTCCCGTTCTGATATCGTTTCCACCTTACTTACCCGACTCCTAGTGGATGTCGCGAAGAAGAGTGAGTGCGAGAGCATTTTATTCGGGGATTCCACCTCTCGTCTGGCTGAAAAAACCCTGACAGAAACAGCCAAAGGTAGAGGGTTTTCTCTACCGTGGCAAGTATCCGATGGGGCTTTATCTTATGGAATCGCCTTCAATTATCCTCTTCGGGATCTACTCAAAAAGGAAATCCAAACATTTTCCTCCTTGACAACACCACCTCTGACCGATTTGGTCATTAACCCAAAGTCTTCATCTCATATTTCCGCCTCTTCCAAAACCACTACCATTGATGATCTCATGGCACAGTACTTTGAGACAGTGGAAGAGAACTTCCCAAGCATTGTGGCAAACGTTGTTAGAACGACTAGCAAACTCAAGTCTCTACCAGACGAAGACACCACATCCTGTGGGCTTTGTGGTCTTCCAGTTGCCAAAGGGACCGATGGCATATACGGTTGGGGCGGTGACCAAAATACATCTTCACAGCCCACAGAAGAGAAACTCCATCATGGAATATTGTGCTATGGCTGCTCGAGATCCATCAACAGTTGAGATGACTCTTTGGGGAAAAAGAAATTATCAGGCAATGTATTCAAATTCAATCCTTCTATAAACTCCTTCTAATGCAGTTTATCTGTACAGGGGTGGTCTGATTATAGATCAAATGAAGTGTATGCACAGTCATCATCTAGATCTCATCCTTGATATTTGTGCTGGGAAGAATTTTGTCCTCAAACTTCCGCATCAGCTTGTTCGTTTGTTCCGCCAAACTGAGAGTCAAGATGGTATGAGGCAAGATTCTTGCTAGATGAGGCAAGAAGCCCTTATAGATAGCCAGGACTCCCTCGGTCTTAATTGTCTTTCCAAGGCAATCAAATACACCCTTGTAAAGATTGCCATTTTGGTTGTACATGCGAGACATGATGGTATCTACTCTGGCATTAGTTGAATTCTGGCGGGATATGGCTCGTGTTCATACCTGGTGGGTGCATCACGCAGCACACAACGAATCCACTCGCTGTGCTGCTTGCCAAATGGAGGGCAGGGCCATCCTCCATTCTCAAATGCTTGACCAGTCTCCTCTTGGCAAAGAAATATGTAGGCAATTGTACGGAACTACCGAAACCAGTTCGTACCATAGCAGCACCAACACCTCTATAGAGTCCATTAATACCTTCGCCTTTGTAAATCTGTCTCATTCCGTCTACGGCGTTTTTGTATGCGTGCTGGGTGCCAACTGGTGCGAAAGGCGAGAAACTCTGTAACCTCGTCTTTACCAGAAAGAATGGGCTTCCAGCTGCAGCGCCGAGAATTCCAGAGGATGCGCCGGCCATGATATTGACACCCAAACTTTGTGTTTTTGAATCCGCAAATACAGCAGTTGTGACAGCCTGCCGTATGGGTTCGTAAAAGCCCAATCTGCATCCATTGAGGATCATTTGGTAGATATATGCGGCTCCAATTCCTCGGTAAATTCCCCGAATTCCCTCATTGCGAACGATGACTGTGACGCCGTGGAATGGGCCCTTGTACATGCGGGGTTGTATACTCTTCTCCTGAAGTTCTCCTTGTAATTGCATGCTGCGCGAATGGGATCAGTGGGGTAAGGACTATAAAGAGTTGCAGAGTTCATACCGAATCTTGACCGTCTCAAAAGGATGAGTAGCTGTGACAGCGCCGCAAGCTGCGATCCCACCTGCGACAAAGGCTCTATAGACAGTTAGAACAAGATCTGTCAAAAGCTGTTCCTTCAGGGAATGAAGCTCACCCCAGTGTTGTAGACATCTCGTCCGCGCTCCCTTCCTGTAACCCTCAAAAGAAGTCGTTTCTCACTTTTCTATTGGCCCAAATCGCGAGCTGTTAGGAAGAGCCAAAGTGTTCGGCGGTCGCTTTTGTTTTTCGAGCCAGCGAAAGGAGAGGAGGCGGCGGATTTGGTATTAGTATTATTGGGAGGAAGTTGCCACGGAGGTTGTGAGAGTGTTGGTAATACGTCGAGTAACCATGGAAAGTATTGCTTACTGGAAAAAGATATCAAGGTGTACTCGGTACAGTAGCTATTTTCCATCTGTACTCTGGTGGTGGTGGGGCCAATCACAGGGATGTGCTGAGCCCCGATGCCGGTGCCAGACTCGCCTATGCACGCACGTACCGCCGCAACATGACAGGATGCCTAGGCGTGGGCGTGGCAGTGTAAACTCCACCAACCTGGAACATCGCATTTGGCTTCTCCAGATCCAAGGGTCTTCAGTCCCAAAGTACCGACTCTAGCTGGAGCTGTGAAGAACCAGAATAAGCACGTGACAGATGTTGATTTGACGACCTGAGGTCTCTGAAGAAGAACTTCAGTTGTCGCTTTCTACAATTCCATCATCCCTCCAGAGTGAATATCGAACTTCGCTAGAGGAGGAAAATGGCGTCGACTCCAATGGCCATCGATTCTCCTATAGGTGCCAATGGTAGAGCGCCTGCAGTGCTACCTACAAATCCGCTACCCACTACGGCAAAGGTGTCTGATATGATTTCCCTTTTTAGACCAACCAAGGTATGAACTGTTCGGGAGAATACCGCAAAGAGAGATATACTAACGAGACACAAGCACTTCTTGTCTGAGCACTACAAACGTGATTCCGCATCTGGGAAACCAGCAAAGTCAAAAGCCTCCATCATCTCTTTGGACTTCAGCGATGGAGGAGACTATCTCCTTACCTCGGAGAGCGACAATAACATGTCAATATATGACGTTGTCAGGGGCAAGTGGTTCAAGAGCTGCTTGAGTCAGAAATATGGTGTAAGCCACGCCATGTTCACCCATAAATCTCGAGACTCAAATCCATGTATCATACACTCCAGTACCAAGATAAATCGTGAGTATCGCCACTATCCTTTCTTCCATGCATAGGGCCTAACTGGAACAGACGTAATCCGCTACCTCTCAACACACGACAACTCCTACTTGCGCTATTTTGAGGGTCACGAGAAAAACGTCACCTGCCTTTCCCTCCACCCGGGACAGGATAACTTCATTTCCTGTAGTGAAGACGACACGGTTCGAATCTGGGATGCTGGTACTAAAAACTCATGCGGCAAACTACTCTTGAATGGAGCCTACCTCGCAGCCTGGGATCCCTCTGGTAATGTTTTCGCTGTAGCATCTCCAGCAGCACAATCAATCCTGCTATATGATTTCCGCAATTTCGATAGAGCACCTTTCAGCGTCTTTGACATGCTACCGTATTCTCAAGAAACTGTCCCAGGAGCAGTCAATAAAGGCTGGAATAAGATAGAATTCTCCAACGACGGAAAATCTCTCCTACTAGGGACCACAGGCTCCGGCCATGTCCTACTCGACGCTTTCGATGGACACCTGAAAGCGATAGTTCGTCGGGAGAGAGGTGGTGTAAAACGCCTGGGAGTCGGCGATCACAACCCTGACCACGTTGAACCCGACTCCCCGGATTTTCTATATCCCAGTACGGGAGATTGCTGTTTTACGCCTGATGGTCGTTACATACTCAGCGGAACACGAAGAGAGAATGTCTTGGTTTACGACACGTTGGCAGGAACACCAGAAAAGATTGCGAAGCCGATTCATGAATTGGAATACAAGGGAGATACTGGTGTCATTGCTTTCAACCCAAAATATAACATGTTTGCTACTGGCGACAAGGAAACGGTATTATGGGTTCCTGATCGAGATCTCTGAGGTTATGAACTAAGGATCGGTGGATGCTGCATTTGCTTATTGATCTGCTTGCTGGATACCCTCTGAATGATGAAGATCTGTATTGGCGTTGGGAGCGCTTCGAGCTTTACCATACATTTCGAAGTTGTAGAGATGACTTCGAAATCATTTTAATATAAAAAATCAAATTCAACGGTATGAATAATGAACCATTCATCTTCATGCTTTCCCTAGCTCTCTCAATTGGTACAGTACGTCCTAATTCAAGCCGCCCCAGAAGGCGCGTAAGCATCGAATCAGTGTTCCGTCTACAGCAAATGAGTCCCAATTCATTGACCGCATAGGAGATCACGAATCTTTAGTCTTTATGTAGCCAGCCGAGGCCGAAATAGCCTCCGGGCCGGCCGGGGCCTTTGTTCAATGTCCCGTGCTCTCGCTGCCTTCTCGCGATCCCTGTTAACGCGTCCCTATCTCAACCCCACGGAAACAACGGACCCATCAGTCTTTTCTCCACTCAACAACAACTCATCCAACCATCGCCTCAGCCATGCCATGAACTCCGACATCTCCAGTCCTCATATATATCCCGCGTACTGCAATGCAAAGTCTCCAACAATACATAAATTCTGTCCCTTGCGCGCGGTCGACGTGCATGCCCTGAGTGGTGATCAGGGGTACTACATCAATGGTATGTTCACCTCCTCAATTTGTTCCTCGCAATGGAAAAATCCTCTGTCTTGCACAGATTGGGAGGGGCTCGGCGGTCTAGCTAATAAGATTGGGAATAGCCAGACGTCTTTTTCATCATGGCAACCACCAGATTTTGTGGGTGATGCTTACGGGCTTGGTCGTCGCGGTAGACGAATATTATGGGAAGACAATTTTCACGGTTGATGATAGTAGTGGGATGTGCATCGAATGCACTGCTCCAACGCCGAAAGCCAACCTTTCTATAGAACCCGTCATCAATCAAAACCACCAAATCATCAAGAAAGAAGAGGCGAATACCACCAGACCGACACCCGCGACACCAAAAATACCGTGGGGCGATATGGATGTAGGTGTGGTGATTAAAATAAAGGGTGGAATCAATACTTTCCGCAATCAGAAACAGATTGAGATTGTGAAGATAGAAATATTGAGAAGTACGGACCAGGAGGTCAGTTTTTGGAACTACATTCTGGCGTTCCGGCAGAGGATATTGAGCGTTCCTTGGACTCTGACGCAGGAGGAAGAGGATAAGTGTCGGCGGCAGGCGACCGGGGAGAGACATCCCAAAAGGAAAGAGAAGACTGAATCGAGGCCTGGAATCACCTCCTACAAAAACAAAATGGTGAACGATGAAAATCGAAACACAAATGTCGCCAAGGGACATAGAAATCACGAAGCTAAGAAGAAACGCAGGGAGACCGAGGAACAGGAGAAGACGAATTCTGAGGTCCAAAATCTACATCAAATTGAGCATGCGTGGTTGAGCTCCGAGCATTATTCTTCTCTCGTCATTGAAGCCAGGGAAAAGAAACCTGACACTGTAAAGGTGTGAGCCGGCTGCTGAGGGCTATCGTCACTCTACGAAAACGCTTGGATTTGAATGTGTCGATATCACAACGACGATTGGATATCACTGGGGCTATTTCTACGAACCGAATATCACGAATTTGCTAGATTCGTTCTGATTAATAGAGTGTATTCGCTACTGATTCACAGTCTTGGTCTCCTCGTCTCACCAACAAAGGGTGAAAGGAATACCTTTGAGCCAGTGATAGCGAGCTGTTGGCTGTGGAAATGAAGGTGTGATGGGTTAGAGAAGCAAATACATTGGCTGCTTTGCAACGCTACTGGCCACTTTTTGAGGCAGCGTTTTGGGTTGCCAAGGAGGAATGCGGAGGAATGAAAAGCAAAGGGCTTTGTGAGCTCGGCTCCTCCAATTAGATATGACTTTCTACACGAATCACAAGTGGCTGAGTCGAGCTTGCCGTCTCACATGGCAGCAAGCACATGTTGTTGTAGCATGCCAAGGGAGGCTGTGCGGATGTGGGCAAGAGGCACGACGGGTGGGGATTTTGCGTCAGCGATCTCACGATAAGCAGAGCTCCCCTGGCGGAAGGGATTGGGTGTTCTCCGGATCTACCTATAAATGAGGGATTTCTGGCAAACAAAGATGTACGAAGTAGAGGGTCAATGGGTGTGGTTTCGAAGAATTGGAAGAGATATGAGGGCTGAATACCCTTACTTATATTAGGTCTGGCCGACAATAGCGATATATCTACTCCTACGGAGCTTGGGAGCTTGGGTAGCTATGGATGTGGAGCATGCCCGTTCTGCAGATTTCAATTGCCATGGTGATTGTTCTGTGTGACGGTTGCTGCATCGGATGGGTACACGGGTACCTTGGTAAGCTCAAGCTCTCCACCACCGGACAACACACAAAATATACTACGCCATCGGAAGAGAAATCAAGGAAGCGAAGGTCAACAAAGCTGAAGCTGAAACCGTGACGTTCATGATGAAGGGTGGTTGTGAGAATTGAGAATCATCATTAATCTGAACTTTTCTCCTCTGTTTTCTTCTGTGATCTTCTTGAGAATTGAAAGCGATAACTGTACGAAGTACGTTGAAGTAATTGCTCTACCGACCTGCAAGCTCCTGAGACCAACTCCCCGCTGCTGCCCTGATCCTACCTTGACCCATTGCGACGGCAGCACCATTGGAAGCCAACAGCCAACACCAATCCCCACCTGCGCCTGCCTCTGCCTGCAAGCTCTGTACTCTCGGTACTCCTTGGTTCCTGCCTCAGCGGTGTTGTGTGCGGCGTCTCAGGCTCTTAACCTCTCCTCCCAACAACACCCCCAGTGCATTGCCCAAGCATTTTCTTCTCTCCCAAGCTTCTTCACATCACCAACCGGGCGCAGCAGCATCAGCATCAGCATCAGCACCACACCAGCACCACACCAGCACCAGCACCAGCTCTCGACGCGGGGAAAGCGAAAGCATCATCTTGCACGCACTTCTTGACGGCTACTCGTACCGGCAACCCCACCACGACCAACGACCAACCACGCAGCTCCATCGCCCGACCGGAACACCTGGAGAGGGAAAGGCCAGTGATTTAGACGATCGCCAAGTCCAAATATGGTTTGTAAGTGAACACTCTTTTCATTACATCTTGGCCCAATTCTAGTGAGCCCCCGGAGCTGTGAGCATTGAGCAACTGCTGGTGAACGCTCCCAAACAAAACCCCCGTCCCAGCCACGTCAATTGCGACAATCTAAAAATCATCGGCCGAATGACGTTGTTGCCCGGCCACGACCACAACCACACCATTATTCCCTCGATCTGCTTGGACACTTACACCTACACCTACACCTCCATTCACAACCACTTCGGCCACTCCTGCGTCGTCGCCATTACAGTCTGAGTCGCAAAGCTTCTCTCTCTTCCTACCTCTCTCCATCTCCATCTCCCTCTCTTGCTCTACAACCTCGACGTAGATCTCAAACCATAGACCTCGACCAAGCGCAAGCAGCACAGGCCATTGACTTTTGGCTTCCATTCCTTCTCCACACCAACACCAATAATCTTTCCTTCACCCCCCAACTCCAAAACATTCCTTATTTCGTGCCGGCACGCCAAATCAATCGCATCACTTAATTCATTAATATCCTCCGGCCGCACCCGCACCCGCGCTCTGATTGCTACTAGCTCGTCCGTTGGATACCAACCGGCCTTTCTTTGTCGGGCTTTTTCGAGTTGCGCGAGGCCAACCATCGGCGAAGACGAGCTAAGAAAGGGTGGTCTTTGAATAAGAACTTGGATCGCTGACTCGAACTCTTCCTGGCCATCTTTAGCTGCGATCGGATTTCGAAAATCACTTTCTCGAACTAGAGCCTTCTCCTTTACACGAAACATGCCGAACCCATCAAATGGCGACCCGAACGAGCGAACACGTCTCTTGGACGATCTCGAGAATGGAGGGGCAACGCGCAAACTGTCCCTGCGCGATTTCTTTTTAAATCGGGCCCATACTCCAGGAGAAGATAGTCCAAAAGCGTTCGTAAGGATTCCTGCACGCGTGGTTAACGTTACTAAGGTGACTCTGTTCAGCAACTATGTCAATATCCTCCTGGTATTCGTGCCGCTGGGTATAGTTGCTGGTGCATTTCACTGGAATCCTACCATTGTTTTTATTCTAAACTTCTTCGCAATCGTTCCTCTGGCCGCAATTTTGTCGTTCGCCACCGAGGAAATCTCTTTAAAACTTGGTCAAACTATGGGTGGTCTTCTTAATGCCAGTTTTGGTAATGCAGTGGAATTGATTGTATGTTGGAAGGGACTCCGACCTTGTCCTTCATGTAAGCTAATGAAATCTGTGTAGGTCAGCATCGTGGCATTAAGAAATGATGAAATCCGGATTGTTCAATCTAGTATGTTGGGAAGTATCCTCTCTAATATTCTCTTGGTCCTTGGATGCTGCTTCTTAGCTGGTGGCATCCATAACACTAGAACAGGCACGGTTTTAGGTATTGAGCAAGGGTTTAACGTAACTGTTGCTTCTACCATGTCTTCATTGATGGCCGTCGCTTCCGCTTCTTTGATCATACCCGCCACTGTAGGTTCAGTTCTCTATCTTCCCAACCAATAGCTAATATCTCGGCAGCTATATGCAGCTCTGTCCAACTCCAAGGAGGACAATAGTGATAACATTTTATTTTTGTCTCACGGAACTGCCATTATCCTCCTCATCCTTTACGTGCTCTATCTCTTCTTCCAATTGTACACCCACACGCCACTATTCGATGGCGAAGGCGAGGGAGCAGAAGATGAGGAGGAGGAGACGCCGCAAATTAGCCCATGGGCAGCAGCTGGTATTTTGGTTGTAGTAACTATCGCAGTTGCCGTCTGCGCGGAATACTTGGTCGACTCCATTCAAGCCGTCACCGAAACCCTGCACATCTCCAAAACTTTCATCGGTCTCATCCTTCTACCTATTGTTGGTAATGCGGCAGAGCACGTCACTGCAATTGTTGTTGCTGTGAAGGACAAGATGGATCTCGCAATGGGAGTCGCTATCGGAAGCAGTATGCAGATCGCCTTGTTGGTTACCCCGTTCCTGGTCATTCTCGGCTGGATTATGGATAAGCCAATGACTCTTCATTTCGAAACTTTCGAAACTGTTGTGTTCTTCCTGAGTGTATTGGTCGTCACATACGTCATTCAGGACGGGAAGAGTAATTATTTGGAGGGTGCTATGGTGAGAATATCCACGGGTGGCATGTATGATCTATCTGCTAACACGTTATCCAGCTACTCGGCCTTTACTTCATAATTGCTCTAGCTTTCTTAGTGTACCCTGATGATGCGTCTAATGTTCCAGGCAACAATCCATCTAAGCAGTCCATGGTGGACACTGTCAAGTCCATGGTTGGGATGTAGACAATTCCGTACTCTCTCTTCTTGTTCATTCAGCTACACAATCTTCAATTGGGGGGTATTTCGACTTTTTTTTCCCTTTTGTCATGAAACTTTTTTCCTTGCGTTTGTTGCAGGTTGGTGCGTGAAGGGTGGCAGGGAAGATTGGTTGTCACCATGTATTTCTAAATGATTCCGACACATCTGACTGACGGGGTTTGGAATGTATGTATATGGGTGGGTATCTTCTAAATTGGGAAGGCGCCTGATATTTGAGAGAAAAGTTCTTTTCAAACTGTCTGTTTCTTGTGCTTGATTTAGTTAAGGAAGTGAAACTTTGCATGCCTACACGCAAGCACTGTCTAAAATTGTGACACTCCAAATAATTAAATACTCCAAATAAGCTCGAAAGTTACGGGAGTTCCTCCCCAAAGTGGCAGGCTGTCTGATGAGAGGTTTGTAGCAGGTGGGCTCTGGCTAGGCCTTGGGAGACTTAATATGGTCTACGAGCACTTGGTTTATAAAGAACGGCGGCAGAATTATATACTAGTTTACTAGTTTACTAGATAGCAAAATTACTGGTAGATAAAGCAGTGTTAACTCTGGAGCTGGTAGGCAGGTGAGGTAGGCGATTTTGCTAGGAAAAGGTGGGTTTTTCTGTTAGTGGGAAAGTAAACGTGTAATGCTTCCATGATCGTAGTAAGAGTAATTTTGGGTATAGTATGTGGTTGCCGGGAAGATATGGAGGAAAGGAAATAGAGGATGAATTGCCTGATGCCTTCAAGGAACTCAAGGAAGGACTGTGGTTTGTGGGAGATGGGAATGGTTGAGGATAGTGGGCGTGGGAGTGGGAGTGGGATGTAGATTAAGGCATGAGCACTCACGGCTCGACATCTGGGGCTGTCATGTCATGTTCTATCATTCAGGACACTTCCACCCAGCCAGACAGTTAGTCATATATTAGAGTCAGTCCCCTTTGCCGGTAGCTACTGGAGCTCTTTTCATTCCATTCATAGCTTGTTCCGACAGTGAGATATCTGTAATCTGTCAACGACCTTGACTGAGTGGGAGGAGCCGAGTCAATTGCCGGGAGGGTGGGGGGAGTCAAGAGCTGGAAGGATAATCCTGACTCCTGGGTAAATGTAGAGTGTGCCAAGGTTCTCTCGCGGGCTAGAGGTGTGATTATCATGCCTTTTCTCTCCTTTCCGCCCCCTCTAGTTCCACGTATCGGTAAATGGATGTCTGGATTAGAAATTTTATTCTTGTTTTATCGACCGATTAATGTAGCTCTTTTAAGGAGCGCAGGCTCGGTTAAGGTAATCATGCCCTACTTCTAAGATAGTGATGTTGTATAATACAGTACGTATTTACTTGTAAAGGTCAGTAAACACTCTTAATATACTATGAAAGGTTACTATACCAAACGCCTAGTAGAGGTAATTCAGTTGTCTTAGTATATATGTCTTAGAGCGAGGTAAAGGGTAATAATTATTATAGAAACATTAGTATAACTATTTTAGTTATATAAAACTTTTAGAGTAATACTTGTCTATTCTAGGTATATATACAATATGACCACGTCTCTTATAGTGAGTTCAGGTCAATTCGTTTCTTGGTACCTCGTCTTTCTCGCTTACGTATGAACTGGTGTGAAGGTGGGCGCTCGAAGGCCCAAGGCAGACAGAATTCAAGCGTATTTCTCGCCTACGGTAATAAAGTCTTGTTTAATCTTGATCGCGACCAGAACCTTGAATAGATTGTTCGATAGATTAATGGAATGTACTGAAGACCCGGCATGGATTGAATTCCTTGCTATGAAAATAGTTCCCTATTTAAGATTAATTCTCGATACAACGTCGAGTGTTTCGAGACACCGAGTCCAAAGAGTCAAGTTTCTCTCGATTTGAAACTTCATAAAAGTTTGGCCTCGATTCAAGGAGATGACACGTTGCTCATGATTCATTACGGCGATCATGGAGATGAGGATGGCGAAGGAAACAAGCAGTCAGTATGGGCATCGTATGTTAACCCTCTCCCGTTTATAGCATCCGAGGCTCATTGTAACGTTAGTTGATGTAGCGAGGTTTGCGATGATACACCCGTAGTGCGCTGGTCCTAATTGCAGGTGAAGCTCAAATCCCATCCATCTGAGGTTTACTTCTGCTTGATTGCTGTTAAACGCTTCCCAAGCAGCGCGTGGCTCTAAGAGACTTGGAGTCCAATCCCAGAAAATGTAGAACTTTGCAATTGGGCAGCCTGTGGGCTAAAAACCAAAACCGTGCTTCCTGGTCTTAATTTTTTTTACATTATCACTGTCGCAAGAAATCAAATCTAATCTAGACTCGGATGGCCTTGCTAAAATTTCGACCATGCATAACAACTTGGCTTCGAAAGATCCAGGCTCTCGCTTAATCAAATGGACGCAGAAGGCCCCGACGAAATTATCGGATGCCTGAAGTTGAAACCACCACCAACTATATCGAATATCAGAATAGAAGGATTGAAGAATTCCGTCGATGCAGTGAGCAACTACTTGTAAAACATTAGCCCTACTTCAAGGGATAATGGGGCTGGGGTTTTTAGCAGTTCCTCATGTAGCTCAGGGTGATGTCAACACAGCATAGCGACCTTTCAACAATACTGTTCCACGAATCACTTCACATATACGAGCGAGCCTACCAATCTTTGAAGTTCCGGACAACTTGGTAGAGGATTGAAGGATTCCGATTCCAGTAGTAGTTGTGCAGAAGAACTTGCAAATAGCTTCCGGCCGGTCCAAAAAGCCATCGAATAAAATGTCATGGCAATGCTAGAACTCTTCGATGAGAAGCAGTTCCTTGAAGCAGCCGATAGCCTGTAATACAGTAGGCCATATTTGGAACGGAATAATAAATAGATCAAAAAATTAGCTTAGTTCAAGCTTAACATAGCCAGGCCAGGATACTAGATATGAATTGAAGCCCATACTGTACTACAGTGACGGGTTTACTCCGGACAATCACAAGTTCCCCGCGATTGAAGATGCCGGTGGGTGCACCTAGGTGGCGGGGCAGTTTACGCACCCCGCCAAAAGATACAGTACTCGACTAACGGTGACTTAAAATAGTTTCCTGAACTCATATTTCCTCGAGATTTTGTGATTGTTTCTTGCACATTCATGAATCACATATTTTTAATATATTTTGCGTGAGACTTTTGATTGGTATTTTCCTTATTTGCCGTACAGTATTTGACCAAACACGCGCCGTGTCGAAAGATTTCTTAGCGCTAACTACTCTTTGTACTCGATACACGACTTTGAACGAAGAGATGCTTGAGAATGGTACGCCGGTTTCCAGCGGAGAGGTCATTGAGAGCAAGATGGCGGATCTTAGCATAAATGGTTCGAGCCATGGTGATGGTGCGACAGAGGCCAGCGATTCGATGACGGAACAAATTAACCATGAAAGGTTGGGTGCTGAGATGCAGGAACGGTGTCGCATCCTGGTCGCAGAGCTGGAGGAGTATCAGGAGTATCTTAGGAAGCAGAAGAAAGAGAGTAGTAGTGTTGAATTGAGGACTTTTAGGAGTGGCTTGAATGCCGAGATGAAGTTGATTAATAAGGTGTGCTTTCTGCTCTACCCCCCTTTCCCTCTCTAATCTGGAAAGAGGTTTCTAATGGAGGCCACTGGGATAGTTAGCAACAAAAGACTCCTCCAATCTCAAAATCGCCCACTCCCTCCGCTCCTCTAACTTCCTCTTCTACGCCTCCCTCTGGTCCACCGCCAAAACCTGCCGGGGAATCACAGCCCTCTCACGACGTTTCTATTGGGAACCCGACACGAAAACAGCAACCATAAATGGTCGTAATCATCTCCACGGAGCGAAGAAGAAATCGCACAGTGCGGTGGCGGATATTGTTTGTGAAGATGGGTTGGAGTGGGTGAAAGTATCTTCTAACACCGAGAAGAGGATTATTTGGGATCTGGCGAAGGCCGGGTGGGTGCCGGATTCGGATTCTGAAGATGAGGAAGCGGATGAAGAGGGTGGTGATGCGGAGGGTTTGTTGAAGCAGGTTGAGACGTTGGTTAAGGCGGCTAAGACGACGAGGGTCAGGTATAGGAATCCGATTGTGAGGTTGGTGCTTCCTAGGATTTCAAGGGAGCCGGAAGCGAAGGAGGTCGGTATTGTTCTGCAGAAATTGAGGAACTTAGGGGTCGTTGTACAGACGAAAGAGGATTTGGGAGAGGAACCGAAGCTGGTGGATGTTGTGGAGAAATTAATGCCGGATCGATACGAGAAGTTTTCTGAGGTCTTGAATATTGATTGTACGGTATTGCTAGCTTTTGTTAGCGATATATCGTATGGTACTGTTGTTAGTATAAGATTTCATTCTGTTTTGATAGACCCACCCCTGTCACCATTCGCTCAGATTAGATCATGAGAATGGCCCTTATAAAATTCTTTCAGATATGGAAACGCTAACTTTTAGCAGGAAGAAGCAGATTGGCACAACAAAATGATTCAAATCCAGGTAAGGGACATTTCCACCTGTTTTTGAAATCTCGGTTATCACTCGCTAACCCTTTTCCCTTGATAGCGAAAACTAGAAGCAGAGGAGCACCTTCTACCCTCGGTAAGTAAAAGAAACTCTTCCTAGCTCTCTCCCATGACTCTAACCTAGACTTTAAAGATACTCTGGCCTGCATGTGCTTCCAAAACCCTAGTCTGCACCCGCGAAGCTGCCACCAGAATGCTAGAAATAGTAAACACCATCGGAACCGACGCCGAAAAAGTACGCACCTCCCTCCTGTTACGCACTCCCATCCCACACTATCCCCCACCACCCCTCACACCGTCCGAAACCATCGCAGCCTTCCAAGCCCACTCCCAATATCCCGTCCCATCCACATGGCAAATCCCCATCCAAATCATCGACATCGATATCCCATCCATGCTTGCTGAACTCCCCGCCTCGGCGACAATAGTCGCGGAGAGACTCAGTGAGATGAATAGAAGTGTTTTGCTGTATGGGTGGTGGAGTGGGAGGACGACCATCACTAGCAACCGCGCTGTAGTCCGGGACGTGGAAGGTCCTGTGGAGGAGTTTAGGGTTGGGGAGGAGAGGGGACCGGATGTTTGGAGTAGTATAAAGCCGAGGAGTTTGGTGGGAAAGGAGAAGGAGAGGCGGGGGAGCGTTGAGTGAGAGTGGGTGTTGGGGGTGCTAACTCTAAAGGAGTTTTGGTGGGAAAGGAGAAGGAGAGGCGGGGGAGGGTTGAGTGAGAGTGGGTGTTGGGGGTGCTAATTTTAAAGGAGTTTGGTGGGAAGCGAAAATGGGAAGTGGAAATGGGGGCGTTGGTTATTGGCCTGAGTAATGCACCAGGAGAAGAAATGGAGAAGACGCTAACAGGCCGAGGAATATACTTAAGAAAGCAATCTCAAAACAGATTCATAGATAGAAGGTAGATAACTAATATACCCCTTGGGTAATTTGAAATTGACTAAACTACACACTGAACTATACTCGAGTACACCTCGAATCAAAATGATAGTCCTATTGTGTCGCTTAGAAGAAGGATAGTTCAGTCATTGAACATTCACTACTTATTATATATATCCACACCTATTTTCCCCAGTGAATTGAAGTTATAGCATCATGCCACCAATAGCGCCCGTGAGCTTGTTTCCTATTCACTTATTACTTCCACCTCACACTACATACACGTGCAAGTACGTAGTTGTCTGTACTATAGTAGGTTATTTCAAGTGCGGAGCTAATTGCTTAGGAGCAAGGAATCAAGCCTAATAAGTAAGGAACAAGGAATCAAGCCTAATAAGTAAGGAATTGCGGAGATGACCTGGGAACAAAGAACAAACAAGTATAAGGAGCAGCGTATTAACAAAACTAATCAAATACTCAACTCTACTCAAGTAGTACTCGAGTTGAGTTGAATGATTATGATTAGGTGATTCCGTTGAGTTGAGTTGAGTAGTGAATTCGACTATTCGAATAGTACTCGAGTAGTTATAGATAACGTGACTATAATATAAGAAACTTGTCCTCAAATAGCATATGCCAAATACAGGGGCACTCGGCAACGCGGACCCATTGGCACCGGCCGCCCGGAGTCGGTCTAGCGAGTCGGGCGCGCTACGGGGTATCGGGCCGACACCACTCGAGTAACTCATGAGTTAATCGAGTACTTGGCGAGTTGAGTTGAATAGCGATTTTCACTACTCGAGTTGAGTTGATTAGATGCTACTACTCAACTCAACTACTCGAATTTAATACGCTGATAAGGAGAAGGAATACTAGACTTCAACGCTACTGAAATGTACTAGAAGTGGACTCGAGGTAGAAAGTAAGTAGAAGTATAGTAATTAGATTTGTTCATTGATATTTATCAGTATATTGCTGTGTAAAACTTATAGAGAAATACCTCTCTTTCTAAGCGATACTAACAAAACTACCCATTACTCCGACAAGTATAATTTAGAGGGCACATTAATGATTTGAGATAAAAAAGGGGGTAGTTCTAGTTGATCACCGAGAAATAAGTAAAATCGGAGTCAACAAAAGACGAGGCCTGAAGTAACGCCTTGTCTTCACTAAACCATCTGGTTTGCAATGAGTAAAAAAAATGTTTAGGAGCTAGATTTTGTGTTTTGATTCCCAGCAAGAGGCAAAGTGAAAGCATGAAATATTTTATTCACTGCTCTAATACACAGAATAATATTGTTGGTGAACTTTGGCTCAGTCGTAGCTTCACTCTTCCGCGCCGTTTTCTTATCCAGGTAAGTCCCAAACTCCAGCGCTCATGCCAGAGTAAATAACTTCAAATAAAAATCCTTGAAAACAGATGACTGAAGAACGATTCGCCATGAATCAACTCTTCGCACGCTTGGACCTCCTTCCTCCACTAGCCTCGCTCTTCTGCTTCAGCTTTGCTGCGGCAGCTTGAAAGGCTTCTTCTGAGGGCATGCCATCATCTTCATCCTCGTCCTCATCTATAGCTCTCTTCTTGCCTTTCTTTCCCGCCTTGCCTTTCGATTTCTTATTCTCCTTGACGTATTTCGCTTCCAGGCTCTCAAGGAAAGCAGCTCCACGTCCTGCCTGTCTTTGCTGAATCAGAGCTGCTAAATCGTCTTGGCCACCCTTCTTCTTCTTGCTGTTGCTGTCATTTGTTTTCCCAGATACTTGCTCCTCGTCGTCCAGTTCTTTGGCGTATTCCATTGCTTCCTCTGCCTCTTTCCTCGCTTTTTTCATGCGACTCTCCTTCTGCTTCGCAGTTTCCTTGGTGTAAGCCGTATAAGCCTCCACGTCCTTCTCGGCAATAGCCTTGTCGATAATCTCCCTAAATCTCTCCTCGTCCTCCAACGGATTGCTCAACATGACAGTCTCATAAATGCCACTCCATTTGCCCTTGGCATTTGTGTATGCGCTAAGCAAATCGTCCTTCTCCTCATCGGATCCCTTGTAGCCTTTTGAGAAGGTTGCAATTGATTCGGAAGTTATCACGTCGCGGAATTGCTCAGAGTAATACTCGGACCAGCTGAAGCCGTCAATGTCGATTGATTCCGAGGTCGAACCTGTGACGTCGTAACGTTTTCGACGGACTGGATCAGAGAGAATGGCGTAGGCGAAGGCGACTTCTTGAAATTTGGTGTGGGCTTCATCTTTGAGGTGTTCTGGGGCCTTGTCTTGAGATGGAGTTAGTAAGTTTTGACATTGCAGATTGTTTCAAAGCTTCAAATACATAATGCCAATAGCGCGCGGATAGATAATTGCACGCAAAGAGTAGCAAAGAAGAAGATAGAGAGAGGAGAACTAACCTGGGTGGTGCTTCAACGCAGCTTTGCGGTACGCCGACTTGATCTCATCGGCGGTTGCGCTCTTCTCGAGTCCGAGTACATCATATGGCACAACTGACGGTGGCTCTTCATCGACGAGGTCTTCCCCTTCGTCCTTGCGTTTTTTGGATGGCATCTTGATTGTAGTTGAGTATGAGTTGTTGAATTTGGTGGTTGGAGTATGGTACGGTACGTTGGGAGCGTCTCGTGAGACGCGCTTCGGAGTGAAGGGGATGTCTTGGCGCGATGTCGCGTAGAGTTATATTGGTCCGTACTCTACTTGGACAACTGTTCCTACCTCCAGTACTCGTACTCTACGGAGGTATCTACGGTGTAGCTGCCACCTAAATTTCATTGGGCTATCCCACACCGACGCTAGTACTAGTAAGCACTAGTAAGGGCTAGCACTAGTATCAGTACTAGTACGCACTAGTACCGAAATCAATTGGCGCCGTGGAGAGCTGCACGTCACGTCTTATTTGGACAGGTTACCCGGTAGACACTACTGGTACGTATGTATTGCGCAAGCGGGGAAGTTCCGAAGTTTATTCAAGTACCTACGAGTACCTACCTACCGTAGGTGCATACCTAGGTAGGTAGGTAGGCACAGTATAGGTAGGTACCAGTATGCATCATAGGTAATACTCCGTATATTCCGCCAACGTGGAAACGAGGGGTTCGCTTGGACCGTGCCACCACCTCAACCCCACCATCTCCCGTCATCTCATCCCTAACGGCGCTAAGGTCCTTCCCGTCTACCTGAAATTTCGCCTGCCCTACGCCTCAAACCAGACACACTGCAAATACGGCCAACAGATCCTCTCAAGCTCCTCTTGTGCCCTCCTTTACCCTCGAACAACATGTCGACCCACGAACAAAAGGAGTCGACCTCTTCTCGCGACCCTCTTGATCCCACCCTGAGAAATGAGAAACATGAATATACACCCACCAAAAAGAAGATCAACATTGGTACTCGACGCTCCGCCCTTGCGGTCATTCAAGCCGAAATGGTCAAGAAATCTCTAGAGAAAGCACATCCAGAGATTGAATTCGAGATCCATGCCATGGCCACCATGGGCGACAAAAACCAAGTCACTCCCCTCCACGATTTCGGCGCAAAGAGTCTATGGACGCATGAACTGGAGGCACAACTTTTGGAGAACAAGTTGGACATTGTGGTTCACTGTTTGAAGGACATGCCGACCCAACTGCCACCCAAGTGCACCATCGGTTGCATCATGGAACGGGAGGATCCGAGAGACGTGGTGGTGATGAAGAAGGGTCTTGACTTTAAAAGTCTGGCAGAATTACCCGACGGCGCTGTGGTTGGCACAAGCAGTGTGAGACGTAGTGCACAGATCAAATCCAACTACCCAAATTTGAGATTCAAGGACGTCAGAGGCAATTTGGGAACGAGGTTGGGCAAGCTGGATGCAGAGGATGGGGAGTATTCATGTTTGGTTTTGGCAGCGGCTGGAATACTTCGAATGGACTGGGGCAACAGAATCACGCAATACCTGGATTCCAAAACACCTGGCGGAGGCATGTTATATGCAGTAGGTCAAGGAGCACTTGCCATTGAGATTCGTGATGGAGATGAACAGATTCTTGAAATCTTGAATCCTCTCTCAGACCAAGGTGCTACTCTTGCTGGAACGGCGGAGAGAAGTCTCATGCGTACCTTGGAGGGAGGCTGCAGTGTTCCAATTGGCGTTGAGACGACCTGGATTGAGAAAGGTAAGCTGTTAATGAAGGGAACTGTGGTTAGTCTGGACGGAAAAGAGAGCGTCGAGGCAGAAAGACTAGATGAGATTTTAAACGTTCAGGACGCAGATGAATTTGGTTGGAAACTGGCCCAAGACCTTGTAGAGAAGGGTGCAGCAGATATCTTGAAGGCTATCAATCTGAATCGACCCGTACTTGCAGAGGGCGGTAATGCATGAGGGTTCTGGAGAAGAACGGGGTGTTGTACAAAAGAGTATTGCTGGTAGCAGGTCTTGGCTCCCAAAATGGTGCTTCTACATATTCAACTCCGATACCAGAATACGCCTCCCAAACAAAATAATGCAGCCATGTTGAAGCACCACATCCTAATGTATATCCCCCCAGACTATTCCTCTGTAAACTTTTTGTATGCCGCCGCATCCATAAGGTTGTCTAGATCTTGGATCCCTACTTCACCAACCTCCACTTTTGCAACCCATCCACCAGCTGAGGAATCATCCTCTGGCCCTTTGTTGATGGTACCTGGCGTTTCCTCGAGCAGACTGTTGACAGATGTGATCGTGCAGGTGATTGGGGAGTTGATGTCTGAAGCCGACTTGACTGACTCGACCGCTCCAATGGAATCCCCCACTCCGACCTCCAGTGGTGCCGTTGGAAGCTCAACATAGACAACATCACCAAGAGCGTGTGCCGCGTAGTCTGAAATGCCAATGGTGGCAGTTTTCTTGTCTTCGGAAAGCTCAACCCATTCGTGGTCCTTGGTGTACTTCTTTGCGAATACTAGAGCGTTATCAGCATCAATACCACCAAGCATGTGCCCGAGGACGAATTACCAGCTGGGGAAGCTGAAAAAGCGCGGGAGCCGAAGGACGAGGGCCTCCATAATAGTGTGTTTGCTCTGGACGAGGCAATCAGGCGGGTGGCCGCGGGGCGTAGAGATCGTGCGATTGAAGCCATCTTTTGAGTGGTTTGTGTTGAGAGCGGTAGAGGACCAAAGATTTTGGGAATATGCTTCAGCCACTGGTCTCAATCGATTGGTTCGGCGGTCTGATCGGAAGCGAAGCAGGCGCGGCAGGGAAGAGGGGAGAGGGGAGATGAGGGACGAGAGGTCAGGGCCTGGGGGGTTTAGCGACCCCACCAAAAACACCTTGCGGGCGCCTGCAACCTCCGTTGACGCTGACGACCACCTGCACCGTCCATAACAAACAATATTTATGCCTCTAGACGACGCCAGACCCTCGCCCTCGCCCTCTCATACCCGTAGATGCAATCCATGCGCGACTCCTCCGCAGTCCTGCTTGCTTGCCGGCTCAGCTGAAGGAATTGCTGCCCAGTGGGCGCCGTCATCGCGTGCAATCTGCCAATCCGTAAAACGCGCCCCGCCTGTATGTAATGCACAGCGCCAGCTAGCGCCACCTGCATACCGACCCAACTTCCACTCGCCTCAAGGCCGTCTGCCAGGGGTGCACTCTGTCTGAATAACCTCAAAATCACCCCAAATTGGCACGTACACCATAGCGTCCTGTTTCTGCCCATACTTGCGCTGAACGACGGCGCCTTGCCCTTCATCCGAGTCATTCATTTGCAATATCCGGCCCTTCTCCTCCCGCTTGCTCGGCACCATCACCACCACCACCATACCACTACCACAGCTGGACACCACCTGCAGCACCCGCAATTGATTGATAGTCGTCGACCGCCAGGCGTCTCCACCCGTCCGCGGATCGCAGCCTTGCTCAGACAAGGCACCCGGCATCCTGGATTCCTCGACGCTCTCTGCTGGTTCGCCAGCACAATTTCACGACGCGATGGAGAACACGATAGAGACCGAGGGGGTATACGAGACACGAGGGGAAGGACAGGATGACACAATGGGCGGCACCGAAGAATCACAATCGCACACGCCCACGCACAGCAATGGCTTCCTCGACCGACGACACGGCCAGTCACAATCTGCCGACTTCCTTCCCTCCCAGCAAGGTTATCCTGCTTCTCCCACGCCCGATGCCGACGCTCGATACCCAACTCCCCCTACAGCCTTCGCTCCCTCCAGCTCTCCTCGACCCAACTCCGGAATCTCAAATAACAGCGCCTACTCCAACATGCAATCATCGTATCAAGACCAGAACGCCCGCGGTACGGCGAGCGGCGAGGCTGGACGGAACAAGAACAGTGTGGTCATCAAGGTTGGCATGGTGGGTGATGCACAAATCGGTAAGACATCATTGATGGTCAAGTATGTCGAGGGAAGCTGGGATGAAGACTACATTCAAACTCTGGGTGTCAACTTCATGGAGAAGACCATCTCGATACGCAATACCGAGATCACCTTCTCCATCTGGGATTTGGGAGGACAACGGGAGTTCGTCAACATGTTACCCCTCGTTTGTAATGACGCCGTCGCGATTTTGTTCATGTTCGACTTGACGCGGAAGAGTACTCTGAACAGTATCAAGGAGTGGTACCGGCAAGGACGAGGATTCAACAAGACTGCTATTCCATTTCTTGTTGGTACAAAATATGATCACTTCGTCAACTTTCCCCGCGAAGACCAAGAAGAAATATCAAATCAGGTGAGCAAACCCGTACTTCGACAAAGACCACTGTTTTTCACTTCACTCATGTTTTGGTGCCCCATGTCTCAAACAATATACTAACAAAACTCCCAGGCGAGGAGGTTTGCTAAAGCAATGCGGGCAAGTCTTATTTTCAGCAGTACAAGTCATAGCATCAACGTACAGAAGGTAAACAATTATCCCTTGACGATGATATCTTACCAAAAGCCCAAAACTCACAATCACCTCACAGATCTTCAAGATTGTCCTGTCCAAAGCCTTTGATCTGAAATGCACGATCCCAGAAATTGAGAATGTCGGTGAACCACTTCTTCTCTACCAGTCTGTTGGTTGATTTATCTCCCATGAAAGAACCAGCACACCCTACTCCATAATACGAGAGAGGAGAGGAGAAAGCCCGTGTGCCCAAAGGATGATAGACACCAATATAATCTTGGGCAGCCACGTATTTTAATGAAGATGACTAACTTGGCGGAGGAAAGAGGAGCGAAGTTTTTCTTGCGATTTCTTGCTTGCTGTTGGCATGAAATGACTTAATGGCACAATATCATGAATTGATAAACACAACGCACACACACAGACTTACAACATGGTGAAATGGCAGGGGTTAGGTTGGTTTGTGGCTTGGCTTTGGCATCGGAACCTGGGAGAAGAAAAATCTCATCTTGTTTGCTTTTTCTCTCCCTCTTCTCTGTATCCTATTGCATATTTGTTGTTTTAGCAGGTCGTTAAGGTGTCTATTTGGTTGCTATGACTGCTGTCTGTTTTTGATTTGAGAATACTACAGTACAATAAAAGAAAGCACCCTCGATGGAGTCTCACATAACAATTACCAAATCTACAGTACTCTACATGCATTTCTTGGTTGCACAATCTAGTAAGTGATGATCGCCATTTATTATTGATTTATGAGCTACAGTACAATTTGGAAATCTAGTAATTGACCAAGCTACCATGAATCAATGGAGTGAGAGTGCGCCGTAGCAAGCACAGCGAGAATTTGCGCCTATCGCTGCCAACACAACTCCACAAGTACAAGTACCAAGGCCATACCCAAATCTACTCCTTTCCTCTGAAGGGCGATGAAATCCTCGTTAGCCACGTTGATCGTGCGGTTTGATAATTCTCTCCGCCTGGAACCTTGCCTGATGCTTCTAGCGAGGCATCATCATCAGAATCGTCCGCAAGCCCGTAGTCGCTTCTCGTGCGTCTACCTGTGCGGGCAGCTGCCTCCACAAACCCTTGATTGCTGCTTGAACCGTGGCCTATTGTTTTCCCCTTTGATTCGAGAAATTTTGCCAACGAAAGCTGTGCGGAGTGCTCGGCAGAACGGTACTCATCAATTACTGCCTTGGCCTCGTTGACTCTCCGCTTGCCTTTGGCGGTGTCGTCTGGCTGGAGTTCTTGCCTTTGAGTATCGGTGCCGCTGGTGCTCATTGTAGGCATTGTTTGCGACGACACCAATTGCGGAATTTCTTTTCTTGTTTTACGCATCTCTTCTTGTCTGATGGGACCTACAACTTCGGACAATGCGCTTGAGTTTTCCGTACTATTGCGGGTTTCCGCGTTTTCCGCAACATGATACTTAGCTTTGTGGTCGTCGGGCGAGGAGTCATCAGAGGATACCGGACAGCTGGATAACCGATGCGCGTAGGATCGACTGCACCTCTCACCGTTGATGTGGTTAGGGACTGTTTGATAAAGCCTTCCAGATGTCGAGCTTGGGTTCTCAAATGAACAATCAGCCAACTTGTGTTGAAAGTTCGGATTGCGCCTAAGTGGCGAATTGTCCGCTTTGGATTTCATCCCGTTGGAATCCTCACAAACCGTGAGCGTATGGTTCTTGGCGATGGATGGTGCTGGTGGCAGGTCACAGGCTAAAAGCGTTGGAGAAAAGACCATTTCAGGAAGAGACTCAACACACTTTTCAATTTTGTGCTGTTTTGTGGAAGCATTGGCGTCAGTGATCTTACACTGCTCAAGACCATGTTGCTCTTGGCGTACATTGCTGGTATTGCTGGAGGTCTTCCTGCACTGTTCAAGCTGATGTTGTTTTTGAGATGCCATGCGGTCGCTCATTTCACAATTTTCGAGGCCATGCTGCTTTTGAGGGGTGTCGCCACTAGTAGTATGGCACTTTTCAAGTTCATGTTGTTGCCTTTGGGGACTACTAGCAATGATCCGACATTGTTCAAGTTTATGCTGTTCTTGAGGAGAATTGCTAGTCGTGGTATCACAAAGTTCGAGGCCATGCTGCTTATGAGGGGTGTCGCCACTAGTAGTATGACACTTTTCAGGTTCATGTTGTTGCCTTTGGGGACTACTAGCAATGATCCGACATTGTTCAAGTTTATGCTGTTCTTGAGGAGAATTGCTAGTCGTGGTATCACGACGTTCGAGGCCGTGCTGCATGTGAGGAGCATATCTGGTGGCAGTTTGATAATGTTCGAGTTCGTGTTGTTCCCGTGGAGAATTTTTGATTGTCATCTCACATTTCTCAAGCTCATGCTGCTGTTTGGAAGCAGTCATAGTCGCAGTACTCTGACAATCCTCAAGGGCATGCTGCGATGCAGGATCATCCTCTTTTCCAGCATTTTCGCACTGAGTGAGGGGGTGTTGCGATCTCTTCGCAGCACTGCTACCCGCTCGATCATTATCCTCACGAAGCGTCTCACAGATTTTGCTTCCGAGTCGGTGGGCAGACCTAGTGGGTTGGTCTGACTTCCCACAATTTCCCAAATCATGCTGGGCAGACGGGGCATTGACGGAGGCCACCTCGCAGTTTTCGAGCAAGTGTGGGGGTAATACACCCTTCTCTCTTTTTTGACAACGTTCAAACGAGACGCAGTCGTTTCGTCGAGGGCCCGATGAGGAGGGGCCACTCTCATTTTCGTCGGCGTATATTGAGCTCTGCTTGCCCTTCGTTGGCTCTAGTGGTAAAAGCTCCTCTCCATCATCGTCACTTGGAGTCAGATACGCGGAACTCAGCTTCGATCGCCGGTGTCCTTTCCTAGGCCGTGCTGGCTTCTTCTCCACGACCTTACTGGTTTTGCTGTGAGGATCTTCGGAAGCAGAGTTCGATAATGCTGGCATCTTCTCAGCTGACTTGCTCGGTGGAATGATGAAAGGTCCGGCACCGGTTTGTGACATCTCTGAATATCGTGGAGGATTTCTTCCAGATGGTTGGTCATGAGTTGGGCGGGGAGACATGTATTCCATGGGGGGATGCGGAGTAGGCTGCTCAGTTTGTATGCCGCGCTGTCTCACATACTCTGCGTACTTTTTGCTATCCCGAAATTTCACGTCTCCTTCCCGGGCTCGAATCTCTCTGTCCATATGGACTAATGTACATGGGCGGCAGAAATATGATAGAACACAGTCTGTTCCTATGTTGCCCTTGATACCATATTTACCGCGCACAGCTGATCGCGTAATGCACACGAATATCGCTGAACAATGTTAGCAAATGGCTTCGAGGCGGTTATAAAGCTTACTTTCAACACCTGGACAAAAGAAACCCACAAGGCAGTAAGCCCAGCACATCCCATTACAGCCATCTTTCGACTTCCATACAGAATCATCAGCCGGCTGGCCTCGAGAAAGCCGGGCTTTGCGCCACTCGATTTTGCCGTATAATACGCAGGGAACAAAAATGGCCAACGCTAATGCCGTGGCATCACAAGATGATTCTACGCAGAACTGCTTCATCCAGCCATGATAATGATGCGTTTCGTCGTCCTCGTGGAAAGGAATGTTGGGATAAGGAACGGAATCTCTGTGCGCGTCGGCAGGCTGGTTTGCAGCAGAACTTTTGGTGGCCTTTGGCATCGCCAACGACTCCCGATGATTGAGAACGACGGAACTGTGCGAGTCGCCGGTGGTGACCCTAGACACTTTTGGCGGTGTATTTGCCATGTTCTACCGCAAAAGGCAAGTCTGGAGAGCGTTCAGTATACGGCCGTTCTCAGGTTGCATAGAAGATATGTTTGGTTGCGAATGGTATAGTAATACAGATGAGAAAGCGATGCATTGGGGATGTTGACGGGAAGTCTGGAAAGAACGTGTCAACGGGCCAAGGGGATCTCGAAAACCAAAACCCCGAATGGAAGGCAGACACCCAAGGTCGAGAGCGCCCACTTGGATGGCTCTTTCCCCATGTAACATATAGAATTAAGTGATCCGACGCGGAACAACCTCTAGTCCTCCAGAATCTCCTCTCGCTTATTCGCTCAAACACAACCCGCACGTCGTACCGAGAGGAACAATTAGATACGTGGTAATACGTCGTCTTCCGCGTTCATTATGCAGCTTTTTCTCCAAGCCCAAAAGGGTGATATTTACATTACTCAGCTCTTTCAACTCCAACACTCCTCACGCCTCGGTCTACTTGTCCTTGGACTGAAATTGGTCAGCACTACATACATTTGAGACACAGTAAAGCAGGAGTATATGAACTACAGAATGGAGTTCTAATGAATTGTGTCTATACCTTTGGGTTTGGATCAACTGTTCCCTTCGACTTGGCAGTCTCTGGAACACCATCTGTGCTGCTCTTACTCGAATCGTTGGAAATGTCAGTTGAGTGCTTGGTGTCGGTATTTGATAGTCCCTCTTGTTTTCCACTATCTTTTCCTGAGCTTGCCGTCTGTATCAAGTCAACATAAGGCGTGAGTAGCATATGGCTAGGAGAAGATTACTTTACGAGCACCCTCGTCCAGATCCTTCGCTTCTCCTTGCTTCTCGCCCTTCTCGCTCTCAATTCTCTTTTTGGAACCTCCTTTAGCATCTGGGATCTCTTTCTTCGTATTTTTACCATCAGACTCTGATTCGCTGCTCTCTTCGTCGGAGGTGTCTGGGGTCTCGGAAGTCTTTTCCTCGTCTGATCCGGAATCTTCTGATTTACTGTCCTCCTCAGGTTCTCCCTTCTCCTCGTCTTCCTTAGCCTCAGACTCTGGCTCCTCGGATTTCTCCTCCTTGACCTCTGGCTCTTCGTGATGTTCGCTATGGTCCTTACCATGGGCAGCCCCGTGGCTATCATGGCCATGCGCGTCGTCGGGGTTGTTTCGAAGAATGAGCCCTTTTTGAACAATCTAGTCAGTACAGGACCAATGATTTGGGTTAGAGAAGTGTAGATAGTAGGTAGTAGGCAGTAGACGAGAAGTTTCCGCCTTAACCAGAATTTAGCCAACTAATAACACTTACAGCATGATGGTATGGTTACCGCAACAGCCCCAGCAGCCCTAAATGACGTCGTAAGCAAGTATTCAAAAAGAGTTTTTTTCCCGATCGCCACATACCAGACAGCATCTCCACCAGCCTTGGTCTCATGGTGTCCTCCACTAGCGTAGGTTCTGCGCGCAACCTGGCGGAACAATTGAGGGCGCACCGTGGATGGTCGTAAGGCACGAAAGCTCGATCGCATAGCAGCAACTCTTGAGAAGGCCATTGTGGCGGGGGAACTGAACAATTACGTACAGAAGATGGTCTGGAGAGGGCGATGAGCAATGCAGAGAGCGTGTGATGGATTGACCACTACGTACCGTCTCAATTGAGGGAGATGGAGTGAGTTGAGACGGGAAGGACGAAGTCACGAAGCCTGGCAGAGGAGCAGAAGCTGCTGTCAGAGCTCTCTCTCGACCCGGGCTCCCGGTCCGGCCATTTCCGGGAATACATAGCAGAGCGGACCGAGCTTCTCGAGCTCTGGCTCGCTTACTCGTAGGTCAATACTTCAGTACAGAGTATCAGTCTGGTGAGTGCACACCATAGTGAGTAATATACCAGTGAGTACTGCGACGGAGGGTGAGAATAGCCTGACTCGCCTGAGTAGGTACCTCTGTCAGTGAGTCAGTGGCTCCAGGTGGTGGTACCTCTGTCTTGTGTGCCTTGCGGTGCCTGAGACTCTGTAAGGCAGCCGAGAATCAACTCCAACACCCATACCAGAAGTTTACCCCACCATGCTTGAGGTGAGTGAATGAGGTGACAGGCTCCCATCCGCGTCCACTTTCCAGTCCCGGTCCCAGTGAACTACTTGAGGTTGATGGAATTGTTCCTGGCCACCTCAAAGGAGCATCTGCTCAACTTCAACCTGAAGACCTTCCTTTCCTACCACCACCTCAGGCTCAACCTCGACCTTTCCCCACGCATCTTCTCCCTCAACCTCAACACCAACACCATTCCCACCGAGCTACCTACAGCTTCATAATCAACCACTCCCCGCCGCATACGAGTATTCCGCATAGGAAGGCAACCATCAACCACCGTCCTCCCCGCTCAACAGAATCCACCCAACTTCTATTTTGTGAATGGTCCCCGACTTACCCAACTTGCGGTGATCGCTTGTCGCAGAAAGCTGGAGCTATCTAGACCCTTTGGTAATCCTCACGCAGAAACGAGCGAACCGATCGACGCAACTCCAAGATGTCGAGCCAGATCCCCCAGAATCCGACCTCGCAAACGGTAGCCGCGCTACTCCCTAAGCTTCAGGATGTCGATCCAGACTTCCGTTACATGTCTCTGAACGATCTTTTTCAAGTCTTGACGATTGGAAAGTCCGATTTCCTCCACCATGATTATAACACCGCCGCAAAAACCGTCGATGGAATTCTCAAGACTCTGGATGACCAGAACGGCGAAGTCCAAAACTTGGCCATCAAGTGGTATGTATTCTCCCTAGGAACCCAACACGGTTTGCCCTCCGGAAACTGATAAGTGCCTGCAGTCTTGGTCCGCTTGTAACAAAACTTCCCGGCTCGATCTTGTCCCCTCTCATTGAGAAGCTGTCGACTTTGAACATCGAAAATTCGGTCGATAATTCCATTCCGGCGATGGCCCTTCGAACGGTCGTTATAACCCTACCCCGACCAACTACCGGTGTTGCAGCGACGAAGGAGGTGAATGAAGCATATAAATCCATCAGCCAGGTTCTAATTCCACGCCTGGTTGGCCGTTTGGTTGCAAACAAGCCCTCAAAGGGCGTGAAGCTCCCACCGCCCCCACCAAGCATGCTGGATCTAAACTCGGATAAGGAATTGGACTCGGAGGCTGTGGATGTTCTGATTGAGGTTGTGAGATGCTTCGGTCCCATGCTTCAGCAGGTCGAAGTGGAGGCCTTCCAAAACCTGTTACTTGAAATACTGGAATCTGACCGTGGCGGCTCGGTAGTCAAAAAGCGAGCGGTTGTTGCCATGTGTATTCTTGCAACCTATCTCACCAATGATGATCTGAGTGGCTTTGTTTCTCACCTGATTGAAGGCCTTCGGAGCCCTCATCTTACCTCGAACCAAAGACGCTTGTATATCACAATTCTTGGATCCATGGCGAGATCAATTCCTTCTCGGTTTGGCCATTATTTGAAAACTCTCGCTCCGTTTGTTCTCTCAGCATTGAGCCAACAGGAGCTAGATGATCAACTTGAAAACTCCGCCGAAGATGGCGAGCCAGATACAGAGTTGGATGATGTTCGTGAATCTGCTCTTGTGGCCTTGGAAGGTTTCCTTGCTTCTTGTGGCGGCGAAATGCGTGATTTCACCGATGAGACAATTTCTGCTGCCCTTCGGTTTTTGAAGTATGACCCCAATTACAATGATGATGACGAAGACGAGGAAATGGGAGGAACACAAGAGGACGACGAGGCAGACGGCTTTTGCGACGATGATGATTTCGAGGCCGAGGCCGGATTTGACGACGACGACGATGACGCCAGCTGGAAAGTCCGTCGATGTGCAGCCAAGACACTCTATACCATCATTTCCACTAGGGGAAGTGGAGATTTACTAGACGATGGTACGTTGTACGCCAAAGTCGCCCCTATCCTCGTTCAACGGTTTAGTGAACGAGAAGAAAACGTTCGACTGGAGGTCATTGCGACCATGTCCTCTCTTGTTCGAAAGACTGGCGAAGGCGTGTTTGTCAAGCTCTCCGGTGATGAATCCGAGTACGCCAACCATGCACCCCAGAGTAAGAAACGCAGAAGAGAGAGTAGTAGTGCTACATTCGACACAAAATCTTTCCTCTCCGCGTCCGCAGGATTGATCTCGCCAACAGCCGAGCCAGTCCCGGCATCGGGCCCAAGAGCAGATTTAGCGCGGCTCAGCCCTGCGATTGTCAAGGCAACCACTAAGCTTCTTAAAGGTAGCTCAATTCCAACTAAACAAGCCTTGATCAACCTCTTGGATGATGTTGTTTCCGTTCAAAATGGTGGCCTAGCCGAGTACTTCAACCAGATTGTTGAGCCCATAGTCGACGCAATCAAGACTACTTCAGGATACTCGGGATCAGCTGCAATCACTAGTGGAGGAGCTGCTTCAGCGACTGCAAATACCCTACGAATTGCTGCACTTGGCCTAATCGGCGACATCGCTAAGACCCATTCTTCGAGTGTTCTGCAACCGTTCTTGGCTAAGATTGTCCCAGGCGTTGTTTCTGCTGTAAATGACAGAAACTATAAAATCTCTAGTGAAGCTATCGGAACTGTCGAGGAATTAGTCAAGGCTCTGACACCACCAAGATTTAGATCAGTATCATCCAGCCATAAAACAGATTTGCAACAACTCTACAAGGTGATTGTTGGTCGCGTGACAGCCAACGACGCCGACTTGGAAGTCAGACAGCGTGCAATTCATGCTTTAGGAATCTTGTTGGCACGCACTGCTACTCCGGAGGGCTCTTCATTACTGCCCGCTTCGGAACGAACGGCAGCGATGGATATCTTGACAGAGAGATTAAAGAATGAGATTACTCGTCTAGCGGCGGTTCACGCAATTGACACCATCGCAGCTTTGACCACAAGTGCTGATCAGCTCCAGCCAGCGTGGATTAGAGAGGTGTCTCTGGAATTATCTGCTCAGCTTCGCAAGGCTAACAGATCATTGCGAGGTGCAAGTCTTCTCGCCCTGAAAAATCTGGTTTTAGCGCCAGCGGCTAGGAACTCCCTTGATACACCTACAATTGAAGGTCTTGCGAGCGCACTGTACCCTCTTCTTACCGCAACAGACTTACATCTTCTTGGGCCTGCCCTTCTTGTGCTAGCTGCGCTTGTTAACGATAACGCCAAGTTGGTTGTTTCTGACCAGCTTAATGTAGCCCTATGCGAACTTCTAAAATCAACCCTTGGTGGTGCGGTTCTAGATGCATTATTGGACCTTGTATCACAAATTGGTCAGCAAAAGGCTGGCAAAAGTTTGATGCAAGGTCTTCTTGCAGAGGTTAGAGTCACTGGCGATCCATCAGTTGTCGGAAGAGTTATTGGCACACTTCTCATCACGGGGGATTCTTCCGTTGGTGTCAAGGTTGATGAATTCATCAAAGAAGTGAGCCTTATCAGACCATTCGAACCAAATGCAAATGATAAGGAGAAGCAAGAACACATTCAAGCAGAGGATATTCGTCGAAGTCTAGCTTTGGGAGTTCTCGGCGAGTATGGACTGCGTCTGGGCGCAAAGTCACCTTTGAAGCCTGAGGTTTTTACAGCCGAGTTCTCTGCTCAGTCGGAAAAAGTACCTCTGGCTGCTGCAATTTCTCTTGGGCGTGCAGGTGCTGGCAATATTGCTGTTTACCTACCCAAAATCATGTCCGGAATGAAGAAGGGTGGTAACATTCAGTATCTTTTATTGCACTCGCTCAAGGAAATCCTCCAACAAGCCAGTAACAACTCTGCAGACATAAAGAATTATACCACCACTATCTGGGATCAACTCCTCAGTGCTTCACAGGATGAGGATAACAAGGCTGTAGCTGCTGAGTGTATTGGGAGACTTGCGCTCATTGATCCACAGACTTATCTGCCGCAATTACAGGTATGGCTCAGTACCATCAAGTTGGGGATCTCCAAAGCTAATACATTTTTAGGCGTATCTCGTCGACCCAACAGCATCAGTTCGGGCAATAGTGATTCAAGCCATTCGTTATACCCTCCCTGATAGCGATGAAGCATTCGACAATGTTCTCAAGACTACATTATTAGATATGGTGACCGTTATGCTGAGAGACGAGAATATAGAGAACAAGCGTCTAGCTCTGACCACTCTCAACTCTGCAGCACATAACAAACGTGATCTCATCATTCCGAACCTGGGAACCTTGCTTCCACTTGTCATGTCGGCATCTGTAATCAGACCAGATCTGATTCGGATGATCACAATGGGACCATTCAAACACAAGGTTGACGATGGTTTAGAGATGCGAAAGGTAAGGGCTTTCCAATTCTCATTGCTGTTAATCTACTAACGTTTCTTTAGAGCGCCTACGAGACACTATATTCCTTGATGGAGATCGCATTTTCGCGAATCAATATCTTGGATTTTTATGACCGCGTCATTGCAGGTCTCAGAGATGAGCAAGATATTCGTGCTCTTTGCAACCTGATGCTCACAAAACTTGTTGTGCTTAACCCAGATGAGACGTCAGCACGCCTGGACTCAATTGCCGAATGCTTCCGTGCTGTTTTTTCGAACAAGCCAAAAGAGAATGCTGTCAAGCAGGAAATCGAGAAGTATCAGGAGGCTTGCAAGGGCGTTTTGAGAGTATCCTTGGTATTGCACGATGCGATTCCAGGAGCAAGCATGGCCATGGGCGCCGCGGCTAGTCAACACCAGACTTGGCGAAACTACTGGGAGATGGTAGAAAAGGATTTTGAGCCGCAGATGAGAGCTGTGAGAGAGGAGAGCAAAGAGATTGCGGGTTGATCCTTATGGGAATATGATAGGGTGAATTTGGTTCATGATTACGATACGAGTGGATTAACCGTGTGGCATGAAGCGGGGTTGCGGATTATATGTGAGGTTTTATGGGCAAGCCTAGAGGTAGCGAAAATGTGTGTCAATGGAAGAATTCATCATTTGGCAATATCCCCTAGTTTCACATAAAACGGCCATGCAGTGTAATATTGAGATTTTTCCTGCCCCAAGCCAAGTGGACATGTTTGAATAGGGTTCCCGTACACCCGGTTTATTTATTTATGAATCAAGTATCTATCTAGTCTCTTCACTTCTCATGTTACCCCTGTCTTCATGCACCGGTTTCCTTGGAGCATAGAAGAAAGGTGTTTGGTAATGAAAGGGTGAAAGTTGATCTTGGCACGAAAGAAAAAATCCTTCAGCAGATGAACATTGAAGGTTCGGAATGCTGTACACACAAATGCCTTTGCTAGAAGAAGAAGAAGAAGAAAAATGGACAGGTATCACGTTAGTTCTGTTGGCTGATCGTCTGAGACATCTTCGAAATATTCGATGTTGCCAGGCAATGAATGGCATGGCCGTATAGCAATGCTGCGAATCGTCTGTACAGCTAATATGGTACAAGCACAACGCTTCAAACGCCATCCCAATGCATACCGAGGGTATTATTAACCCCATTATCCGTACCTGGAGACTTAAGGTCAGCAATTTCTGATTAGCATCAAGAGCAGTAGCGTTTACCCCTATACTCATACATGACATAACAATTACATTTCTCGTTCAAGTCTCCGCATTCTCCTCCTTCCACTTCTGGATGTATCGCTTGCCACTGAGTCCTCCTTTGGGATCTCCATCGAAGCGGCCTCTGGGTGAAGCGATTGTCCTCGTCACGAATGGGGTGAGCTGTCCTCCATCAGCCGCCATTCCACTGCTGCTGCACGCCCGATCCAGTCCAGCTTCAAGCGGGATGACCTACCTTGAAGTTCCTGAGGTCAGGCACAACATATGTCCTGACTTTGGCCCAGTCGATGATATATCCTCCATGTTTCGTGTGCGAACCCATCGAACCAGAACCAGTTCCCTTGTAGTATCCTTTATTCGTGTTCTTGGTATTCAGCGCCAGGCGTGTGAGCTTCCTGGCGAGGGACTGTGTAGGCTTCATCGTGTCGTCTAACCTTGGTAGAGTAGCGATGGGAGATTGGCCGGGAGCGTAGAAGGCTCGAGGGTGAGGTTGTAATCTATGTGGTGGTGGTGGTGATGGTGGTGGTGGTGTTGAGGGCGCAAGAGAATTTGGCGCTAGCCCATGTACAGTACAGTAGAGGTACAGTTGTCGCTGCCAGGTCCGTGCCACCTTGAAAATTGTTTATCGTAGGCGAGCCGATAACGAAATTTTTGATTGAGCTCACCCGTCCCCTTCCATTCCTTTTCCTCCCACCAGACAACGACGCCGACACCGCAACGATGGCAGGCAGACAAGCGCATGGGCGCGCGCCAGACAAGAAACCGAGAGCGAAGAAAAACAACTCGAAAAAGCGTGCTCTCGATGCCTTCGCAATCGCATCCCATCAGACTTCTGATGATGTCAAGATCCGGAAGCATCGACTTGGTGCACAAGAAGGTGGAAACCGGCCCGGAAAGCGTCGCAGGGACGAGCATGATGAAGACGACGAAGAGGAAGAGGACATCAATACCAAGAAGCAGCGAAAAGGCCCTGCGAAGGGCCGTTTCGACGAATTGGATGTAGACGGGGGCAGTGATAGTGAGGGGAACGAGTGGAAAATGGGCGAGGTGGACTCAGACGATGACAGCGATCTGGACAGCGACGAGGCTTTTGGAGAAAGCGACGAGGAACGATTCAATGGGTACGCGTTCTCGGGCAGTACAAAGAAGAAAGACAAGAAGAAGTCGAACCTCCGAAATAAGGATATCAATCTCGATGAGGACGAGGAGGAAGACTCCGACTCCGAACTGGAAGAGGGAGACTTAGGCGAAGATGCCGTCGATCTCGCAGACATGTTGGATACCTCAGAAGATGAAGGGGAAGTGCAAAAGAAAGACAGTAGGCGCCAAACCGAGAGCTCGGGATCCGAGGAAGATGAGGAGAGTGACGATGAGTCGTCGGCCTCTTCTGCGGATGATGATGATGATGAAGACACCTCCGACCCCACCAAAATTGCTGCTCTACAGCGTCTGATTGCAAATTTGCCTCAAGTCGACGAAAGCAGTCGGGCGCCCGCAAAGCAGCGCAGTGATGGCGCGAGCGAGTACAACACACCTTCGGAATTTGGGCTTGCGTCAAAAAACAAACTCACGCTGGAAGATTTAGGGCTGGCTGGGATAAGTGATCCACTTATCAAAAAATCACTGAAGTTCGTTGAGTCCAATTCAAACTCGCAGGGAAAGAAGAAGGCATCTTCAGCAAAACTCGAGGTGCCTCTGACCAGACGTCAGCAAGACCGATTAGATCGTAGTTCTGCATACGACCAGACCAAGGAAACCCTGGATAGATGGACAGACACAGTTAAGAATAATCGCCGGGCGGATCACTTGATGTTCCCGCTCGTAGATCATGACACTGCAGCGACTCACTCCAACAAACAACTCATTCCAACGAATCAAACGAAACCTTTCAACGAACTAGAAGCTACCATACAGAGCATCCTCGAAGAAAGTGGTCTAGCAACCACCAACGGAAAAGATGACGAAGACCAGATCCGTGAATACGAGGAGCTGGAAACCAAGAAAATGTCAATCGAAGAAGTTAAAGCACGGAGAGACCAACTTCGCATGGCTCGAGACCTTCTTTTCCGTGAGGAAGCCAAGTCGAAGCGCATCAAGAAAATCAAGAGCAAGTCATATCGTAAGGTACATCGAAAACAAAGAGAGAAAGAGGAGCGTCTCAACCAGGAAGCACTTGAAGAGGGCGGTTATATACCTTCTGAGGATGAGCAAGAAGCTCAAGATCGTCGAAGAGCCACTGAGCGAATGAGTGCTAAGCACCGAGGTAGCAAGTGGGCTAAAGCTACGAAGGAAACAGGCCGAGCTGCCTGGGACGAAGATGCGAGGTCTGGTATCACTGAAATGGCTCGGAGAGACGAGGAGTTGAGGAAGAGGGTGGAAGGGAGAGCAGTTAGGAAGGAATTCGATGATGGATCTGAAGGCTCATTCAGCGAGTCTGAGGGGAGTGACGATTCAGAAGCGGACGATGCTCGAGCGCTCCGACAATTGAACAAGCTTGGAAATTCGGACATCGTTGATGAAGCGGCACCAGGTGGAAAATTGGCAAACATGAAGTTCATGCGCAAGGCAGAGGAGGCACGGAAAAGGGGTAATGATGAAATGGTTGAAGACATGAGACGAGAACTTGCTGGTGAGGCATTCTCGGAAGAAGAGGAGACGGGAGATATAGGAAGACGAATCTTCGGTCCTGGAAGCAACAATACTCCTTCTGAGGCAACAATATCAAAGACGAATGAATTCGAAGTGCCAGAAGCTTCGGATGACGGTGATTTGAAGCTGGATAACATGGTTCTCGATGACAACGCCAAGTTTGGTACAATTCAACCAACACAAAAGAAGATCAAAGGCACACTGAAAACTTCCGTGCTCCCAGCACAAAAGCCCCAGCCAGTCAACTTAGAAGGTGGCGCCTGGTCAAAAGCTCCTCTCAAGAAAGCGACTGGTATCAGCGATGCAGAGGCCAACAGACGTCGACATAAGAGGAACGACGCCGTTGAAGTTGAAGAGCTAGATCTCTCGGCCGCGGCTTTGATAGCTACTCCACCAAAATCAAAGAAAAGTGCAAAAAGGTCAACCACGTTCGACATGGATGTGGATTCTGACGATAGCGATGACGGAAACACTGTTCAGCTTCCATTCGCGATTCGGGACCAAGATCTTATCAAACGAGCGTTTGCAGGTGCTGATGTTGTAGGGGAATTTCAGGCAGAGAAGAACCAGACCATTGAAGATGAGGAAGACAAGGTCATTGATAATACATTACCAGGCTGGGGAAGCTGGACTGGTGATGGTGTCAGTAAACGGGAAAAGACACGAAATAAGGGCAGGTTCTTGACCAAGGTGGAGGGTGTTAAGGCCGCAAATCGCAAAGATTCAAAATTGGAACGTGTCATAATTAATGAAAAACGAGTAAAAAAGGTGAGCCCCATACCTCTGAAATATTATTGAGTGCGGAAGCTGACGAACAATTTAGAATGGCAAATACCTTGCAACCACCTTACCCCATCCCTTTGAAAACCGTCAACAATATGAGAGGTCTCTCCGGTTGCCAGTCGGGCCAGAATGGGCTACAAAGGAAACTTTGCAAGCAGCGATGAAACCCAGGATTTTGCTCAAACAAGGCATCATCGCTCCAATGTCAAAACCACTTATGTAGATTTTTGGAAGAAAATTATCTCGAGACTATACCAAGAACCATTTTCATGATGCTCCCTGATCCACAACTAAGTTTGAAGCATCACAAGGTATGTTCTCATATGAAGCTATAAATTGCCTGGCGTTGTGTGACATGTTCCAATGCGATCTTGTGAGAAGTCCCATGGGCTTGGGTTCGGCGAATTACCCCGCAATCTACTACCAGGGGATGCGAATGTTATTCTCACATGATATGAGACGACACCAGCATTCATTGGAGCATGGCGCAACAGGGTAGAGTTTCCAAAGTATCTCGGGCTCATTTTACTGGGTTTTCGAAGTTCTGGGGGTTTGCGGGTAACAACAAGTTAACCGAACAAAATGGCTATCACAAAAATCTCCCAACACATACATGCATACACATGTGCTGTCTTCCTGAAGCATGAAAAAGCTAGGTCATACAAACTAGCTGCTCGGAGAAACACACCTCATCAGCAGAGAGGTGTATCTTAGTGCTTTGACGGGTAGCCGCAATTTTTCTATGTCTAGATCATCGAAACCTACACCGCTACTGTCCTTCTCTTTTCGTTTCTTTTCCTCTATTGACGTTCTTGGAGTTCTACGAATCGCCGGGGACCTTACTTCACATTGGCTCGCTTCTGCTCAACCTATTTCTTGCGTCTCAGTTTCCCCTGCAGATTTGATTCACTTTGCAACCTCGGGGTATCCATCCACGTAATATATATGGTCGGTGATCATCAGGTTGATCTTGGCATGTATGCATCTGAGCATGCATCTGAAGATTTGCTTAGCTATTAGGTGTTTTCCTAGGGTTGCCATGCTAGCCTTGATTTCTGTCATATCAGCTAGCGACCCGAAATGTCACCTGTGGCGGAATCAAACGTGGCATCTATACCTTTTATATGTTCATCTGAATCAGTTCGCATTTTCTGGCGGGCTTGTCTCCGAATTCAGATGGCTAATCTCTTACCAAACCTCCGCGAGATTGCTGCAGTATCCTTTTGACTGGCTGCATTTGCGCATGGCCAGTACTTGCGCATCTCTTTATTCTCAGCGCCAATCCAATTTCCAAATTCAACGTGTTGTTCCCATTGTGCAAGCTTGTTTGTTGTGTTTAGATTACCGCCACAAGCGTTTGTCTCAAGGGGGGTTTCTCAAATTTCATTCCACGATCATGGCAGTGGTTCTGCGGGCGTATCTAGAATCTCCACGCTACAAAACCCTAAGAGCGCCAGCGCGCAGGCGGAGGTGAACCAATCATTGCTTGGCAACCGACTTTTATACATCGGGATAGTACATGTTATAACTTACCAATGCACACTTCTATTACTCTAGTGTCGTTACTTGCGGCTCCGGCAGTTCTAGTGACCCGGGGCCATTGGCTTCCGTATATGCTATTACGATATCCTCATCCACATGTTTGGTGACTTGAAGGTCATATCATCCTCGCATTTGTTGTCATTCGGACATTCCCTTCTTTATCGAATTTCTAGCAATGCTCCGAGGTATTTCCAGAGCCACTTATCTTCAAAACATTTCATCACCCGACTTTTATGCCCATATACTTATTACGTCTCATCATGAGAAATCCCATATGTAATGCTATCCTACATTGGTGAATCTGATCATCTCCAGCCGTGAATCTTTAGCGGATTCGACTATATACTATATTGTGCTCGGTGCTTCTCTTTTCACAAACTTCAACTCTCTTCGAGTTCCCACCAAATAAAGAATACGACAAATACACTAATCGATAATTTGCAGTCATGAATCTAGCATTCTTTCTAGCTCTTTTGCAAACCCTCTTGGTATATGCCAAACCTCTTCCACAGGTATCTGAATTTGAAAATGGCTCGGAATTCTTTGCACCGATATCTGGATTCGTCCCTTCAACCAGTTCAGTAGTTCCTAGCGTTCAAGTAATAACAGTTCCAACATCTTCTGGAACTGTGCAGATTCTCCCCGAACCGAGCACTCAATTGCCAGCAACTCAAGGAATCATCGTCACGCAACTTGATCCTGCTGGAATTCATACAGGCAATCCGTTGTTGAGAACTTCGATTCCTTCACCTACAGCTACACTTGGCGGTGGTCAACCAACCGCGGTTCCAGGCCCGAAGCCACTTGGTCCACTTGCAGACAATATCTTCCAGCCTGTTTCTACGGATCCTCCGCCTGGAAACATCCCTCAGCGTGCCGATCATCCTGTCCTTCGTCTGAATGTCTTACCTTCACAGCAAGAACCTATCGGCACCAATAAGTTCTGGCAAAACTTTCTTTTGGGTAGTCAAACTTCTGGAACATGGACTCATCCCTACTCCATGTAAGTAATAATCATTCTTTATTTGCGAGATCCTTGATACACCTCTCCTTCCTGTGATGTATAAGCCTGTATTCCGGAGCTTTGTTATGTTTCACCCTCAGCCAACTTTCTTCACTGGCTAGGATCTGGAAGCACTATTGATAATACTGACAAGTTCATTGTAGTGCGTGGTCGAAAGGCAAAGGAGCAACAGGCAGCTGGGGTATGTCCATCTCACATATTGAGGACAATCAAAAGGTCTTTGGTGAAGGGAACCCGGTGCGCTACTTTGTCAATCCCATTGGAGTTCAATCTATCGTGATCTCGGCTCTCGAGCTCGGTGGAGACACAATACTCTCATCCGAACGGCTGACTGCATTCTCCGCGCACATAAGTTTACACGCGAGAGCTGGCGATCGACCGCTTATCCAGCTTCCGATTGTCCAGGGAATGGGTTTTGTTACAGCTGGCTGTAATGCAATTACGCCCATTCTTCAATCCGGAGTTCTGTTTCGTTCTATCAAGAAAGCGTCCCAAAATCCAAAACCAGGAGTAATGAAATTCACCATCGAGCTTGAGGATAATAAGAAGTGGTTCCTCTATGCCTGGTCCCCTTCGGGTAACAATTTGGATTTTACCGTTATCAATAATGGATTGATACAGGCCACCTCCACATTCGACGGTGTTCTCCAATTTGCCAAAGATCCGGGTAATGGAGAGGCTCTTTATGATACTGCTTCCGGTGCCTGGGCCGTTACTGTTGACCTTTCTGGAACTGCAGATGGTGCAGTTGGTTCTTATACGTTCACTTTTAATAAAGAGGGCTATACTGATAATCCACCTACACTTCTGATGTACGCTTTGCCACATCACATTGCCTCGTTTTCCCAGGGCACACGAGCAAATGTCAAAGACCCACAACTTGATACCACCACCAAAGGAAGAGCCACTGCTGTTGTTGCTGATTCATGGACTCTCTCTGAGAGCTTACCAACTTCAATGGGCTTTGGACCTTGGGATCCGGATCAAGGCGAGAAGAAAGGCTTGTCGGATGATGCGAAGCGCATTGTTCATACCATCGCTGAGAAGGAAATATCCCAGGATATGAATGCGCAAAGCAATCTGAACTCCATGTATTACAGTGGGAAGGTAAGTCTTTCACATGCCTGTACGAGCTTTTTATCTTCGTTCCTGCCTAGTCTAGCGAGGCGACGTGGGTCACGAGTCGAAACAAAACAAGCCCCCTTTTCAGAACATTCACCTCGCTTAATAACTGTCGCTTAATCTCTAACACATCTCAAGGCACTCGCAAAGTTTGCGCAGATCGTCTACGTTCTCAACGATATGCTAGATGATAAAGGCCTAGCTCAGTCGGGATTAAGCAAACTCAAACAGGCGTTTGCTGTATTTATTGAGAACCGTCAACAATTCCCCCTGTTCTACGAGTCTGCTTGGCATGGCTTGGTATCATCCTCTACATATGCAACCGCTGACGCAGGTACTGATTTTGGAAACACCTACTACAACGATCACCATTTTCACTATGGATACTTCGTTTATGCAGCTGCTATAATTGGACATGGTAAGGGGTACATTCTGGGACCTCCATCTAGCAGAAAAGTTAATTCACCGTGTAGTCGACCCCTCTTGGATTGATCCCAACAAGGCTTATATCAATGCTTTGGTTCGAGATTATGCTAACCCTTCTCCATTGGATACCTTCTTCCCTCAACATAGGAACTTTGATTGGTACCACGGTCACTCTTTTGCACATGGTAAGTTTGAGCATTCACCCTCTTCCCAACACCCTTCACCCCATGTCTCAACTGTTACATAACCTAACCACGACAGGTCTTTACGAAACTGCAGATGGCCGCGACGAAGAGTCCTCATCCGAAGACATCATGTCCCTTCTTGCCCTCAAACTCTGGGGTTCAGTAATCGGCGACCGCAATCTTGAGGCGCGAGGAAATCTCCAGCTGGCAATCGCCTCACGCGCTCTGCAAAATTACTTCCTCTATGATTCTACTAACGCCAACCAGCCATCCAACTTCATCGGAAACAAGGTATCCGGGATCCTCTTCGAGAACAAGATTGATCATGTAACCTATTTCGGTACTAATATCGAGTATGTCCAGGGGATCCACATGATTCCTCTCATATCTGCTAGCGGATTGGCCCGAACCAAAAGATTCGTTACCGAGGAGTGGAACGCATTCTTCAGTAACGGAAGAGCAGAGGGGACCGGTGGGGGCTGGAGAGGTATTTTGATGGCTAATCTCGCGCTAATTAATCCGAAGGCTAGCTGGGATTGGTTCGTTAATGGTGCTTTTGATGCTGCTGGGTTGGATGGAGGTGCGAGCCAAACCTGGTACGCTGCTATGGCGGGGGCTTTGGCGGGCGTTTGAGGATGAGAGTTGTGGGAAACTAAACAAAGGGCAGCGAAGGGTTTGAATTCATAAACGATACAACCTGACTACGAGGCCAGGCAGAAGAGTCTGGAACAGTTTGGTTAGACGCATACATAGCGAAGTTTTTGGAGACCGATGGACTAGCTTACAGAGGATGTCTTTGGACTCACTTGGTGTTTCTCACAGACCATAATCAGTTGTCATTAGAGGTAATTACTCTAGATACAGGATTGGGAATTCAAGCCTACACTAAAGGGCTATCAGAGCAAAAAGAAAGTGAAAAAGTGAAAATTGCGAGCTCGATACGACCGTTAAAAACCATAAAAGCGGGCAAATCTATTCCTCGAGGCGTAATAGAAGGCCTTGGGCCATTCGTATGCTATGCTAATGTGCCTAGTAGTGCTGTCCTTTGCATTCGCGCAACCCCCCAAACTCGCTAATCAATCCTGTAAAAAACGTTTCCGCTATAAGTCGTCTAGTCACTCCCTGAAATCACACAGCCCACAAAGAAACCATTGCCTGATTGCTTCTTGCATTTTTAAAGAAGCCCAAAACAATAACCTAGATAGCTTCACGCTATCATGAAAGACTCGCACATTCAGCCCACACTATTCGCCATCCATTCGTTGACACGCTAACCGCCAGAAGAGTCACTTATTGTATCTCAGCCAAAATATCATATCAAGGCGGCGCAAGCAGTCTGATATCCTTCCGGGCAGTCGTTATTTCGGTAGCTTGAGCTTATCTCTTATAGTGGGGTCCGCTGCATTTCCAGTGCTGACTTCTGGTGCATCGCCTTCCACCAAACTTGGCTCCTCTTCGACGACCTTCTCCATGTTGACTCGCTTGGCTTGTTCTTCATCTTCCGCAATCTGAGAATCATGACCCTTTCCAGAATTTGATCCGCTAACCCCAACACCTGGAACGCCGTCTTCCTGAACTCTGCGCTTCGCTTCCCCGACTAGTTTTTCGGCTTCACTGATCTTACCTGGGTGGCAATCCGGGTCACCTTCAACGCCAATGGCAGATGCGGGATCTTTAGCCGTAGTTATCAGAGCGGTTTTGTTGAAACGAACTATCATACAGGACAGATTATCAGTACTGAAACGTGCCAGAGCATGCTCAACCAAATGTTTTGCGGCTGCATTTGGATCCTCAGTCTCCCGGATGAGATCCACAGCTTCTTGGTCGGAGCAAACATCCCATAACTGCAAATAATGTTAGTACTTGGGCTGAAAAGGTGAATCTAGGAAAGCTTCTTACCCCATCGCAGGCAAGAATAATGAACTCATCGGCGTCAGGCTGAATGACCGTTTCGGTTGTATAAGGATGACCGGTCACCAAATCTTTCATGTATGCGTCTCCAAGGGCTCGAGTTACAGCCAGGACGCCGTTGACTCGATTGTTGAGAATTAGTCCACCAGCATTTGCAATGCGCTTGCCCTCGTTCTCATCGCTTCCCTTGTGGTCGTAGGATAGCCTTAAAGCCTTGCCATTTCTGCAAAGTACAATACGCGCATCTCCGACATTTGCCGTGTACAAAACACGTTGACGCGATGCTTGGACTTTAAGCTTAGCGTGCGTTGCTTCGCTGGCACTTTGAGCCGCTCCGGGCGGTTTTGATGTGCTCTTGCTCATGTCAACCCCACTATCACTTGACTTCTCCTCAATTTTGGCCTGCTCATCCGCAGCCTTGACCGCAGCAGCAGTTGCTGGTGCAATAGCTGTGGACCCAGTAGCAGATTGTGCGTTGGGTATCCGATCCTCCCATCTCAATACCGCTGTGACCGCTGTGCAGCCGCTATTCTTGACCGGAAGTTTTTCGAGATGTGCATCAACCGTAGTGAATGTTTGATCAAGAAGCTCGGGAATCGGAGTATTGGGGTTTTTTCGAATGACGTCTTCCAAAATGAGGTGTAGTTTCTTTCCGCACCAATCCGCAGCGAAGGTGCCGGCATGGCCGTCGAAGATGGCAAAATATCCGTTGTCGGTTTCCATCATCTCGCTCGTCGCAACCAAACTGGCCGACGACTCGGTACCTGATTCTTCATGCTGTAAATCTGGGTTTCCCGTAACAGGACTGGTTTCTAAATTCAGCGCGGGGGCAGGTGTATGCAGAAAATTGTATAAAAAGGCATGGGTATCTTCCATAGTCCGACGGCATTTTTTATTTCGATCCTCCCAGACCCCAACCGAGAAGGTCGATTTTGGACCGGGAATGGAATCGCCAGCACTATTGTTGTGCTGTCCTTGAGGGACGCTCAAGGCCGGATCTTGTTTTCCCAGCTTCTGTAAAGGCGTTTGCGTATTTTGCTCTGCATTTCGCGCGCTTGATGAGGGATTTGGACCAGAACCAGGGCTGAAGTGCAATGAGCTCTTTGCGCTGGCTAACATAGCACTGGCCTTGCCGCCAACACCACTCTTGCGCTTCTTCTCTGATGTGGCTCCGTTGTCAGCTGTCGGCCGGCCTTGTGGGCTTCCGTTGCCGCTGCGCTTTTCTCCACCAGCAGTACCGTCGCCCATCTCGTCGGGTTTTGAGGATTTAGGAGATTCGCTAGTTCGGTTGTTTGGAGTGACAGTAGTGGCTGATGCGGGCGCGTCCATGACGTTGCTTTCTTTTGGGGGGGAACCGCTGTTGTTGCTGCCAAACATTCTGTTCAGCAGACCTCCGCCTTGGGAGGAAATACTCCTCCGCTTGCTTCCTGCCAGTTTGTTGATTGGAGTGGACGTCCCACGAGAGGAGACTGCCTGTTGGCGATCGATCTAGGTCTAACCTGGCGTACCGAGTACAACGGGCGAAGCGAGGGGAGGCGCGGCAGCTAGGGTATGGGCGTAAGGTGGTGGGAGATATGAGCACCGCACCGCGATGGATTATGATGGTGGCGTTGGTGTTGGTGTTGGTGTTGGTGTTGGTGTTGTGGTAGTTGAGAAGGAGGAAGGACAGAGACTGGCGGTTGAAGTCTGGAGGTTGGCTTAAGGTTGAGGCTGTGGCTGTTTGTAAGGGAGAGTGAATGGATTGGTCTGTCGGGCGGATTTCAGTATCAGCATTCAGCAATGACGATGTAGAATGTGGGGTAGCGGTGCCGACGCGCTAGATGCGTGAGATAGGAGGACCAAGCTCCCAGGAGCCAGGCACGCCAGGCAAATTACTTGCCTTAGCTTTCTGGCATTCATTGACCATTGATGCCTGAGTTGTGATGTCTGAGATGTGATGTGAGTACCTGTACCCGTACCCGTACCCGTACCCGTACCCGTAGTATTTGTAAAGGATGCCCTCCCGTATGGCCAGTGTTTGGTCGAGTATAGAAAAGAAGGGTAGGTTGAGGTAGAGGTTGAGGTTGCAGGAGACATACAGAGTATACGACGAGTCCCTACGGCTACAGCTCCAGCCTACTCCTACACAGCCCTGCGCAGGCCCTGGTGTGTGTGATTGGGAAGGAAGGACTCACAGACACAGACACGGCACGGAAGTCAATGCTGAGGTAGGACCGTAGGAGCAAGTACAGTATTGGTATCAGCTTCTACTCGAGTACAGACTATACAGTACAAGTATGAGAGAAAAGGGAATAGTGCAGCCACGACAGCGTTGTTTTGGGCTCGCTGCAGTACTCGTACCCGTATGTGAAATCGATGCGATACCAGTACAGTAATGCGGATAATGACAAAAAAGGATCTGCATTCTGATCCAGGCTCTACCTACAGTTCACCAACCTCAAGTCGTCTCTCGCTCAACCCAAGCCTGACGTAGTTGGCTGCAATCAACAGACATTCATTGGCAGTATATTTATACAGACAGAATGTGGTCTCCTATTCAGACCTACGCAGACGCAGATACGATGCACAAGGAAATGGCAACCCAAAAAGCACCTGCACATGATAATTCATTATGCCACATAAGGCCGTGGAAACCCCAAAATAACATTCGCATCAAATCGCCATAACTCCGCTTCTCTGTATCGAGGTGAACGCCGCCAGAACTGTAAGTCAAACTGTATGTCACAAAAGGAATTCTCATCTCCGGAGACTATCAAGTCTAGCTTGGAGGTCGTTATCGCCAGGATCTCCACCCCCACCACTGGGTCCTCCAATAGCTTGTGCCACTCGTCCCTCGGGTACAGTGGTGCTTTGAAGTCCTTGTGGGGTTTCGCCCATCTACAAGATAAATTAGTGCGGTGGTGGACCAGCAATGTAGCCTCCAACTTACAGCATTCTTCAAGTCAACCCCGATTTCCTCCAGCACCTGGTCTACAATCTCATCACCCTCTTCCTCGTCCTCCAGCCCAGTAACATCGTCAATGGCATCGTCCATCATCTCTTGTCTTTGGTCCATAATGTCATTCTCCTTTTCGAATTCCATCGCTATCCTCTGCAAGGCAGGAAGGTTCATGTTGCGGTTCATGCTTCCCAACACTCCAGTTGCGCCCTTCATGGCCTGCATCATCTGCTCATTCGTTCTAACCGTCTGATCGATACAGTTGTTAGTCTGCGGTCCCAATGTTCCCGCATAACGCAACCATCGAGGGCAAACTAACCTGTATGCGCAACGAAATGGCCTGTAATTGAGTCCTCATGGAATAGAACTTCTCAATATATCTCCGCGTTCTGACCAGATCCTTGGCCTGGATCTTGCAGGCTCCCATCTGGCCATTCTTCGCGCTCTTCTTGATATCCTGAATCAATTTCTTTTCCTGGTTCTCGAGCTTGACGCGCTCGCGATCCAACTCCCGCTGCGTCTTCTCCAGTGATCGCTGGTGTTTGCGCAGACGCTCTGCTGGCGTCATGCGCTTTCCAAAAGCCCATTCAACGATCTGCGAGGCTTGTTAGTGTACGCAAGAGATAGTTCTGTGTGTTGGGTACGTACGTTCATGGCGGTTGCGGGGTGGAAATGCAAGTTTGGGTGGAAGTATTGGTAGTTTCATAGGTGCCTGTGCTTTTGGAGCTTGTGAGTGCAGAAGGCCTCGTCATAATGATGGCTTGGCGGGGCCCTTTAACACGTGGGGCACGAGTACACATCTTATTACCTAATACCGACAGAGCTTTTGAGCCAAATGTTATATATTCATGTAGCTTAGCTAAGATTCATAGTTTTCAAATCCTGCCCTGGATGTTCAAATTTCCCCACTTGCTATATGATGTAGGTATGTTCCCCAATAGAGACAGCAAAGAGACATCATCTCAGCTATTAGTACTATTAGTACTACCTAGTACTACCACCCTAATCCTAAACCCACCGCCAGCTCATACTGTAGATAGGAACACCTAGGTATTGAGTTATATCAACAAACTAAACCAAAATCCAGCCACCACCACTCTTCCAATAACAATAATACAAATGGAAGTTATCTGTAGCCATGCTATTGTTGTTTATGTGTACAAGGCCTTGTACTTGTAGAAGTACCTAGCTCGCCTAGGTATGGCTTGACAGCGGTGAATAGTAGACACCCTAGAAAGTGGAGTCCGTCTTACCTAAGCCATACCTAAGCACTAGCCAATTCCCGCGGTGCATACACCACATAAGGTCTTGGCGTGGCGAGATGCGTGGATATGCTAATTTATGCCAATCCATTCATCATCATAAACAATTTTCCGCACACACGCAAATACCTACAACTTATTTCCACGACCGCGTACCCACGAATGCGTACTACACAGCGAACCACTTCAACATGAGCCAGAGACACAACAAAGGCAAGAAGCGGCAGTCGGTGCCCGCTGAGTCCAAGTCCAACGCCAACCCCGGCAACCCTAATCGACCGCAATATATGACCGTCGGATCCGGTTCGACTTCAGAAAGTGCAGCTCGCCTCCAGGCTCTTTTGGATAACGACTCGGGCTATGGTGGGAGCACGGCTGGTGATGGAGTCAACGTCAACGGCGCTCCATCATGGAACCCGACCTTGACGGAGGATAGACCCACGCCTTCTCTTTCACCAGCTGGACAGGGTGGAGAAGCCGCCGACAACGGTAGGCGAGTTCAGGCAAATGCCATACACCAGCTATGGTACAATCAACATCGGGTCGCACTTGGCAGATCGATCAACAGAGTGGTGGAGAGCTTGAAGTCATTGCAAGAGATGAATGCTTCGTGGCCGGCAACCTATCCCTCCGTACAACGCGCCGAGTTAGCATCCCCGAACAGAACCGACAGACCAGCATTGGCCCACACGAATACAGGACTAAATAAGCGAATGTCTATGCCAGTAGAGCCTCGTCCGCGACCAATTCGACGAGCGGAAACTTCGATCGGTGAACAGAGTTCCCAGGCCGAATCAAGCAAGTCGGCGGAAGAGAAGGCCGCTGCGGAACCAAGATTGATCACTCCCCAGATTGCACAAGAGTTTTCCATTCTAAAGCTTGATCTCAAACTAGGAGCTCTCTATCAGTCGGAGTTGGTGCATTCGTTGGAGAAAAACTCAATAGCATCCCTGTTGGACGGCAAGATTAGCACGAGTATCAAGCATCTTTTGTCGCTACGGGAGCGAATTGAGGATACCTCAAGTAAGGTGCTGGTTACGGGAGATCTGAATGCTGGAAAATCCACCTTCTGCAATGCCCTTCTTCGACGAAAGGTCCTGCCGGAAGATCAACAGCCATGTACAAATATCTTCTGTGAGGTCTTGGATGCCAGGGAGAATGGAGGGGTTGAGGAAGTACACGCCGTACACAAGGACACGCAATACAACCGACACGACGAGACCACGTACGATGTATTTGCCTTGACAGATTTGGAGGATCTTGTGGTGGACAACGAAAACTACACGCAATGCAAGATTTATCTGCAGGACGTACGGTCTATCGACGAGTCGTTGCTCAATAACGGCGTCGTAGACATCTCAATAATTGACGCTCCGGGCCTCAACTCTGATACTACAAAGACTACTGCTGTATTTGCACGACAAGAGGAGATTGACGTGGTGGTTTTTATTGTGTCGGCTGCCAATCACTTTACTCAAACAGCAAGAGAGTTCATTTGGGCTGCAGCTGCGGAAAAGGCCTACATCTTCATGGTCGTCAATGGATATGACAACATCAGGGATAAGGAGCGATGTCAGAAGATGATTTTGGAGCAAGTACATGGTCTGAGTCCAAGAACTTTCAAAGAGTCATCAGACTTGGTTCATTTCGTCTCAAGTAATGCAATTCCTACAGCTCCTCCACCTGGTCCGCCTGGTGGAAATGGAGGTAGCGGCAGCTCTAGTGGAGGAGGCGGAGATTATGATGACTCAGATCCAAAAGGCAAAGGAAAGGCACAGGATAAAGACAAGATCCGAGATTTTGAGGCTCTCGAACAATCGCTGCGAAGATTCGTACTGGAGAAGCGTGCTCGTTCAAAGTTGGCTCCAGCCAAAACATATCTGTTGAACGTTCTTGGAGATGTACACACTTTGGCAACTGTCAACCAAGAGGTCGCTCAGTCCGAATTAAACCGCGTATCCAAGGAACTGAGAGAGCTGGAACCTGTTCTTGAGGCATCTAAAAAGGCCAAGGCGGAGGTTAGCGATGATATTGATCGCACAATCGAAGCCACCTGCAAAAGTATCTATGACCATACCCGAGCCACTCTTACCTCAACCATTTCACAAGCAGGAGAAGAAGATCACGGCATACCTTACCCAGGTCTGTTTAGCGCATTTCAATACGCAGATGATCTTAAGGAGGCTATCCTCTCTGAGATATCTGCTGCGGTTACTGCTTCTGAAGATCACGCTCGATCAAAGACTGTTGGCGGAGTGAACTCAATCAAACAATTGGGACTGCTTCATCTTGGAGATGAGTACACAGACTTGAGTTTCCGAAGTGATGTCATGTTTCGAAGAAAACGAGATATTCTTGCCCGCCAAGTTGAAGTTGAAACTGAACTATGGGACTTTTTCGACTGGTCTACTATTCTGCAGAAACAAGAGAAGATGGCAGGAACTGGAATGGCACTTACCGTGGCGACCGCTGTCGGTGGACGAATGGTCGGTGGTTATGGCTGGATTGACGGTGCACTGGGCGCTGCGAAGATCGTTGGCAACAACAACATGCAGAAGCTCATCATTCCTGGGATTATTGCAGCAGCCGCTGCTGCAACTTATTACATCCTCAACCAGATCCCGCACTCACTCCCTCACCGCCTCTCGACAAAAATTTCAGCTCAACTTGCAGCCATCGACTATGTGCACACAAATAGTGACAGAATATCCACCTCTGTCCGTAAGGTTCTCCGTTTCCCAGCCGACAACCTGCGTGTAGGTCTTCAGCGCTCGGTGGAACAACTCGGTTCTAAGCGCGAGGAGACCCTCAAGATTCGAGGCGAAAGCGAGGTCGCCCGAAAGTACTTTGGTAACTTGGTCAACGAAAGTGCTAGGATCCGAAACACCGTCGAGGCGATTGACCTAGAGGGGCCGGCACCAGGAGTAGCTGCTGCTTATGATTCTTGAGCTTTACTTTAGACCATGATACCACTTTATGCTTTGTTCCGGTTGCGTTTTTATTCTTCCTCTCTCGTTCTGGAAAATTATGGCGTCGTCTTTTTGGGGGGGGGGTGGATGAATACCAAGATGAATTACTGTGATTGCAGGGGAGAGAATCAAAAATGAATGAGGAATCGAATAGGAGAGCGTTCGCTTTCTTCGGTTGGCTGTCGGTGGCTGGATATGGATGTGGTTGTGGTTGCTTGCTTACGTCTGAGCTTTTGAAGGAATCCCCACTTCGTTCGTTGTTGATAGTTTGGTTCTGATGAGACACGACGTACATAATAAAAACGTAACGAAAATGAGATATGTATCATTTCTTTTGTGGCTGTTCGACTTGTGGTAATTTCTCCACACGCCCTTGGTTTGGTTCGATGTACACTATTAAAATACTTAATCGGAGACTTCAATACATCGACGTACAGTGTTCGCCAAGGTCGGGAGAAGTTTCCCAGTAGATCCGTGACCATTGAAGTTTATATAGAAGGACAAGCAGTATACATTAAGGATTGCCTTGTGCAAGCATTCGTGGTTCAAATGTATTCGCAGATTTGTCGACAGCGGAACGAGCAAACGTGGGCTGCTCTTGGCTCCGCCAACCAGATCCTGAACTCCATTCATTGGTGCTCTGTTGCACCTCATTCTCGCTCGAGATGATGGACTCGTGGTCTTGTGTTGTCAAGGTAGTTCGGGATGGAAGAGAAGAGGAGATGATGGCAAGAAGTTGATGTTGATGACTGCACTGCTTTAGAGTTGACAAGAGTCGGCGAGTCCAAAGTAGGGAAAAAGGATTGATTTTGAGTTGCCATTGAGTTCATGGCAAGAAAGCTAAAATAACATTAATATCCCTAAATTTGGTTCCCTCGTTGCTTAGGAGCCGTGTCATCCATGCCTACCTCTCCCAGCCCGGTTGAGTATACTCGTACACCCGTCGCTGGGCAGGCAGTTTATTTACTTCGTCCTAGGCATACTAATTGTAACTTGTACGGGGGTTTTTACCCTGTTCTCCACTAAATCCACCCTAGCAAACGTACAATTAATAGGCCTGGGACGAAGTATATCACGTGTATACCACCATTGCCACCTGCACTTGAGCCACTCCCGAGGTCCCGAGGTCCACACCGATTGGATAATCTTCGGGTGAGATCGGAAGATGTGCAACCAGCCCAGCAGCCCAGGCGGCGCCAAGACGTGCGGTGAAGTCTCCACCTGCCCCACGGCGGGGTATGCGCTGAATCATGGCCGCTCAGTGGAAAACCCAAGCACACAACCCAAGCACATAAGCCGGAAGCCATCATCAATCAGGTACGTCGTTACTATACTTACAAGCAAGCGACAAGCATCACATCCACCATCACCCACCCATTCGAGAACAAGCCTTGTTGATCATCACAACCGTCGGCAATGCGGTACTTAGCGTAGCCCTAGCTTATCTTGTAAAAATATCCGATCGTCTCCTTTCCACCGTGGTCTTCGTCCCTCTCCTTTCTAACCATCACATCACGGCTTCTGCTTCTCATTGAGAATATCTACCCCCGCCGCTATCTCATCCCAGATATCTTCACACTCACACTCACGCCAGAAGAAGCGAGATCCGAACCGAACATAGTCAACGCCTGCAAGGTACACATGTGCAGCATCCTCGTCATCCAGAGCCTCCATCGTGCCACGTAGAGAAGAGAATCAACAAACGGGACTTTCAAGCTATATCCATCATGAATTGTCCATCTCGTACCGAGGAGCCAGAAGGAACGGGTTACAACCAAAATCCCAGCTCGTTGTCCGCCGATCTCACGACCCGCAATGACCTCAACGGAATGGCAAACGCTAGGGTATTGAGAAGAATTTCGAGCAGCGAGATTCAAACCACGGAGCAAGAATATGATCCTAATCTACCTCCTCCAGAGAAGACACTTATGGTAGGGGTCGAGGGGGAGGGGGCTCGGGGGAGTCGTGGTGGTGGAAGTGGCGGTGGGGGAGATGGAGGCACAGGGCTTCATGAGAGGGACAATGATTCAAGCAACCGTCATCCAAGTCCAAACCTCTTCATGAAAGCTCGAAAGATTTGTATAACTTTTGGCAAATTTGTTGGCCCAGGATTCATGGTATTTTGAACACATTCTTAGGACTGGAATGAGAAAACAAGAACACTAATTATCATTCATAGATCGCTGTGGCTTACATCGACCCGGGAAACTATGCAACAGACGTGGCTGCCGGTGCTACTTATCGTTTCAAGCTTCTCTTCATTGTGTTGATGTCGAATCTCTTTGCAATTTTCTTGCAAAGCTTGTGTATCAAGCTTGGAAGCGTTAGCGGCCTCAACCTGGCTGAGAGCTGCAGGGCCTTCCTTCCGTGGTGGTTGAACATTTTCCTCTACATCATGGCTGAAGGAGCGGTAAGCGGCCCAAAGTCAAATCAGAACGACGGCCACTAACATGGGAACAGATTATTGCTACCGATATAGCCGAGGTTATTGGAACTGCCATTGCGATCAATCTCTTGATTCCGCAAATCCCGTTGGTTGCAGGATGTGCCCTATCCATTGTAGACGTGCTACTCATTCTGCTGTTCTACAAACCAAACGGGAGTATGAGAGGTCTTCGTGCGTTCGAATTCTTTGTAATGGCTCTTGTTCTGGGTGTCGTGGTCTGTTTTTGTATCCAGTTAAGCTTGATTGAAAACACGTCGATTGGTGAGGTTTTCCGAGGTTACCTTCCCTCATCAGCTATCATTGAATCCGACGGGTAAGCACTCCTTGTTCCTTATAATCTGATATCGTTTGCTAACAATTGGTCAGTCTCTATCAAGCATGTGGTATCCTTGGCGCAACTGTCATGCCTCACTCTCTGTATCTTGGATCTGGAATTGTGCAACCCCGGCTCCGTGAGTATGATGTGAAGCATGGAATCGTCGCACCTGCGACCGAATCTGATACCGAAAGCACCCTCAAGGATGTATACCTACCCTCCCTCTCTGCTATAAACTTCTGTCTCAAATATTCCATCATCGAGCTTTCTATTGCCCTCTTCACATTCGCCTTGTTTGTCAACAGCGCTATTTTAATTACGGCCGGTGCTTCTCTTTACGGCACTGAAGCAGCAGAAGCCGACCTCTTTGGTATTTATGCCTTACTTTCAAAGAGTATTGCGCCAGCTGCGGGGACCATTTTTGCTCTCGCACTGCTCCTATCTGGTATCAGTGCTGGAATCGTCTGTACTATAGCGGGACAGATGGTCTCAGAAGGGGCTTTGAACTGGACAATTGCACCATGGTTACGTCGTCTCATCACCAGAAGCATTAGTATCACACCGTCTATTATTATCGCGGGTGCCGTGGGAAGATCCGGTCTCTCCGCCGCTCTGAATGGGAGCCAGGTGGCCCTCAGTGTGACACTTCCATTCATTTCTGCTCCGTTGATTTACTTCACTTGCCGTAACAAGTATATGACAGTGGGTGTCCGCGTGAATCGGGTACATGGTGATGGGGAGTCTGTGATTGATGGGCAATCGCATGGGGTTGCAGATACAGCTTCTGTTGTAGAACAGAAGAAAATGCGAAATCACTGGATTACAGCTGGTTCTGGGGTCACTATCTGGCTCATAATCACTGTAATGAATGTGGCCAACTTGGTCTTGTTGGGCAAAGGCGAGGGCGCTTAGCCATATATCTTCTTCCTACCCGGTGGTTGGGCGTAGGACGAGCAGAAGGTGCAGACGGTGGAGGTGGGAGTGAGCGATAGGGACCACTGCCAAGGATGAAAATATGGGAGTAGGTACTTACGATTATAATCCTTTTAGGGGTTCGTAATTAGGTAGGTTAATGGGCGTTATAATATAGTAATAATGTATACAGGACTATGTAGTCTAGTTATAACTACTCGTGTCGTTACTCCTATATCCTTAACTACTTTAACTATCGAGACTAGAAGTAGCTATAGTAGGGAACGTAAAATTTCGTAATTATAATTTTATAGCCCCATACTCTTTATACTTATACTAATACTATTATAGGACTAGGTACTAATATAATATATACATAGAAAATGCCCGGTAATATATCGCGATATATCTAATAATAATACATAAAATATTTCTAATATATTTAGATTAGATAACTTATATAGCCAAAGTATTATTAATTTTATACTTTATTTAAGTATTAGTTTTATCTAAGTATATATCTTAGTTAAATTAATAAGTATAGTCTTAAGAACCTTTTTTAGAACTATATAATCTAGGTAGATTACTTCTTTAATATTAAGTTATTCTAATAAATATTCTAATAACGTTCTTTATTCTATGTAATTAGGCTCTTCTTTAAGCTTAGCTTTATTAGCGAATATAAAACCTATATTATTCCTTATAAAGAATATAAAAGCTATACTATTAGATAGGTTTATACTTAGGCCTAGAGATCTAAGAAAAGAATCTAGTAGTAAGAATAAGCTTAAATTAAAATTAGAGATTAGTTAAGAAATTCGAGATTATAAGAGTTTAATTCTTTAAAAAATATCTTTAGCTAAATTTATGATTCTTTATTATATCACTTTAGATTTTTTAATTAAAGGGAGTAAGTTTTAAAGTAGAGGTAAAGAATTATTTCCTTCTTATATAAGTGAATTAGTATCTTATTAGTTACTTTTATTACTATTTTTTAAGTTTAAGTTTAGTTTATTCGGATTTATTTCTTACTAAGGAACTGTTAAACTTTCTCTTAGTTTAGAAGTAAATTATTCTAGTAAGCTATATAAATACTCTTTTTTTAATATATATAACTTAAATAAAATAATTAATTAAAAACCTAGATAAGCATTCTAGACTTATAAACTATTAATAAGTATATATAAGTAGAGTACCTAGAATACTAGATTTAAAGTACCAATAAGAATTATATCAAATAAGTTACCTTAGAAAGTAAGAGTAGGAAACTATTTAATATATATATATATATAAAACCTACTTTTTTATACTATTTATTTTATAGTAAAGTAATAAAAAGACTTATTAGTATATTAGCTAATAATAACTAATATATAGTATTAGTATATTTATAGCCTTATAGCGACCTATTTTACTATTAGTAGTAAAGTTTACTAGCTTACTATTATTAGATAATCTATTTAATAGAGTTATTATTTACTTATAAGTTATTCTTTTATAAGTTATAGTTTATAGTTATCTAATTAGATAACTCTACTAGTAGACTATATATAACTTAGCTAGGGTATAAATAACTTAGCTAGGGTATAAATAACCTACTTCTTAGTAGCTTAGTTAGTTCCTTACTATATTAATACTTATTTCTATTATTTATTTACTCTTAGCTATTCTACTAAAAGAAGTACTTAAATAATAGGTTATAAGCCTAGAAGTATAAGCTAAAGAGAAATTATAGTACTACTTTACTATATTTATTCTAGTATAATATTAAACTAATCTATTTTAAAAGTCTAAGGTATATAGTTACTTAGTAAGTAGTACTAGATATATATTAGTATTAATAGACTTAAATAAGAAGTTAAAAGAAGTTTAATATTATAATTCTAAAAAAAGGTTTATCTCTAAAGTATAATATAAACTAAATTAGTAGATTACTAAGGAGAAAGCTAAAAGTAAAGAGAGTTTAGGAAAATTAGCTAGAGTTTCTGTGACGGTTCTGACCATCACGTGCCACTTGTATCACGTGGCGCCGCTTAGCGACCCACACCATGTATGTATACTCGAGCTCCCTCGAGCTCTCCTCTTCTCTTCAACTTAGAATCTTCGAATAAGACAGTTCTACGATTCCATAACCTACACCTTGGACGCCCACGGGCAACATATCGTACGTGTCGTCACAGTTTCGGAATTAAATAAAACTAAAGAGATTATTAATAAAGATTAGACTAAGCCTATAGTACTTTCTACTTAAAAGAGTCTTATATTACCTAGAGTATTCCTTAATAATTAGAAGAATACCTAATTTCTTTCTTAACTACTCTTAACTAAGGTAGTCTAGTCTAATCTAACTAAATTAAATAAAGCTTTTATAAAACTATTAGAAAGCCTATAGTACTTAGTACTACTATAGGTATCTAACTAATACTAGTAGAATATATAGATCGGACCTAATAGATTAAGATTAAAAATAAATAGAATAAAAAGAATAAATATAGAATACTTATTAATTATTTAATAGATAATAGAGAGCTAGCTAGGGAGTATAGTAGTAGGATTATATCCTACTACTAAGAATACTTAGTTATTAGAAACGGATATAGTAAATATATTCTAATACTAGTAGTTCTTTATAGAATCGCTAACTTTATATTCTACTTTTTTAATATTCTTATACTTACTAAGTTACTTACTTAATTTAGTAGAATAAACTATTCTACTTAACTATTATATATACTTTATTACTACTTTACCTAAGTAAAAGTAGTTCTTTTCTTTCTTATCTTATAATTAACCTACGCTTAATAGTTAATATATAACTTATTTACATTAATAAGTTCTATTAAAGCGCTATTATATTTTATCTTTATTATTATATTTAAGATATTAGTGTATTCTTTAACCTAAGTAAGTTTATTAATTTTCTTATTCTTAAATAACTTATAAAAAGCTATTATATAAATTATTAGTTACTTCTTCTTAGTTATACTAAGCTTACTAAGATAATTATATAGTAACTTAGAATTAGTATATATTTTAAGTTTAATAAATCTATTTATAATAAGATTATAAGATTCTTTAATATAAATAGCTATATTATAACTATAACTAAAATTAAGAATCTCTAAAATAAGAATACTATAAGTAACTTATTCAGATTTTATAGAGCCTTGGTAGATAGATAATATTAATATTCTTATTTCTATTAATTATAACTAGAATAAATCTAACTTAAGAGGTAAGGTCTAAGAAGTTAGTAAAAAATACTATTTATAAACTATATAAGCTTAATTATATCCTTATCTAGCTTTATATACTTAAGTCCATAGTTCTTATTATTAATTATTTATTATAGACGCTTATTTAAAGCTTTAATATCTTTTTTAGATAGTTTAGTAACTTAGGTATAGAAGGAAAGGTTATAAGAAGCTTCTAGTTAATATATTCCTATATTATATATTATAAAAGCCTACTCTAACTTAAACTTATTAGTATTAAAGCATAATTTTAGATAGTTTTTTATTTTCTTCTTTTATAATAAATAGACGTTACTATTATTATCTTATAAGATAATACTTCTATTAAAGTTAAGAGAGTAATCCTTTATAAGTGTCTTTTAGTTCTTAGACATAAGAGTAAGTTTTATATTATTAAACTTATATTCTTCTTAGTTTATAAATACTTCATTAGCTAGAATTAAGCTATTATTAGTCTAAAGTCCGACTAATCTAAGTGCCTTACTATTCTTACTTAGTTTATTATAAGTAAATAGATATTAGTTATATATAGATAGCTTTATATCTAGTTTCTAGATATAGTATTAGAAATAATAAATGTACTAGAACGCACTAGCTTTTAGTACTTTATACTAAGGTAATTTAGTATAAAGTACTTTTCCTTACTATTTAGAGATTTTAGAATTCTTTAGTCTATAGGTATAAAATCCTCTATTTATTAGCTATCTAGTATAAATATAGGCCTAACTAACGTTTTATTTATAAAGGTTAAATATTAGAATTATCTTAAGAGTAATAATAAGTTATTAACTTACTTACTAAATTATAAGTACTTCTATAAATATAAGCTTCTTTTAAGTATTACTCTATACTTAGATAACTAAGTAGGATTTATAATATTCTTAGGGTATTCCTTTATTTTTAATATCTTAAATAAACTTTAAACTAAAGATTATAGTATTTTTAGAAACGTTTTCTTTATTAATAAATTTAAGAGAATTAAGCTTAGTAAATCTAGCTAGTTTAGTTTTATTTATACTAATAAGTTTACTTATAAAGAGATTTAATAAATCTTATTATTATTAAAGTATAGCTCTATAATAAAAGATTCTAAAATCTTAGTATAAGTAAGATATTAGTTCTTTTATAGATAATCTCTTTCTTCTTTAACTATATTAGTATTAACTAGGGGTTCTCTAGGGTTTAGTTCTATACTAGTATTACCTTATTCCTAGCTACTTTATTTATTTAAGTATAGAAGCTAAAAAATGGAGTACTATAGGTTTATATAGAGTTTAATATTAATATTATAAGGTTCAATAATTAAGGTTCTAAACTTCTTTTTCTTACTATTAACTTAAATAAGTATATTTCTTCTATTATTAAGTCTAAGGAACTTATATAGACTTATTTATCCTAGTTTCTTTTATCCCATAGTATATTCTTACTATATATATACTAGTCTATTAATTAAGTACTTAGTAAAATATAAGTTAAATATGCTATTTCTTATATATATAGCTATAGGAACTTAGTCTTTTACTTATTTAATATATATTACTTTTATTATCTTTTACTAAGCTTCTACTTTAACCTATAAGTTAGTTATAGGGCCTTTATTATCGCTTATATATAAGTATATACTATAAATCAGTAGTATTATAGTATATATATATATAAACTAATACTATTATTTAGTACTTTTATAACTATTACTAAGCGATCTATTTTATTAAACTTAGAGGCTTTAATAGTAAGAATTATAAAAGCTTATTTAAGTACTTTATAATTTCGTTCGATTATACAAACTATATAATATATTTTAATAAATATAATAATAATCTTAGTATTTATATTCTTAGCTATAATTTTCAACTTAATACTATTTATCTAGGTTCTAGAATTTATCTTAATAAAGTCTAAAACTAAGATATATATAAATCTAGTATTTAAGAATAAATTACTAGTATATCTTAGCGCTAATACTTAGAC